GATCGAGTAGAATCGCGTGGTCGACTGTGTCAAAGGCTGCCGTCAGATCTAACAACAGAAGCACCACAGACGTTCCCTGATCTAGTGAAAGATAGATGTCATTTAGGACCCTCAGTAGAGCTGACTCTGTGCTATGGCCAGACCTGAAACCTGATTGGAAAACCTCAAACAGATCCGAGTCAGCTAAATGTGAGACCAGCTGCTGATAAACGACTTTCTCAAGCAGTTTTGATGTAAAAGGCAGGGTAGAGATAGGCCTGTAATTTGCGATCACAGAGACATCAGCACCAGGTTTCTTCAGGGTCAGCCGAATAACTGCTGCTTTCAAAGCAGCTGGGACCACACCTGTGCTGAGGCTCCCATTGATAATCTGACCAAGTGATGGGCCAAGACATGGAAAGGCAGCCTTCCAGAGGCGAGGCGGCAGAATGTCAAGTGGAGAGCCAGATGGCTTCTGCCTTGCAACAAGCTTACTCAGCTCAGAATATGAAATATTATTGAGGGAGCTCAGGGTGGGTGGTGATGGAGGAAGTGGAACAGTGTCCATAAAGTTACCGGAAATAGCTGCTCTAATGCCTGATACTTTATCAACAAAGAATCTGTGAAAAGCTACACAGTTTCCAGCAGCTGTAGGAGACATGAAGCTAGGCTCCTGATACACCACAACAGCTATGTGATGGAACCGATCAAAGGAGCCCAGAGAGATTGATTTGAAGTGGAAGCAGAGGCTAAATCAAGTGTAATATGATCGAACAAAAGATTTCTGTACTGGTTAATGCAAAGAGTATCTCTATTTTTCCAATTCATGAGGAAAGTATTCTTTGCGATGCATATGGCAGTCAGAACCACGTGAACCAAAAATGTTTCAATTGGGACATCGTCCAGGTTTCCCAGTAAACAAAGAGAGGGGGAAGTTGGGACATGACATTTCAGACACTTTGACAGGTCTTCACATACTCTACCCCAAAATTCCTGGACAGGTGGACAAGACCACAGTGCGTGGATGTAATTGTCAGGAATGTTGTTTGTACAGGTGTCAGATGACACAAACCCCATCTTGAACATCCGATGACCTATAGTGTACTCTGTGTAGAATTTTGTACTGAATTAATTGTAAATTGGGGTGTCTGATCATTTTAAAAGTTTTTAAACAGTTTGGGACCAGAAGTTCTGGTCAAAACTGACTGATAGATCCACCTCCCATTTTTCAATAGGGATTGCTATCGTCTATTTTGGACAGTATCTTATATACTTTAGACAGTAGTTTGGGGGGATTGAGATAATAGAAGTCTAATACCCTTGGTGGTGTTTTTAATTCTATTTTATTGAGCTTAAATTTTTGTTTAACTACAAATTTAATTTGGTGATATTCTAAAAAGCCATTCTTATCTATTCCAAATTGGGAGACTATTCTGTTTAATGGATGAAGTCCAATCCTTCATATATGTGTTCTAGGTATAGGATTCCTTTATTTTTTCAGTCCGGAAGGTTCATAATTTTGTTATTTAGCAAAATATCAGGATTATTCCAGATAGGTGTGCGTCTGCATGGAATTAGTGAAGAGTCTGTCATTTTAAGATACTCCCACCATGCTAGAGAGGTGCTGATATTAATACTTTTGAAGCCTTCATGTTTTCTTATGCTTGAGCTAATAAATGGTAAGTCTGAAAGCTCTATTGTATTGCAAATTGTCTGTTCTCTATCTAACCAGGACTCATCTAGCGGGTTATCTTGCAACCATCTTGGTATATACTGCAGCTTGTTGGCTAAGAAATAATAATAAAAGATGGGTAAATCCAGTCCTCCTCTGTCTTTGGTCTTTTGAAGTTTTTTAAGCCAATTCGTGGAGGTTTATCCTGCCAAAGGAATTTGGTAATTGAGGAGTCCAGAGATCTAAACCAGTCAGCTGGTGGCTTGTTTAGGATAATTGAAAATAAGTAATTCATCCTGGGTAAGACCATCCTTTCAATTGTATCACCCCCCCCCCCCCACCCCCCACCCCCCGAGTGATATCTGTAAGGATTTCCATCTTGCAAAATCATCTTCCACTTTCTTTAAAAGTGGGAAGTAGTTTAGTTTGGTTAGATCTGCCAACTTGGGAGAGACATTAATTACCAGGTATGTGATATTCCCGATATTATCATTAAAAATCCACCCTCTGGATCTGAAATTGTGTCCAATACCGTGAAATTTAAGTTTTTGTGTTTTAAAATAGCTACACCTCTTTGCCTAGAGTTATAACAGGCAGAGAACATGCTGGGAAACTCGGGTGTTTTAAGTTCATCTGCAGACGTGGCAGATCTACGAGTCTCTTGTAATAATATTACGTCTGCTTGCACTCTCTTTAACTTATCAAAAATCTTTAATCTTTTCTCTCTGGAGCCAGCTCCATGTACGTTCCATTAGACAAACTTTAGTGCACCCATAGATGTGTGTGTGAGGGTTAGGGTTCTGTTCTGGTTTAAAGATGACTCAAAAGGAAGTGACTCTTCTCTTTAAACTAGAAATTAAAAAATGTTCATTGCTGGCTAAAAAAAACAGTTGGTTTCTTAGATGGTTTCTTAGAAACAACTTTACTAAGACTCAGTAGCACAGGGTTTAATAAACTGCAAAAATCTTAAAAACCAGATATAATGAACAATTCATTTATCACAATAAAGACACAATTTATCTCCATAACTTCCAAGGGTATTAGTCTGTGTGCATACATACACTAAATTAGAGAGAAAATACTTAGATTTTCAGATTAATCAGAAAAACAGATACATTACAGTTTTATGCAGAAAAGGCATGCAAAGCATATTTGTCATGAGATGAAATGCACCACTTTTTGAGAAAATCTAAATATCTACTGAACCTTGAAAGATGCACCATGATACATCTACCACTGTGCTTTATGACAGCCTTTTATGACCATTGGTATCCAACCTTGTTTTTCAAGGGCCATGGTTTCGAAGACCAGAGTTGGACACATAATTTATTTTGGAACAGTGAAAACTCTTAATTTCGTTTTTACTAGTTCTTCATCATATGGAGCAAATAAACCTTTGATTTTACTTTTGCCGTCACATTTCGGCATCCACTGCTGCCTTCGTCAGAGCTGATGCCGTCACTTCCGTTTAATTGTGGGAAGCAGATAAATGGAAGTGACGTAGAGTAGAGTAGACCACCTTTTTAGTGTCAGGGATGAGGTCCTGGCTCAAGTTTAAGTATCTCGGGGTCTTGCTCAGAAGTTCACGAGTGAGGGAAAGATGGATCTGTGATGCGTCTGCAGTGATGTGGCCGGTGTACCGATCTGTTGTGGTGTTGAGAGAGATGAGCTGGAAGATGAAGTTCTTGATTTACCAGTCGATCTACATTCCAACCCTCATCATGGTCACAAGTAGGGATGCACCGATACGATACTGGTATCGGTAAAAGTTAACCGATACCAGGAACCGATACCAATGCAGCTGCTTGAAAATGGCTTCACTGTAACTTGTCATTTCTGTTCACCTAATATTTCAGCTTTGTGATGATTTCTATTCATATATTTTACTTTTTATCTACCTCACAGTCTTTTCCTGTTGAAAGCAGAGAAGAAAATAAAATCTGTATTCCAAATCATTGCATTTTTTTGTGTGGTAGAAGTATAGGTATCGGTAATCGGTATCGGCGAGTATTCAGATCCAAGTATCTGTATCGTATCGGTTTGGAAAAAAGTGGTATTGTTGCATCCCTAGTCACAAGTTTTGGGTAGTGGCCGAAAGAATGAGATCATGGATACAAGCAACTGAAATGTCTCAGCTCTCCCCTTAAGAGATAGGGCGAGAAGTTCGGCCATTTGGGAGGGGCTCGGAGTAGACCCGCTGCTCCACCACATTGAGAGGAGCCAACTTTATGTGGCTTGAGCATCTGGTCAGGATGCCTCCTGGACGCCTCTCTGGTGAGGTTTTCTTGGCATGTCCAACTGGGCGGAGACCTAATGGAAGACCCAGGACATGATCGAGGGACTATGTCTTTCAGCTGGCCAGGGAACGCCTTGGGATTCCCCCGGAGAGCTGGTCCAAGTGGCTGGGGAGAGGAAAGTCTGGGCCTCTATCCTCAGGCTGCTACCCGACCCTGGATAAGCGGAAGAGAATGGATGGGCAATAAATAAATGTAGTTACTTGAAAGCAGTGGCAGTTTTATCATTAGGCATAGGTCGGTGGCCGCCTGGGGCCCCCTTGTGTTGGGGGGGGGGGGGGGGGGGGGCCTAGCCCTGACCGCCGGCACCCCTCTGTTAATGCCACAATGGACTATTCCTTTAAGACAGCGATGCACAAACAGGGAGTGATTGGTAGTCATTCCACTCAAATCCAGTTGGTGGCAGTAATGCACTAAATTGTTGTTTGCCAAGTGCCATAAGACCACAAATAAGAAGAGAGGCAGGAGCATTCATAACAAACTCGAAGCGGTAGTCAAAACATTAAGCATGAATGGAGTTTTCCTCGTGGCTCCAATAAGAGAAAGAAGCAGCTTGTTTTAAAAAAGCTTTTATCTTCACTTCCAAAAGTGATGTTTTTCTATTTAAACATCAAAGGAAGCAGAAAAGGAAAGACAATGGAAAATGTTTAAAGGGAGGAAATCAGACCAAAATGGAAAGATAGAAGAAAAAAAGAAAGGCAAAAGCACAGGAGCACCGACAGGAAGAAGAAAGCAGAGCAAATATTGAAGGCACCCAAAAGGAGAGAAAGACAGGAAAGAGGAGGACTAATAAAAATTGAAAACTCATCAGAAGAGGGGAGTTTCACAAATCCAGTTAAAGATAAGATTGTCGACAATTTCGTGTAAGGGGCCCCCCAAATTGCTAAATCCGAACAAAACAGAATCAAACCTTTCCCCACAGCTGTATAATTGCGGAAACCTTTTTCTTTTTATCTCATAAAACGTTTAGCTGCATGACGCTGAGCCCAGCTTTATCTGTAAAGTCTGTAGCCTCGAGAATAACCATTTACACAGACAGCGACTTTACGAAGGACTCCTTTGTTTCCCCCACTTTTAATACAAACACATTGAGCTTTGAAAATGACAAACATCTGGTTTTTAATTATTCATCCCAGAGAAAAACACTGAAATGTTCAGCTTGTTTTTAAGCTCTTTGTTGTTTCTTTTATTCTCAAACCATCCAAGATTATCATTAAACTCTAAAACTTTTCTTTTGGATTTAAGCAAAGGTTAAAAAATAAATCAAGACAAGAACGTACGACAGAGCTAGTTAATAAAAAAAACAACAAATAAATAAGAAAATAATTTTTTTTTTGTCTTTTTCTACAATCTGAGCAGAGAGAGGCGTCTCTTAGAAAAAGTCGGAGGCTTTTCGCCTCTTGGGAAGCTGCAGCAGATTGTCTGTGAGTGACGTGAGGTCCTGAGAGCCTGGCGTCTTGGCTTTGATGGGTGTTGGTGTTCCTGAGGGTGTTGCTGGTCCGTTTAAGGGAGTCTTGCAGCTGTGTGAGGGGGAAGGGGTGTAACTCGCCCGCAGGGCTTTGTCCGTGTATTTGCTGGATGTCCGATTTACAAGCCGCTGCAAGGCGGGCGTGAGGGCCGGGCTCAGACCTTTGGGCGTCAGGCTGGAACACACAAATTGGGTGGTCAGTTTGCTCCGTCTTCAGGAACGAACCAACAATCTGACAAGTGAAGAGTAAAATTGTATTACCTTGCAAGGTTTTCCGTTGCTTTCCTCAATGCTTCCTGTTTCTTTGCGCGGTTTTTAGCGGCAGCTTCATTAGCCATCTTCAAGCCCAACCGCTCTCGCCTTCCGGGTTCTGGAATCTTAAAAAATAAATAAAATTGTTAATGTTTAACAACCAAAGGATCTCAAAATAAACGACAAACAGATGTGAACATTTATCACCTTGAATGAGGGGCCGTGGTTCCTCTCCACATACGGCGTGTCTGATCCATCCAGACGAAACGGGGTGCTCTCGATCTCACCCCAGGTCATCAGAGGGGACTCTGCAACACCTGAAGCAGCAAGTAAGAGTTTTAGAGAAGTTCACCAAGTCACTGTGAAAACCGAATTAAGCCCAGTTTGTTTCTGCATCAGTGTGGAGACACGTAACAACATTATGCGTTGTTGTGAGGTCTCTCCAACAGGCTCGCAAGGACGCACGAAGTCGAGCTCACTTTTCTAAAGACCTGTTGAGCGATACGGAGAACTTATGATTGGTTAGGACGCCGCTCCCTTTATTTAGCCAATGGCATCGCCATTGCGCATCTTTTCACTCCTCCAACCACGGGTGAATAAAACGTTCATATTGCATTGTTGGTTATTTTTTTAAAACATGGAAGAGTTTTCTTGTTTTACCTTGCTGCTGACAGTTTTGTTCGCGGCTGCAAACTTCCTCAGAGCGTTTGCAGCCGCGAACGAAACTGTCAGCAGCAAGGTAAAAAAAGAAACCTTTTCTGTGTTTTAAAAAAGAACCAAAAATGCAGTTAGAAAAGCAACACAGTAAGAACATACCAAAAACGTTCATACTTTTAGAGTTTTTCTGCGAGGGATTCTTCAAGCTGCTCCGTGTCTGCCACTAGATATCCTCAGCTCTCTTTATGTTTTTGAGGGTGCAATGGCGGCACTGGCATCCAGACCAATCACAACTTTGCGTTCTCCATCTTCTCGAACGGATGTTTAGAAAAGAGAGCTTGACCCTGCCCTTCCGTGCGAGCCTGCTGGAGAGCCCTCAAAAGGACAGATAACGGCGTTGCGTGCATCCGTTCCCACGCAGATGGAGAAGTACAAACTAGGCTTTAGTGTCGCCTACTGACTTAAAACTACTGAGGTGATGTTTGATCTAGTTACAAACACAAATCCTAAATGTAACAGAACTCAAAACACCCACTCACCTGGTGCAGGTGAAGGAGTCCTTTCAAAACCATATCCGTTCACTCTTGGAGAGTCATGTGGTATCAGCTCTTTCCCATCAGGTCCCACCTTACCCTGTTTAAACTGCAACATACCAAACACCAACAACAGCATAAGACAATATTCATAAATACGTATGCATGGTGGTGTGATTATGTATAAACAGCCACTGCGTTATACAAGTACCTGAGCATTGAGAGCAGCAGCCTGTTGAATCTGACTTTTGTTGAGAGCTTTGCTAAACGGGTCTCCGACAAATCGAGTGTTCTTGTGAACGACTTCTCTAGGTTTCTTGAAGTTGGCATCATCATCTTTAACACCTTGGGGGGGGGGAAGCAAATTTTTTATTTTTTTTTCTGTCAAGGTTGAGTTCAGTGAATTGTGCTTTAAAATAAATTATATAAGAAAAAAGCTATTAGATCTTTGTACCCTCTGGGTAATACATCAATGCATTCTTGGCTTTGTACTCCCAGGTCTCCAATCCAGCTTTGACACACTGGAGTGCAGCTTTCTCTGCTGATGGTAGGGCGAGATTCTCCTCGTGACGCTGGGGAAAGATCAGAAGGCTCTTTGACATTTTTCTTCACAACAAACGCTACATTTATGCAACATTATTCTAAATACCGATGCCTTTGAAGGTCGTGTTCACCCACAAGGTGCGTACCATTGTTCTTTTTAAAAGAAGATCGATCAGACCAAGTTTTACATACATGTAGAACATGAAAAGGGTTTTTAGCTGCTAATACCTGCATTAACTACAAAGAGAAAACAAACGCCAATCTCTTCTATGTCTCAGGGAAAATTTACATTCAAGGCCTTATTCACTTTGGCTTTGGACTGCAGAAGGATGTATTTAATTAGCATATTGGCTAATAGAGGCTAAACATTAGCATTAGCGACTCCACAACATAGCAGAATACGTTTAGGTTTGCGTTATTTGTGGAGATAAAACAATGTTGGATTTTTACCCAATAAAGAGGAGGGACTGGAGGCAATAGAAGAGTTTTGTTGCTGTTAGCCAATCAGGGGAGACCTTTGAAAATCAGGAACTTTAATGAGTATGACTTGTAATCCTGCCGTCCCCCTCCTCACTCCTCTCCGACAAACTTCTATTTTCTGAAACAGAAGTTTGAGACCTTTTGTTACCCACAGAAAATTACTCACAAGGCATTCACTCATTCACACTAGTGACCACAGCAGATTTATTTAATAAAACTTGTGATCGAGAGCTTTAAAGACAAAATGTTCCTGTGGTCATAAATCAGATGCTTCAAATCAGATTATAGATTGCATGTAGGGATGAACAATATATCGCCATCAATATCAGTGTCGGCCGATGTTAGTCATTTTTTTAACACATCGGTATCGGTCCGATAAATAAAACTGAGCCGATATTAACAACCGATATTTTTTCCATCTCATCTCCATTTGTTTGCGAGTTTCAGAGGGTGCGGGGGGTGATGTGTAATTGTTCAGTCATGTGAACATTGAATGAAATCATCTCAGAACCGTAAATGTCTGTTGTGTGTACATGATAACATAAATTCAGCTTTAATAATTTCACTCTATATAAAATCTGCTGATTTTAGAAACATTAATGTCAGCATATCAGTATCGGCAAATATCAGTTATCGGCCATAACAGTGATCTTAATATCAGTGTAACGTTATGAAGTTCATTATTTTCAGCTCCACACAGCTGCCCCTGTACACAGTAACACCCGTGTAGAAAACGCCAAGGTCGGGTGTTCCTCAGACTGTTTACATTCCAGGAGAAGAGCCAGAAGGAGAAGAAGAACGCTTTTCAATAATCAAAGTACTTAATTTGTGAGCTAGTCGAAACAGATGTTGATCAATAATAATCAAGTGAATGATCTGTGGAATAAAGATGTCATGATTTATGTGTTTAATGAAAACAGGACTACTGCACAGACAGACTGACCCTCATCTCCATAGAAACGCATGACACATTGTTCCACCCAATCAGAGCTTTTGGCTGCCGCAAGAGAATCTGGCTTGTTGACTTAAAGTGTCCAATCCGCTTTACTAAAACTTATCAACAATTCAGAGATATAAAACAAGGCAACGCCATTTTAAGACCAGTTCCATTTTGACTTCAGTTCTATTCACCGTCATCCCAAAGAGAAGCACAGCCTGGCCAGATGTGCTTTCTTCTTTAAACTAAGAACTGTGAAGTTGGAGATTTTCGTCGTTTAACAACCAGACGACATCCTTTCAAAATAAGAGCACCTGCTGACGCTGCCAATTGTTACCTGGGTCGACCCTTCAGACGGGCTTTGAAACGCTGCGATCGCTGTTTCGACCAGCTCCAGCGCACATCCGAGGTCTTCAGACCTGGCATTTCCTGATCTACCTGGGAGGCCCTCACTGGGTACGTACACGGCAAAATAGCAGCTCATGTCATCACTTTATAAGCCTCGTGATATCTAGTCATAACAATCAGACTACCAGATTCAATGACGTCAGCCTAAAGATCCTGAACAAAACACACACACACGCACCAACACAACATCCAAATCCATTTTCATCCATCACAGAGTTAGTCCTGGTAGAGTGTTTAGAATTTATAATTAAGAAATTAAAGATTCTTAAACGATCCCAACTCTCTCTCTTTTCTTGTCTCAAAGTCAATACAGAGTGTTTAATTAAACTCCCTGATGATAAAAACAGCCCATCTTCTGATTATAACAAGTGATCTACTTACAGTATATTAAAATACAACTCTCGATCGTTACATCACTCAATTTCTCTACATTTGGCGAGCCAGCCAGGAGAAATGTAGAGAAATAGAGTGATGTAACTATCTAGAGTTGTATTTTAATATACTGTAAGTAGATCACTTGTTATAATCAGAAGATGGGCTGTTTTTATCATCAGGGAGTTTAATTAAACACTCTGTATTGACTTTGAGACAAGAAAAGAGAGAGAGTTGGGATCGTTTAAGAATCTTTAATTTCTTAATTATAAATTCTAAACACTCTACCAGGACTAACTCTGTGATGGATGAAAATGGATTTGGATGTTGTGTTGGTGCGTGTGTGTGTGTTTTGTTCAGGATCTTTAGGCTGACGTCATTGAATCTGGTAGTCTGATTGTTATGACTAGATATCACGAGGCTTATAAAGTGATGACATGAGCTGCTATTTTGCCGTGTACGTACCCAGTGAGGGCCTCCCAGGTAGATCAGGAAATGCCAGGTCTGAAGACCTCGGATGTGCGCTGGAGCTGGTCGAAACAGCGATCGCAGCGTTTCAAAGCCCGTCTGAAGGGTCGACCCAGGTAACAATCGGCAGCGTCAGCAGGTGCTCTTATTTTGAAAGGATGTCGTCTGGTTGTTAAACGACAAAAATCTCCAACTTCACAGTTCTTAGTTTAAAGAAGAAAACACATCTGGCCAGGCTGTGCTTCTCTTTGGGATGACGGTGAATAGAACTGAAGTCAAAATGGAACTGAGCTTAAAATGGCGTTGCCTTGTTTTATATCTCTGAATTGTTGATAAGTTTTAGTAAAGCGGATTGGACACTTTAAGTCAACAAGCCAGATTCTCTTGCGGCAGCCGAAAGCTCTGATTGGGTGGAACAATGTGTCATGCGTTTCTATGGAGATGATGGTCAGTCTGTCTGTGCAGTAGTCCTGTTTTCATTAAACACATAAATCATGACATCTTTATTCCACAGATCATTCACTTGATTATTATTGATCAACATCTGTTTCGACTAGCTTTAATCACAAATTAAATACTTTGATTATTGAAAAGCGTTCTTCTTCTCCTGGAATGTAAACAGTCTGAGGAACACCCGACCTTGGCGTTTTCTACACGGGTGTTACTGTGTACAGGGGCAGCTGTGTGGAGCTGAAAATAATGAACTTCATAACGTTACATCAGTATCGGCCCAAAAACTGCATATCGGTGCATCACTAATTGCAAGGTTTTGTCCAAATTACAACCACCCAAAAGCTCCACATCATCTAAAACTTGGTTTGTTTATTACCTAATCAAAAGTTAAATGACAACTAGATTATCGTTTTAGCTAATGTCATTTGTTAGCTAATAAACACAACACAACACACCCAACCAACAAAACAACCCAGACAGCAGCTGTGTTTTTCTCACTAATATTTACTGGAAACAAGAATCAAAGATCCAAGGTCCTTTCCATCCTGCTGTAGGACATCTAGTAAAGTAACAGGATGTGTCATAAAATAGTACACAACAAAATACTTCGGTTGAATCTAGCAGTGAGATGATTTATGTGTAAAATTATTAGATTTTCAACCTTCTGACCCCCAAAATAATAACTTGTGACCCCAAATGTTGATGGCTGAACAAGACAAAAACAATTAAAAGGCCAAATATTCAAGAACATAATTGGAACACAAACAACTTCAACTCATACCACTTTTATATGCTTATGATTCATATTTTACAAAAATAGCTTGGAAATATCTTATTTGATCATTGTTTGAAAGTTTTATTTGAGTTTAATTTAGTGTTTTGAGACCCAACGTGGGTCAGGGTAAAACTGGAGAAACGATGTTCAATCAAACAACCGCTAAGATCTAACCCTAACCCTTTTACTCAAATCAGACTCCTCCAATGACCCTAGAGGGTTCATGTTAATTAGCTAAACCCTGTTTGTTACAGTGGCAGCGTTACTTGATGGGAGGAGGTATGTAAGGTAATTTAATGTGCAGAAGGGAATTTAAATTAATTCAGTTTAACAGCTTTGCTTTATTTTAACATATTTCTCTGATATTTTTCATGTGTTTTAGTTACATATTATTTTATGAGATATTCAAATGTTAATTTGAGAAGAAAATTACCATGGCAACCATCAACAGGTCCATCAAAGTCATAGTTTGAGATATTTTGTGATCAAGACATTTTTACTAAATATAAGCTTCTTAGGACAAACCTGTTTAAATTCCTCTTCTGCTTCATATAACCAGGCATGCTTCAGCTTCTCCTTGTCTTCTGCCAGATCCATTATCTGCTCAAAGGATGCGTTGTCCTCACTGGTATTTTTAGCAAGAAAACGGTCTAAACTGGGCAGGGTTTTCTCTTCCTGGTCATTGTTCTTTTTTTCTATGAATAAATAATTTGTTTTTAAAATACGATTAATTGCAGTTCAATGTGTACATGTCTATTCTTATAACAAAAAAGAGAGTAAAAACTTTTTTTTTTTACTATAACTTACCAGCATCTAAACCTTTACTACTGTAAGTTGTAGAGGGAGATCCTGGGTGACCCACTGGTGTCTCAAAGCTGGCAGGAGTCACATCTTGCACATAAAAAAGTAAAAACACAGCAACAATACAATCAATATTTACTTTAGAGTGAGCAGAGAAAACGAAGAAGCAGTTTTCTGCGCATCTGGTCTTCAGTTAGCCTAAAAGAGCATGTCACCCCTCTATTCATTGATCTCCATTAGCTACCTCTAGCTGCATGCATAAAATTCAAATCGCTAGCACTAGCATACAAAGTCCTGGATGGTACAGCTCCCATCTACCTGAATCCTCTTGCAAAGGCTTATGTCACGGCCCGGCCACTCCGGTCATCGAAGGATCGTCGGCTAGCAGTGCCTACACCATGCTCTCTTTTCATGTATTGTTCAACAGATGTGGAATTACCTACCAAGCACTACTAGAACAGGGGCTTCCTTGTCGATTTTCAAGAAAATCCTGAAGACCCAGTTCTTCAAGAGAGCATCTTCTAATCTAGCACCCTCCCAGCACCCGTCCCCCACTCTACTGCACACTCCATGTTCGCTTCCCTCTTTGATTGGTTATGCTGCCTGTCTGCCAAGATTGACTGAATAGTGTTTGTTGTTAGCCTCGAGGGCAACCTGCTGGCTTGATTACCACCTGTAAGTCGCTTTGGACAAAAGCATCTGCTAAATAAACATAAACGAGGTGTGTTGAATCCCAACAGTTATTATTTTGTTTCTACTCACAAGGTACGGACGTTCGTGGGGTAGACTTGGTCAAGGATGATCCATATCTGATTGATATGTCTCTCATTCTCTCAAGATCTCCATTTTCCTCTGCTTCCAGGTAGTCCTTCTGCGCTTGTAGTTTAGTGACATCTGGAAAGAAGTCCCTCTGGATTATTTTCTCCAAGCTCTGTCAAGAGACCAAACATGAATAAATTAACAGCAGAAGGAAGCGTTTTATTACCAATATAATTATCCACCAAACTGTCACTGTACTAACAACTATGATTAAACCTTCATAATATCATTTACCATAACAAAATAAAACAAGCAACAGTCGAAATAATTTTGGTTAGCCTTATTAGCAAATGGGCCGTTTTTAACTGGAGCCTAAACTCATATTGTTTCAAGTCCCTTACCTGAATGTATTCCTCTTCATCGAGAATTTTTCTCTTCAACGTGTCCTTCTCCTTGTTCTCGGGATGACTGACAGCGACTGTCGTGACGGCTGGAGGTACGAGAGTCCCGGACAGTGCTCTCCTCACGCTACTGCTACCCTCCATTGTGGAGCCTGAGAGTTAGCGTTAGCCTTCAGGCTAGAGACGAGTCACGAGAATAACGAGAAAATAATCTCAGAAAAAAAACTGAGAACGATTTTTCACTTAATAAATACCGTTAAAAACGTAACCGAGGTTTTAAATAATTTCACACGGTGGGAATGGCGCTATATATATATGGTTTAGAGGCTGACTTTTAGCCACAACACCAACACACAAAACAAAACGTTCTTCTTACGCAATTTAAGCGAGTACGTCACCGGAAGTTATTGTTCTAAACTAATTTCCAGTATAAAAGGCTTATGAAAATATTCTGAATATAAATGATACTATCAGTTATATCACAAATCTACAAGACAAAAACCTGGAATTTTACATTAAGAGATGCATGATCCCATCGTAGTCTTTTCACTTAGAATGACAATCTTTCCTCGGGTCTTTTTCAGCATCCGAAAACAAAAACTGATTTTTAAAAGTCTACATAAAGTTATGTTCTGAATCCTTAAACCAAACCGTTGTGTTCATTTTACTTACTCTTTCAATTTTTTTTTATTCTTTTATTCAACATTTCTCTCACATACCTGCTCCACTTCTCCAGTTTGATGCAAACATACTCAGACAGTATTCATATAATTATGTGTGAATATTTATGATGATAAGCTTTTCTGATCATGAAGATATTTGACCAAAAACAAACAAACAAACTGACAGAATGAATAACAAATGAAAAACATTAAAACAGTTTAAACTGTTCAAATTTATCAGCAACTCAGCATCCCAACTTATCAGAATGTATTATTATTATTGCCCAAGTTAATTAAAACGTAGTAAAATGTTTTAGAATGAATTTACATGATGGATTTTTGATTTAACACACTGGTGAGTTTATTAATAAAGAAACAATAAAAAGCTTTTCAATCCGTTTGTTTTAATGATCATCTTGCTCTTATCACATTTCATAAGGATTTTTATCAAGCAAATAAATAAAAAAATCAAGTGGCTCAAACAAAAATGACACTCATCAAATGTTAAAAGACAATGTTTTAATGAGGTAAATATTAATGATGCTCCAGGAGTCATCAGGTATTGATACTTTAATTAAGACCAAAGGTGACAGATCATTTGCTGCTGTGGCCCCCAGACTCTCTCTCTGAGCCTGAGATCAGTGGACTCAGTGGTCTCCTTTAAAAAGCAGCTGAAAACTCACCTGTTCAAGCTGGTTTTGGTGTGACCTTCATCATCACCTTCTCCTTGTTCTGCTCTAAACCAATTACGCCTTATCCGGGATCCACTGATTTCCCTCTTTCCTATTCATTTTCTTTTTCCCTTTCCTTGCACATTTAAATCACAAATCTGTTTTTTATGTTTTTCTTCTAATTTTAACCATGTTTTTAAATAATTTTTTAAGTTTTTTTTTGTATTTTGAATTTTCTGTTGTTGTGAAGCACCTCGTGAGTTTTTATCTTGAGAGATGCTAAATAAAAGATGATTTTCTTTAATTAAAAAAACATGTTTATAATAATTAGGTTTTTATTTATTTATTTTTTCATTTTTTTGCATGCAGGATTGATTTGGTTTTAATGTGTTTTCATTGTTCCAACGTTCCAGTAAAATTACTTAGAATTTTCAAAATAAACATACGAATAGCTATAGCCTATTTCAGAATTTCCTCTTAAAACTTAATTTTATAAATTTTATATTTTAAACATGACTTTAAGCCTTTATCCTATGTACAAGTATTGCTTTAATATTTAACTTTTTCACTTAAAAATAATCTTCACTTGGACCAAAAAAAAAAAAGGAAAAGAGAATGGATAAAAATGCTGCTGAAATCACCCAAAATGAATATAACAAAAAATATAAGAAATATATAATATATAGTAAAATATATAATATATAATAAAAAATACAATATTTAAACAACATGTATTACAGTTATTAATATCAGCCTATATACAATCCATTCAAACCTTTTACACTGAAACTGTACTTGTTTACAGACAAGTTTGGTGTGAGTGAGAACGTATTCATTTAATCCTGGAAAAATGATGCGTATTTACAAGAATATTCACAATTTGTGTAAAACACAACAAAGAATATATGTTTTAAACATCTGATGATCTTCAATCTGCAAAGCGAATAAACACATGCACTCATCAATAAGACAGTCCACTGTCACTCCATACAACATAAATAAATAACAATAAACAGTACGTGAGCTCAACGGTTTGTTTAATACATAATTTGTCTGCCCTTATTTATTTAGACAACAGAACACATCATTTTCTCGTCTTTTTCAGCTCTGGAACAGTTTCTAGTTTTCTGCGTTTCCCACATTAAATGAAAGTCTTTTCTGACGTCTCCACTTTGCTCTTCGGTTTTTAAACCAAACCTGCATTGGAAAAAAGAGAGCAGCGTTATTGTGTCTTCTCCTTGAACTTTTACAGCGATGAACACATTCAAGCACCTTTGAAGCCTCAGAAACAAAAACATCCATCTTACTTCTACTCTCTCCTCTCTTAAGTGAGTGCGCTGGGCCAGTTTCTCTCTTGTGTTTACATCTGGATACTGGTTCTGCAGGAAAAGCTCCTCCAGGGCGTCCAGCTGCTCCTCGGTGAAAATGGTCCGGTGACGCCTAGTTCTTCTCTGCACCTGACCGGGCGGCTGCTCCTCCCTGTGAGTGTCTCCTAGCCTGCGGGGCTCTGAGAGCGTCGCCGGACTCCATCCATACTGACAGACTGCAGGGAGGAGATGTGAGGTTATGGGGCACGAGTCTACAGATGGGATCAGTTTGACCTGTTGGCTTGCTCCTACCTTCATGGATGAAGTCACTGTGGAAAACGTCAGCGCAGCAGTAACAGCAGCACAGGCAGGCAGGATGCAAGGGCTTCTCCTTCAGCCCCACAGCTCTTGCCCCACATAAGCGCTTCTCTCCGCCGCTGCTCGGATATTTGCTTAAAATGTTTTCAATGGTGAAAGGAAACGTCTGCCTCTCCATCCTGATGAGTCCATCCATTTAAAAAGAAAATTCCCCCAAACTATCAGAGAACAGCGATATTTCAGCCTGAGCTGCTCCTCTCCGTCTCCTCTTCCTCCAACAAGGACCGGAGCCCTTATAGGCCCAAAGGGGGAGGAAAAAAAGAGAGATGAATTAAAACCGTAATCCCCCTGTGGACCAGACACATGAAACGGTTGAAACTTAATTCCTGGCTAATCTGTGCAGTTTTGTAAAGAGGTTAGGGAGGACGGCAGATTCGGTTAATCTTGCCTCACTCCTTTCTTCGAGAGAAATCAGATTTCACTGCATGAAACGAAAAGTGGAGAGAGCTCCTGAAATCCTCATTGTTGGGGTCTCAGAGAAAAGGAGATTGCTCGGTATTAGGAACCTGGACTCGAAGATGGACGTCTCTGGTGTGGGCTGAGACTTGTGAATGATGCATTTAGGAATTAGTCTTTAAATTCATCCTGGTTTTGTTTTGTTCTGTTGGGGTTTTATTCACCGGTGTGTAAAATGGAAGATTTTTTGCAGCAGATTGCACCAATAATATCTGGACTGATAATATTTGAACTAGTTACAGACTGACATGCCTTGTCTGAATCAGTGAAATGTAGTGCTACTGATTTAAATATGGATAAAAACACACCCATCCTCATGGTTTGTATTCAGAATCATGCATCTTGTGTCTTATCTGTGTGCTGCAGTCTTTTCGGTTTGACTTCTCTGACAATGTGCAGCACTGAGGCAAAGCTATTACAGGTTAAATTCATTTCCCTTTGCAGCAAATCCTGTGATTTCATACAAGGCAATACACCTTTTTCAGGGAATTAAGGGATTTCCACAATCTATCTTAAGCCCTCCTGTTATAAGGGCTTTAGAAAACAGATAACAAAAAGCACCATCCCTTCCCTTTCACTTGGGTTTAATAGCGTCCAGATTGTTGATGTATAGTTTGCGCCGAGCGTGAGATCGTTATCCGCAGGTATTGTGGTCCTCAACAGAAGCAATTGTCCCACGTCCGTGTCGGTTCACATTCATCATCATCATCATCATCATCATTACTCGGGATTAGAATCATAAGGTTTGTGTCGTTCTGAGCAATATATAGCTACATAAAGTGAAAGGCCCAATTAAAGCTTAGTAGATATAGTTTTTGAAGAGGATTTTACAAATGTATTTACAAAACGGGATGCAAAAGAGATTGTTTCAACACATGGAGCAGTTGGTAGCACTGGTGTCTCTGGAGCAGGAAGGTTGCGTGTTCCAATCCCGGCTGCGGCCTTTCTGTGTGGAGTTAGCATTCTCCTCAAGGATGTGGGGTTTCTCCAGGTGTTTCCTCCCACAGACCAAAATCATGCCATCAGGTTAAATGAAAATGCTAAATTGCTTCTAGATGCAAATTTTTGTCTCTGTGTGTCCTTGTGATAGACTTGTGACCTGTCCAGGATGTCCCCCACCATTCGTCCAACGACCGCTGGAGACAGGCACTGGGTCCCCACGTAAGTGGTACAGATATGTCAGATTTTTTATTCAGCAGCAGTAGCTCAGGAGGTAGAACGGGTAGTCCAGTAATCCGAGGGTTGTAGGATGATCCTGGCTCCTGGATTAGAACGCTGCTGTTGTGTCTTTGGGCAAAACACATCCACCTTGTGGAGGGACTGGTGGCGCCTGTGCTCAGCAGCCTCACCTCTGTCAGTGCGCCCCAAAGCAGCTGTGGCTGCATTGTAGCTCATCATCTCCAGGGTATGAATGTGTGTGTAAAGCACCTTGGGGGGTTCTAGGACTCTAGATAAAGATATCAAATACAGGCCATTTACCATTCATTGCCGTTTAGATCTGAGATTCAGATTTATATTTTATGTCAATTTAACTAAAAGCGGGATAAATAAAGTTTTCGGACCCAGACTCTAAAGGGTGGATGGGAGTTTTGCCATTGGAACATGTAATCCGGTTGTGTTCCGGGATTTTTTTATTTCATTTTTGCAGAGGTTAATGTTTGGTTTGTGCTGCAGAATTTAACCAGGATTTTTAACAGATTTCATGTTAAAATTGTAAAATTATGTTAGATGCATCTAGTAAACAAATAAACAAGCTCATTTAAGTCGGCTGACAGAGAACAGAAGGAAACAGAGAGGTTGCACCAATTTCACTGACTTCTTTCATCTAGGAAAACAAAATCAAGCAAACTACTGAGCATGCACACACAAACACACCGTTTTTGCATTTTATCACAGTAACACATAAGAATGTCCTTTTAAATTACATAATTATTATTAATCTGATGTTTTGTCTTAGTCAGAATGCATACACTTGATATGAAATAGGTATTCAAATAGAAAGGTAGTGGGAGGAAAAAATGGAAGTCATATCCAACACAAATCAGATCTTAACAATTCAGACAGGAGGCACAGGGTTAGAAATACAACCACTCACTGACTGCCGGTAGCTGAGCTCAGACCTGCTAATGGCATCAAACTATTCATGCATGAAAGTCTCAGTGCAGTAGGTCATGTTGGGGAGTCAGAATGGAAGCTGTGAAACAAGATAGATATGCTGCATCTTCACGTGTGCAGAGACATGTGAGAGCTGTGCTCAACACTTTTGTTACATTTGAAAGAAATCACGCTATTGTATTGTTTCAACAACGTCTAATACCTGTGGTAGATTTCCTGCCCATTGCCCTAAAGGAAAATGTCAGCCTTTCTGCAGACTACGTTTTTAACGTTGTAATTAATAAAAACGTACAAATAATGACAGCAGTACTATATTTTTAAATACATAATAATTTAATATCAAAACCATACAAGTGTTGGTTAGATGCAGAAGAGAGGATGTTGATTAGCACGCCCTCTTGTGCTCAGAGTCTGTAAACACTCGCAGCTGCGCGCTGGAGCAACGCGCAAGCGGCACGAAGCGCGCTCGCGATAACTGCGTCAGCTGGGCGGAAAAGGCGGGAGCAGATTGCCGCTTCCGCGTCCGCGCAACACTCGCAGAAGCACAAAACACAGAGGAAAATGGACCATAAGTTAATACAGGCTGTCTGTAATTACCCAGAGTTATATAATGTCACTTTGCCGAATTACCGTTGCACTGAAAGTCGGGCAAATGCGTGGAGAGACATCAGCATGGCACTGGGTGTCCCATGTGAGTATTTGTTTATCACAACTTTACCGCCGATTATTTGCTCAGCTGCTGTCGTCTTTGGTGAGCAATTAACGAAGCGTAGTTTATAAACACAACAGTTATCATGTTTTTAAAAGTTGTTTGTGTGCTTTACTGCAGCTCAGTGGTGTGGATGTGTCCGCGCGCGCCGTGCTAGCGGTAGCAGCCGCTGCCCGCACGCCGTAGGCCGCGACGCACCGTCCGACGCTACCGCGAAGCTAGCCGCGGAGGAAGCAAGGAGACGTGCGGTGCGTCATGGGCCCAATAGTTTTAATGAACTACGTGTTTTTCAACACATGAGCCCGAAAATAGAAAACAGACGGTAACGGAGCCACGTAGGAACGGTGCGTAGGATAAAACATGGCAGCGCGACAGGACGGAGGCCCCCAGCCTCAAACGGAACCAGAACCAGGAGCGTGAACTCAGGGCCAAAGAAAGGGCAACTACCACACGGCAACTAAACAGATTTAACACGAAGAAAAAAACGATGACCCAACATTAACAGTTATGTAACAATGCCGCCTGGTTTTTACTTAGGTAAAATGTGTTTTGCCTTTTGGCCCCAAAAAGATATTTAAACCCAGTTCACCTGAACTCACCACCACTAACTTTAGTAAACAGATTTTTTTTCTGGATAAACACCAAAAAGTTTTAAGATCGTCTCAAACCTTCCCAGACACAAATATTATACGTATTTGAAGTTTTTATCATTATAATTTGACTAAGATTCACAAACATAATCATCTGCTCACCTGTTTGATTTCAAGGACTACTCGATCACCAATGCTTTAACCACAGCATTAGCATTTCGAACCTCAGTGTGCATTGTATTGAACATCTAGGGTGCATTTTGTGCAGTAGGCTAACTTGACTCTTATCTTTTCAAGGTGATGCGTGCAAAAAAAGATGGAAAAATTTGAGAGACCGATACTTGAAGGAAGTTCGACTAGAGATCAAAACCAAGAAGCAGGGGGGTTTTGTGCAAAGTAAATGGAAATACCGACAGCTCATGAACTTTATTGCCCCCTTCACTGGATCGAGGGTTGGTGTGACTGACATGTGTGGCAACACCGAAGAAGAACGTAAAAACCCTGACAACGTATTGGGAAATGAGGAAACCACTCTGTCCGAGTCTGTCAAAACACCCCAGAATATCACTAAGGTAGCGCTGAGTCTGCCTGAGGCGAAGCCCCAGGTGGCGTTTGTGACGCAGCTTCCTGCTCTGTCTCAAGATATCCAGCTGGCCGTCGTAGCCAAGACCCCCCCCGGCCCACAGGTGATCCCGGTCAGCAACAACGGACAGAAACGAAAGATCATGTCTGAGCCGCCATCACCCTCTTCTCCTCAAAGTACACACTCCCAATCAAAATGGCTGTTGAAAGACCACACCACCTCGTTTTCGTCCAGGCCGCGGGACGAGGACGAACTGTTTCTGCTGAGCTTCGTTCCTGCTCTGAAACGACTCGCACCCCAGACCAGGTGCGAAACAAAGATGAAGATCCAGCAGATCATGTATGAAGCAGAATTCAGCACTTCACCTGATGAGAGTCAAGAGAAAAGGACAGCGGCAGGAACACAGGACAAATCTTGAACTGTCTCTAGCCTGCACTTTCACACTTTTGTAGAATACACAGTTAATGAACCCAAATTAAAATCACACAAAGCTTCACCGTCAGTAGAAAAAAAAAACTCACATTCGGAAACATGTTTTTTCCAGCAGCCATTCTTCATTTTGATTATGAAGTCTACAATATTTTACATATAATTACAGTGAAATACAGAAACTGGAGTAGAAATAAAAGATTATAAAGTCTGGAGACGAACACTGTTTGAAATAAAGTTCTTTGAATTTCGCTTCCATCTGAAAGAAGTTAAAAAAATCAGCTAAGATACTGGTTTAGCTTAGCTGCTATTGGCCAAAAACACAAAGGTATTATTGGTCATTTCTCCAGGAAACAAACATCTTAATCATTAGAATCATTAAGTTGCATTAAAGTTTTGTGCAAAAAATTATTTTTGCTTCACAATAAATAGCTGTAGATTCACAAGTCAATGTCTGGTTGCTCTTGTGCAGATTACAAAGTAGTTATTCAACCAGTGAGTCAAAATATATATTTTTTTCATTAATTCATTTCTGAGATTTTTGCAGCAAGAAGTGAAGAGAATACACAACTTCCCGATCTTCACATGCATTTTTTCCTTCGGAGCAGCAAAAAGTCTGCAGCTTTAACCTTTAGCCTGTTCATTTATCATACCTGCTGTTTAAATGTCCAAACTTTGCCAAAGATTAAGAGACGGAAACCTCACAAAGCCGCACTTCTGTCATTTCCCCCCATGCATTTATGCAATCAGCAGCCAAAACATAATGACCAGAGCAGCAAACAGAAAGAGTCGAGACAGGAACTGTTCATCTGTGTGCTGCGGCGTCCCAGGAGCTGCTGTGTGGGTGAAAGTTCAACAGAAGTTACTGGGTAAATTGTTTTCATAAGAAATGAAAGAACACAGAGGAAATGTGTAACCACCTGGAGGAGGTCGTCCATCATTGATGTTAAAAGCCGTGGCAAAAATACCGAACGGGAAGGCACCGATTCCAAAGGACATCTGGAAACCTCCATCTCCGAAGCCAAATCCCTGAAATCCCTGCAGGGATTTTTAGAAAAAATGAAAACGTGTCATATAACAAAGTAAGAAAAAAAACGTGTGACACAATGAGCAGTAAAAGTTGTAGTGATTCTCATGAGGGGCTTTATCTCAGCTGTTCACTAGTAATGGGTCCCAGAGGGAAATGGCTTTTCAGTCATGAATAAAACTGGTCTACACGGCAGCACCTACATCATTTTTGACTCACGGTTTCATCATGAGCTCATTATAATACTCTAGAGCTTACACGAAACTTAATGTAGTTATTCACAATGATGGTTTAACTGTGCAGATGTATTTGTTTGTGTACTTACACCACGGTTTTCCGGCTCTGGTCTCTGTCCTTGTGGTCGAGGGGGCGTCCTTTCCCTTTGAAGCATCAAATCAGATATACACCGTAAAACACTAACATAATGATAATTCTTGCACCACAAGTGTGTTAATGTAGAAGTATGATGACACAATAAATCATGTCAACACTTTTTAGCATCTACCTAGGATCCTGTTGACCCGTGCTTCCCCTCCCATACAAGGGGATTACTTTGTCCCGGCTGATGCCAGCTTTACACACCGGACACACTTGTCTGTTGGGTCGAGTCTCCAACCACTGCATGAAGATAAACGGATGTTAACGAGTCAACGGGTTAGCTAGGGGAACATCTTTGTAAATAAAAAAAAATCTAAGTCAGGCTTACCTGATGCAAACATGGCCAGCTGAACATCATGAGCAAATGAAGTTCATGGAAGTGCAAAAAAAAAAAAAAAAAAAAAAAAAAAAAAACAGTAGGATTAGTAAAAAAAAAAAAAAAACACATTGGAAAATATTCATGAAAACAAACATTAGATAAACAATAATTGTCAAAAAAAACAATTAAGGACAATAAAAATAAACACTACTTCTTGAATATTTCATACTAATTCAAACATATTGGATAACATTTAAGAGAAAATTAACAAATAATTACTTTGTATGATAACACTGATCAGACCACTTTGGCTGCTAATTCATCAGCAAATTTTTGGACATAAAAATGACTAAAATGTTGTTTTGAAAGAGATTCAAGGATTTCACAAAAACATCAGCTAAAAGAAAACAGATTAGTTACCTAATCAGCTAGTAAATTGGCAACTGCCACTTTATTTGACAAAATAAGAGGATTAATTAGATGTTCCAGAACTTTAAAAAAATGTAAACTTTTTCTGATTAGTCATATAAAATGAAAAACACTAAAAACAATAGTGAAACTGTATTCTCGTGCAATCTTCAAACATTTTTGCTGAAGCAAACTGTGAAATAAGTATTTTTATTATTGATGTTAGGAATATAAATGGCTCATAGGCGCCTCGTGATTTTTATCTTGAGAGGCGCTATAGAAATGATACTTTCTTCTTAGACAGACCTGGTAGAACTTAAAACTGTTTTTTCCACACAGTTTAATTGAAGTGGTAAAACCGGAGACAACATTTTGGTTCATGCTGTACTGCTGAGTTTAGTTCACTTGTGTCCAGCCGCTAAAACTGAGGTGGTTTCTGATTTCACAATGTAAACATAAGTAACATATTTAAATCTTACCAGAAAAGGTGGCCACACAAGCTGATCACGGCATCCTTCGCTGTGTCCAGGCATATGTTGCATTCAAAGGTGCTGTCCTGGCTGCCTCCGTCGGCCGCTGCCGAGCTACTGGATCCCGGGCCGGAGTTTTCAGGAGCCGAGACGGTGGAGCCAGACACTGGTGGAGAGGGGGCAGCGGCGGCCATTTATTTGCTAAAAGTCGGTCCAATATTCAAGCTAATACGGTTGGGATGGCTCTGTTCGTTCCTGTCAAACACATAAGAAAGTGACAGGAACTGACAGAAGTGGTCTCCCACTAAGAAACCTGAATAAAAGAAAGGAAAAGCTAACTTTGTGTCATCTGATAGCTATGCTACCGTTAGCAGCTAGCAAGCTAGGAGAAAGGCTAAACGAACTGAGGCGTAAACCGAACCACATATACAATTATTACAGTGGCTAAAGGAATATTTCAACATACATTTTGTAACATAGCCTCATTAAAACTTAATTATGACTTGTTGCGAAAATAGCCTTACAGCTGGTTGCAACACTTCCGCAGGGTGTTAGCCCTAAAAAAAGAGTAGGACTAAAAAAAAAAACGTGGCTGTTTCTTTAAAAGGCGTGGCTATTTCTAAAGGGGGTGGGGTTACCTTGTGTCCGGATTAGTGACGTAAAGAAAAGTAGATACACAAAAACAAAAAACTTACTAATAGTTACTCTTGTGATGGAGAATGTTGCACAAACAATGTCTTCTCATAATTATGGAATTTATTGTTTCTGACATAGGTTTGTGAAGAAGTTGGTTGTAGACTGATGTTTAATTCCTTCTATAAGGGTGATTTTTTGCTTATGCGCCAAGATAATGTTTGTCTGAGGGGTATCCATAGACTGTACATACGGGGGTATCCCAGAAACATGTAGCTAGTACTGTTGCACGATATTAGGAAAACCTGCAATGCGCGATAACAGCGATTAATATCTCCATGATGATATGACTAGAAATAAACAAAAATAAATAAATAAAAATAAAAAATACAACGAAATAGAAAAATATAGAAAATGGGCAAAGCAAAAATTGTGATCAAAAGATGTGAGGAAAAAGGAAAAGACAACTAACAAGACAAGGCAATCAGTAGATCCTGGGAAAAGCTAAATCGGCAGAAAGAGCAAAACAAAGCTAACTTGTATGTTAGCCATCCAAGTCAAGTGTCGTCCGCCTAGGGGGCAGGCATCTAACCTATAGAATCCACCCGATATGCCAAATAGGTAAGGCTCTATTTGATCTGTCAAAAACATATGCTTCTGTTTGATTGACAAAATGCATTATGTGTAGCAAGCATTTGAGCTGACCATTTATTGTGATGTTTTCTGTTCATTGTGATAAGTGTTTTGCGCATGCCGATATCGCAATCTATTCTATCATGCAGCCCTAGTTGCTAGATGGTATATTGTTAATTCAGTCATAAAATTTAAATAAAACAAATAAGGGTTTTACCTTCTTTGCTCCTTTTGTCGTATCAAGAATGAAACTTTAAATCAGCTTTTTTGAGAATTTCTTTTGGATATTCTGGAATGATTTAACCCATTTTGAGCAGAAACTGATGTGCACCTTAAACTCAGAATTTTGCATATTCTATTTAACTTAGTTTTTAATTTTTAAAATTCATGTTTATTGACTATTTTAAATATGTCAGTATTGTTTCTAAGCAAAAACCAAGTTATTTTCATGAAAGATGTTACACAAATCCCAAAGCTGAGAAAAATAAATCCTCACGTATAGGCACAACCCATATTTGGTATTTTTTAATTTTTTTCTATGAGTTAAATTTCATCATTGTAAATGTTTATTGTAGGTAAGGCTTATTTTTAAAAAATCACAAATTTTATTTCGACACTATGTCTAAAAAGTAATTTTTGCTGATCCATCGCACCCATAAAGCAACAGCAATCACAGTTGGTTGTTTCTTTTCTATTTCTATGAAAACAGATACACAAATCAAAGGCACAATCTATTTTTGTTAGTAAATTATTAATTTACGATTTATAACATTAGTTATAAATAAATCATCATAAATGCTGCCACATTCTTTTTTTTACCCTCAATTAGCAAAAACATGAAAAAAACAACATAAAACAAACAAAAGTCATTCACGTTGTAGAAACAGTCTTATTTCTCATTCCTTTCTTATTTATTGTTCTAATGTACAAGATTAAAAGTTGTTTTCAACTCCGTTACAATAGTATTTGTTTTGATGAGAGAAACGGTTATTCTCCTCATCTCTAATAATTACATTTTAGGCACACTAAAGGCCTAATTTAAGTTAAAGACAAACGTATCAGCCTAATTTTAATGGATTTCCATTGACCTGGACATTGACTGGTTGTAACCAGCTGTACGCAGATCTTCTGCCATCGCATCCTCAAACCTTGAGGTCAGCGATCTCTTTAGAGTTTGATTGAAGTCACTGCCAATAAAAACGTAGAGAATGGGGGATATGAAGCTGTTCGACGCAGCCAGGGCGACCCCCACTTTCAGGCCAGATTCAAGCACATTCAGGCTGTGTTTGTTAAAGTCCAGCTCCAGGAGAATGAAGGTATGATAAGGGATCCAACAGAAGAAAAATGACAGGATGAGCGCCACCATGATTTTATAAGGCTTTTTTGATCTGATGGTTAAACTTCTCAGCTTCAATCCAAGCACCACACAGCAGCACACGATCATCAGGCAAGGAATTAGGAATCCAAAGACTAACCGAATCAGCGCCACTGCCTTGTGTCTGGAACGACTCCCATACTCCGTGTGGCACTGAATGATTGGACCGTGGACTTTGGTCTCCTTGAAGATGAGCGAGGGCAACGTTAGCAGGGCAGCGAGAAGCCACACGAGAGCGACCACTCCGTTAGCTTTCTTCACTGTCCGGTGATTGTGTGCCCACACAGGAAATAAAATCAAGATGCAGCGGTCAGCGCTGATCAAAACCAACAGAAACACACTGCTGTGCATGTTGAGAAACAGAGCGGATGATGAGAGTTTGCACAAAACTTGCCCAAAAGGCCAATGTGAGGTCATTATGTAGAATATGTCAAGGGGCAGAAAAACACAGAAGAACAAGTTTGAAACAGCCAGACTGGTGTACCAGGTAGTGAGGACTGTTTTGTTCATTTTCCACCCACAGATCCAAATCACTAATAGGTTTCCTACAAGACCAACAGCTGAGGTAATGATATCGACAGCCACAAGAAAATAGATCAAGGAGGACTGGGAGCTGCTGAAATCAGGAGCCTCGCGGTCGTCTGTGATGTTCTCTGTTTCATTGCTGCCTCTTTAATCTTCATAATCAACATAATCCAACGCCATTGTTGGTTTTTCTAAAATATAAAACAAAATATTATTGTTAGACAGCTACATATCACACAGATTTTTAAAAAGGAAAATCAAATGAATTATATTTGAATACTTACTTTGTGTGTCGCTCATAAACCTCTCTCCATGAGCTTCCTCATGCTGAATGTAACTTCTCATTTCTCTTTCCTGTGATCTTGCCTAAAAGTGACACACATACGTAGGCTAATTGTTTCACAAAAGTTGAAAAAATAATAGATTAAAAAGAACCATGATGGTATCAGAACGGACAACCCCAAAACGAAAGTACATTAAGAACCAAGAAAAAAACCCAAACAGTTTACCTTTGCTGAAATTAAGATCATGTGCATTTAATGAGACTGCAGCTTTAAAAAAAAAAGTTGGTTCCGTCCAGATTTCTGAAAAAGTCTTGATAAAAGTCTGTTAACTTTAGATAACAGTTCTGTATTTACATTCTTATCATCACAAATACTGGGCAACATGAATATCCCGAGGTCAGAAAGCACCCACCCACAAGCAACCATCAAATGTCTTACACAACTTTTACTTAAGAAATATCTAATTAAAAAAAACAAAAACTTGTCTTTACTAAGAAACATAATAGCAATATAATTTTGAATAATTTCCCCCCTTTCTTTTTGTGTTTCTTTATTTACCTTTAAATCCAACATGTGGTACAGACATCTGCAGACTAATTAACCAGATTATCTTATGAATGATCGAGTTAATGAAAAAATATTCATAACATTATTTGTTGTTTCCCTTTATTTAGGGAAACCTCATTTCTTTCTCTTCAATGATTGGCTTTCTGAGTTTACTTTTAAAGTCAATTACTGTTCAGACTTCCAGTGCACAAACAGACCAATTTAATGCTTTTATAAATGAAATTAAGTTCTTTTTAACATTTGCTGATAAAACAAAATACCTGGTGAAATTCCACCCCATGGTCCATTGTATGTACAGTCTATGCCACAATCCCACAACAAGCCACCCCCCCCCCCACACACACACACACACACACTGTTTGAGAAGGACCTGGCTGCAGCACGCAGAAAGGGGCGGTGTCGGGCCAGTTGTTTACCTCAACCGCACATGCGCAGTCGCGATTAGTATGAGCTCCTCCCCCTGACGTTACGTCAACTCAGGGGGCCAGTTTACAAACTGCGCCATTAGGTCAACAACATGGCGGGCGCAGTGGCGAAGAAGTGTCTCAGTCCTCTGGCTTTACTCTCGAGAAGGCTCTCAGCTCCAGAGCTTGTCTTTCAGAGCTGCTATCACCAGAAGGTAAGATGTTCCGTCCGCTTAAACTACGCCACAGAACCGTAACGCATGTCTTAAAAGGCCTGCTGTTCGGTCATTGTTTACAAAAATTTCTCGTTATTAGTTCTTAAATAAGAAGTCAATTTGAGTGCATGATGTTGTGCGAATATATTATTTTGCTGACAAAACTAGCTTAAAATAGCGAAAGCACCGCATAGGGCTAACAGGAGAGCTTGTTTCACAGGTGTATTTAGTTACATCGAGGCTGTCAGGAGGAGGAGGGGGGATACCCACAAGCTGATAGGAGTAAGTAAGCTAAATATTTAGCACATTTACTTGTTTTACAGCAGCTGTTTTATAAATTGAAGACCAAAATAACGCCACTAATCTCCCTTTCAGCTGTCCACAGATTTAATACTTAATTAGATTCGATTAATGGGCTTTGTGGTGGAGGCCAGTGTGCCAAAAACAGTCAACTATTCTGTAATACTTGCAGCCTCGTTGTAAAGCTAACGTTTCCCTTATCCATATTGCACATATTAACACTTTTAGCCTTGGGTTTGGTTGTAATGCATGTCCCTAAAGTTTCTATAACTACAAAATATTAAAAAGCGCTAAAACAGGTTAGAAGAGAATGAAACACTGTAGTTAATCAAAGAAAACACAAAAGTGTACAAAGAAGAATTAATTAAATATTGATAACTATTTTTAAAGCAGTTAGGGGAAAAGAAAGCTGATGAATTATAAAACTGTAGCCCTCATGATGACGTAAGGCTTGAGAAGGCTCAGCAGAAGAGGCCAGGGCAACTTTATTGTTCAGTGGACAATGGGATCCAGTACAAGTCTGTGTAATTTAGGGTCTCTTGTGAAAGGAAGGACATTTGTATTTGCATAACAGTGATTTAAGGTCTTTCAGACATGCAACTTGAGGTGCCATGGTTTTTGCACATATTTCTGTCTCTGGTATGGATAAACAATGCATTTTCCCCTCTCTGATGCAGCTTTTTCTGATTTCTGTTCCATGAAGGTGGTGGATCACTATGAGAACCCAAGAAATGTGGGCTCAATGGATAAAAACTCCAAGAATGTTGGAACTGGTTTGGTGGGGGCTCCTGCCTGTGGAGATGTGATGAAGCTCCAGGTGCGTTTATTACTCTGAGTTTTAAACAGTTATTAGGAGGTAATCCTTACACGTATAAGTACGGACACATTGCATTGTTTTTATTTAACTTCATATGAAAGAGTGGCTGTTATTTTACTCTACTTGTTTAAGAGAAAATGTAATTTTGAATAATTCAGTCTTCATCTTCTCATGGATTAAGGTCTTGCTACTTTTTACACCTAAAATAAAAGTTTGAACTTTGGGCAGATCGAAGTTGATGACCAGGGGAAGATTGTGGATGCAAAATTTAAAACCTTTGGCTGTGGTTCTGCCATCGCCTCTAGCTCTTTGGCCACTGAGTGGGTGAAAGGCAAAACTGTGAGTTAACATGATTCTTCATGTTTTATTTTGGTAGAATTGTCTCTACTAATGTCTTAACTTGTAATTTCTGACCATATCTGCTTCTTATTTCAGTTGGATGAAGCTCTGAATATAAAGAACACCGACATTGCAAAGGAGCTCAGTCTTCCACCTGTCAAACTGCACTGCTCCAGTAAGATTAAACGTCACTGGTTTGGTTCATATTCAGGTTACCTAATATATAATTAACATATGTCTGTTGCTGCATCAGTGCTTGCAGAAGATGCCATCAAGGCGGCCCTTGCAGATTATCGCCTGAAGCAACACGACAGCCAGAAGAAGGCAGGCAGAGTCGGCAATTAAACTACGCAGTCCCACTTTGAGCTGAATGCCATCTGCTTTCTGTTACTAGGGCAAGATGTAGTACTGCATCCATTATACTTTCCAGCAGTAATTTTGACTAGTACATTGTGGTCAACCCTGTAACAGCGCCACACTATGCTTTCTGTAGTAGTGTGTGATATTCAGAGTCTGTATACTGTATTTAGCCTGTCACGTAAACGCACAATTTACACAAAGCTAATACAAAGATGAGCCTTATTCTGTGAAATCATATTTTCTTTGTGGATTTTATTCATTTTATTTTGAAAGGTTCGATGCAGGTTTTGATCTTTGCTGAAAGTTGTGACCTGTTGGCACCACCAAAGCACTGCCTGTTAAAGGATTGCAAACCAAAAATCAACAAGTGGTCCAATGAGTTTGGTTGTAAATTATAATATTTACAAATGCTTCATTGAAAACCTGCAATAAAAATATTGTAAATTTATTTTTAAGTCAATTTTTTTTATTACTGAATTATTTAGAAAATATAGATTTGACTCTTTTTTTTTTAATTGTGTAAGCTACTGTAGTGATTTAAATAATCGTCGTCGTCTTCCTCCGCTTACCCGGGTCGCGGGGCCAGCATCCCAACTAGGGAGCTCCAAACCGTCCTCTCCCCAGCCACCTCCACCAGCTCCTCCGGCAGGACCCCAAAGCGTTCCTGGACCAGATTGGAGATGTAACCTCTCCAACATGTCCTGGGTCGACCCGGGGGCCTCCTGCAGGCAGGACATGCCCGAAACACCTCCCCAGGAAGGCATCCTGACCAGATGCCTAAACCACCTCAACTGACTCATTTCGATCTGGAGGAGCAGCGGTTCTACTCCCGAGTCCCTCCCGAATATCCGAGCTCCTCACCCTATCTCTAAGGCTGAGCCCGGCCACTCTACGGAGGAAACTCATTTCGGCCGCTTGTATCTGCGATCTCGTTCTTTCGGTCATTACCCAAAGCTCATGACCATAGGTGAGGATTGGGACGTAGATCGACCGGTAAATCGAGAGCCTGGCTTTCTGGCTCAGCTCCCTCTTCACCACGACAGATCGGCTCAGCATCCGCATCACTGCAGACGCTGAACCAATCCGCCTGTCGATCTCCCGATCCCTCCTACCCTCACTCGTGAACAACTCCTCCACTTGAGGTAGGACCTCCCCCCCGACCCGGAGTTGGCAAGCCACCCTTTTCCTTGAACCGTCACCTTATCATGGTGAAGGAGTTTGAGTGCCCTAATGATCCTAGGAGCTATGTTGTCTGGGGCACTTTGTGCCCCTGGTAGGGTCTCCCATGAAGGGTGAGACAGAACGGTTCAGAGGATCTTTCATGGAGGTAAATTCAAAGAGTCGGAGTACCCAGCCCAGAGGTTTACCAGGGTCCCGCCCTGGAGCCAGGCCTGGGGTTGGGGCCCGTGAGCGAGCGCCTGGTGGCCGGGCTTTCGCCCATGGGGCCCGGCCTGGCCCAGCCCGAACCGGATACATGGGCTCATCCAACTGTGGACCCACCACCCGCAGGAGGAACATGAAGGGTCTGGTGCAGTGTGGATCGGGTGGCAGACCGAGGCGGGAGCCTTGGCGGTCCGATTCCCGGACAAGGAAACTGATTTAAATAATGTGACCCTAAGAACATCTTACAAGTTATTAAATAATATTTCTCACTTATGTACCTCTTATCCATGTGTTGTATGTATACTCACAATAATCAGTGTTCTCTTTTTTGCTTTGAGGAAAAACAACTGGTTAGCATTAACAAATATTTGATAGATGGTATAAATCAAATTCCATAAGTTCAAACGTCATGATAAACTAAGTGGGCAAAATATAAAATGCTTATCAAAGTTCCTGATATGGAGTCTGCTGAAAGAGTCAGTCCCATTTGTTACAAATCAAAACAGTGATTCTGTTCTTGTGTGATGACATCAGCATTTGTCAGCGTTCAGAAGGCCGTTTTCTCTCCGGCGATCAGCTGAAGCGTTGCAGTGTCATTGTGAATGTGCAGAGAAGACGGCCGGAGACTCCTGCCACCCGAAGCCTCTTTCGAATCCTCCACCTTATAAGGCTGCTCCATCTCTGAGCTTCCTGGTGCCTCAGGAAGCTGCTGCTCCTCAGGGAGAGTTGGCAGCTGCTGCTGATCCAGAAATCTGTGATCTGGTGTACAGCCATCCTCAGAACTGTGGTCTTCCTCTTTCTGAAACGGCTCACTTCTCTCAGCTGCATTCATATTTTTATTTGGTGTGCGCAGGCTGCTTGCTGCCCGCATGATCTCACCCTGGAGCTGCTTGTGAGAGTTCACTGGCTCATGGTCCTGCTTTGGAGATGCTCTTTCTTGCACTTCATTAAAGGGTTTAGCACCACCGGTTTTGTCCCTATGGTCCACGTACATTTTAGAGGGAAATGAAGAAGGGTAGTAGGAATTAACTTTATGCCTGCGACTCATGCAAACTGCTCCACAGATAATAAGAAAGGCGAGGAAGATGAGAGAGTTTGCAACAAGGATGAGGAGCATATTCTCCTTCAGGATGTCCATCATCTGTTTGGGGAAGTCTGGTTCTTGTGCTGGGTGGACTGGTGTGGTCTGATACTCAGTGGGAATGATTCTTGTTGAGACAGAGGCGTTTATGTAACTGATTTCTTCCTCATCTGTACTTCCCTCCAGGGAAATGTAGAGAGGTAGAGATGTGGCCAGGCATCTGCTAAAGTAAAACGCCACATACAGGCCAATGTGATGAAGGGCTCTTGGATGCATCTTTTCCTCTCAGGATCTGTAAAAACAGAAAACACTAAAACTTAATTCTATATGGAGAAACTGTCAGCACTTTAAAGAGTATCGGATGTTCAGAGGAATGTAAAGCAGCAGCTGTCCCTGAGCTGGTGATTACTCGGTAAATTGAAGTTAATTATTGAGTATCCAACCATCCATCCATCCATTTTCATCCGCTTATCTGGAGTCGGGTCGCAGGGGCAGTAGCCTAAGGAGAGGCCCAGACTTCTCTCACCCCAGCCCCTTGGGCCAGCTCATCCGGGGGAATCCCAAGGTGTTCCCTGGCCAGGTAGACATAGTCCCTCCACCGTGTCCTGGGTCTACCTTTAGGTCTCCTCCCGGTTGGACGTGCCCAGAAAACCTCACCAGGGAGGCGTCCAGGAGGCATCCTGACAAGATGCTCGAGCCACCTCAACTGGCTCCTCTCGATGTGGAGGAGCAGCGGGTCTACTCCGAGCCCCTCCTGAATGACAGAGCTTCTCACCCTATCTCTAAGGGAGAGCCCAGCCACTCTTCAGAGAAAACTCATTTCGGCCGCTTCTATCCGCGATCTCGTTCTTTCAGTCACTACCCAAAGCTCATGACCATAGGTGAGGGTAGGAACGTAGATCGACTGGTAAATCGAGAGCTTTGCCTTCTGACTCAGCTCTCTCTTCACCACGACAGACCGGTACAACGCCCGCATCACTGCAGATGCAGCACCAATCCGCCTATCGATCTCACACTCCAGTTTTCCATCGCTCATGAACAAGACCCTGAGATACTTAAACTCCTCCACTTGGGGCAGGACCTTATCCCTGACCCGGAGAAGGCATTCTACCCTTTTCCGAATCAAGACCATGGTCTCAGATTTAGAGGAGCTGATTCTCATCCCAGCTGCTTCACACTCGGCTGCAAACCATTCCAGCGAAAGCTGAAGATCACGATCTGATGAAGCCAACAGGACCACATCATCTGCAAAAAGCAGAGACCTGATCCTCAGGCCACCAAAACTGATGTGCTCCACACCTTGGCTGCACCTAGAAATCCTGTCCATAAAAGTTATGAACAGAGTCGGTGACTTGGCAGAGTCCAACTCTCACTGGGAACGAGTCCGGCTTACTGTCGGCAATGCGGATTATAAGCTCTGACACTGGTCATACAGGAACCTAACAGCCCGTATCAGAGGGCCTGGTACCCCATACTCCCGGCGTACCCCCCCGCACAGGGCCCAACGGGGGAAGCGGTCAAACGCCTTCTCCAAATCCACAAAACACATGTAGATTGGTTGGGCAAATTCCCACGCACCCTCCAGAATCCCCCTAAGGGTATAGAGCTGGTCCAGTGTTCCACGGCCAGGACGAAAACCACATTGCTCCTCCTGAATCTGAGGTTCAACAATCCGATGGACCCTCCTTTCCAGAACCCCTGAATAGACCTTACCAGGAAGGCTCAGGAGTGTGATCCCCTGTAGTTGGAACACACCCTGCGGTCCCCCTTTTTAAATAAAGGGACCACCACCCCGGTCTGCCAGTCCAGTGGGACTGCCCCCGATGTCCACACGATATTGCAGAGCCGCGTCAGCCAACACAGCCCCACAACATCCAGAGCCTTAAGGAACTCCAGGTGGATCTCATCCACCCCTGGAGCCTTGCCACAGAGGAGCTTCTTAACCACCTCAGTGACCTCAGCACCAGAGATTTGAGAGGCCAACCCAAAGTCCCCAGACTCTTGCTTCCTCACTGGAAGACGTGTTGGTGGGATTGAGGAGGTCTTCGAAGTATTCTTCCCACGATCCATAATGTCCTGAGTAGAGGTCAGCAGCACACCGTCCCACTATAGATAGTGTTGGTAGTGCACTGCTTTCCCCCCCGAGGCGCCGGATGGTGGACCAGAATCTCCTTGAAGCCGTATGGAAGTCTTGCTCCATAGTCTCACCGAACGCCTCCCATGCCCGGGTTTTTGCCTTGGCGACCACCCGAGCCGCGTTCTGCTAGGACTGCCGGTACCCGTCAGCTGCCTCTGGAGTCCCACAGGCCAACAAGACCTGATAGGACTCTTTCTTCAGCTCAACAGCATCCCTAACCGCCGGTGTCCACCAGTGGGTTCGGGGGTTGCCACCACGACCAGCACCAACAATCCTGCGACCACAGCTGCGGTCGGCCGCCTCAACAATGGAGGCACGGAACAGGGTCCATTCAGACTCAATGTCCCCCGCCTCCCCCGGAACATTTTGGAAGTTCTGTCTGAGGTGGGAATTGAAGCTCCTTCTGACAGGAGACTCTGCCAGACGTTCCCAGCAGATCCTCGCGATACGTTTGGGCCTGCCTGGTCTGACCGGCATCCTCCCCCACCATCTGAGCCAACTCACCACCAGGTAGTGGTCAGTTGACAGCTCCGCCCCTCTCTTCACCCGAGTGTCCAAGACATGTGGCTGCAGGTCAGATGAAACAACAACAAAGTCGATCATTGAGCTGCGGCCTAAGGTGTCCTGGTGCCAAGAGCACATTTGGACACCTTTATGTCTGAACATGGTGTTCATTTTGGACAATCCATGACTGACACAGAAGTCCAATAACAAAATACCACTCGAATTCAGATAAGGGGGGCCATTCCTCCCAACCACACCTCTCCAGGTCTCAAGGAAACTGGTTCCAGAGCCATGCGTTGAGGTGAGTCCGACTATATCTAATCGGAACCTCTCAACCTCACACACCAACTCAGGCTCCTTCCCTACCAGAGAGGTGACATTCCATGTGCCAAGAGCCAGCTTCTGTAGCAGAGGATCAGACCGCCAAGGTCCCCGCCCTCGACTACCACCCGTCACACACTGCACCCGACCCCTTTGGCCCCTCCCACGAGTGGTGAGCCCATGGGAAGGGGGACCCACATTTCCTCTTCGGGCTGTGTCCGGCCGGGCTCCATGGATGAAAGCCCGGCCACCAGGCGCTCGCCAACGTGCCCCACCTCCAGGCCTGGCTCCAGAGGGGGGCCCCGGTGACCCACGTCCGGGCGAGGGAACACGGTTTCCATTTATATAATTCATCATAAGAGTTCTTCGGGCTGTTCTTTGGCTGATCCCTCACCTAGGACCTGTTTGCCATGGGTAACCCCACCAGAGGCAGAAAGCCTCAGACAACTTAGCTCCTAGGATCATTGAGGCACTCAAACCCCTCCACCACGGTAAGGTGGCAGTCCAGGAAGAGTAAATTATTTTTCATAATATAGTATTTATTGAGTAATTTTGAGTAAATAACTAACTATTTCTCTTATGATGATTCTATTGCCAAGCAGTCAGATTTTCAAAGTGGTTCTTGTGATGATGAAAAGTCACCTTCTTTGGGACAAAAAACCAATGATAATGAATTATTCTCATGAGATAAAAGTGAAACAATAGTCACCTTTTGGTTAAGGAATGAGGCTGAGTTGGTGGATGTTTGGGAGGAAGGGGTCTTAGATATTTAGGTGCATTATGTAAGAACGAAGTAAGACGGACATCCAGTGGTTGGTTTGAATACTGCAGGCTATGTTTCAAAACAAACCAGTGACTCTTTACCCTCCTGTTCGTGATTACGACGCAGCACCAGAAAATTCTAGATTATGACCGAAGATGAGCCGTACACAGTAAGTTGATAAGTACAGTAAGTACATTTCACTGTAAGATTGAGTTGTTGGCAATTTAAAAAGTAGCTTGAGATATTTTTAGAGCTGAGTAGTTTCCAATTCACTATTAGCATTGTTAGATCCATGTTAGCCTCTAGCCATCTTCACCCAAATATAAGCCCTTTTTACAAGACACACCATGCCGGCAAATCAGTGCAATATTACCTCAACGGTGTGCCTTATAAACACGCCATGCCGGCATGGCGATGAGTGAATTTTGCGGCATTCAATCCGCCTCACTTGGTAGTAATATTGTTGTAACTGTGGTTCCAGTGCTCAGCAGCACTCGCCTCTGTCAGTGCGCCCCAGGGCAGCTGTGGCCACATTGTAGCTCATTACCACCAGGTGTGAATGGGTGAAGGAATGATTGCGTTGTAAAGTGCCTTGGGGGGTTCCAGGACTGCAGAAGGTGCTATATAAAAGACAGGCTGTTTACTATTTTGTACCTTTAAGAAGAAATTGTAGCTAAAATATGAAAAAGCTCCCCAGGTGTGAATAGGTCTAACTATACTTGTCTGTCTCTGCGTGTCCCTGTGATGGACTGATGACCTGTCTGTCATTTTTATCCCTTTTCTCAGTATTCTATGATTGTAGACCCTGATGCTGCCGATGAGACCACATTCACCTCAACAGACTCACAGCAGATATGGAACATCATGCTGCAAGCACCGAAGGATGACAGCTTCAGTTCACGTTATTTATAAAGCTCCAACACATGACACAAATTGTCTAAATACTCTGTACAAAACAACAAATCTAGATAATATGGGTCCCTAGGCAGTTTTGGTTTGCTTTTAGCACCCCCTAGTGTCCATTTGTATAACCAAAAGGGAAATATCCTTGCTGTAGGTTTGTCTTTTTAACACCTTATTCTAACACCTGAAGCGTTTCCTCAGCTTTCCTTAGTGTGTACAGGAATGATTAATCACTAAATCAAATAAATCAGCTGCGACCATGATCTAAAACATGCAGGAAACGTGCTGGATGTCTAGACAGAGCGGCCCGCCAGTCTGAAGTTGCAAGTGGAATATTCTGACCACAGGGAACGATGGAGACTTTCATTAACCCTGTAAACGTCATTTTAGCTCATACTGGCTCAAGAAAATGATTTAAAAATATAAAAAAGTTGCAAAGTATGCCTTAAATGTTACCGTTTTTGTTAAATATTAAGTGTCCTTAAGGTGAGGACAAAGGGCCGTGGGGGTTTGTGTAGAAATGCATTATATCATATATTTAAGCAGTTATTAACGCTTTATTAGTTTATTAATACCTAATAATGCACTAAATAACGTTAGTAAAGGGACCCTTATTGTAAAGTGTTACCCAACTCTATATCCTTTCAGGGGCAGATTCAAGCTCAGGGACTGCAGTAAATGCATTGAAATTGTAAAAAAAAAAAATCATTGCTACTTCATGCTACTCTGATTTTTTTCTCTCCTCTCTTCTCATATTGAGAACCCATCTCACCTGATCTCATTTTAAATTCTCCTAGTTTTCACTTGAAATATGAAATTTCCCTGGCCTATGAATGTAGGCCATCAGTTTGCTGAAGCAAAATAATATTTTTCTATATAGGACGGCTTGCCAGGTTACACTTTCCCCCAGTTTCTTTGAAAAATATACTTTTGGCTTATCTGACAAATGATCCAGCAGATTAGTTTGCATGTCCACTGAGCCATTTCTGAATGTAACAAGAGTAAATATGGAATAAACGTGTCGAAGAGCAGAGGTCGGCTCGATTATTTCCTCAGTAAAAATGTCATCAGTCATCAATCTTTGCAAATACTCATTTATTCAGCACAATCCCATAAACATTGCACTAGAGCTGAGTATGGAATAAAATAGGTGCTAATACTTCACTTTTCTTCTTTTTATTCTATGAATGTGATGCGAGAATAAAAAAAAAACTTGTAGTTAGTAGATGATCAGGTCTGGTTTTTAAAATGGATGAACTAACCCTTTAAACTCAACTGAATGTATTGACTCGGGCCACGCTTCTCTCTCTGCTCAGACTGTTTTAACTGGCAGCAGCTCCAGCACTTTCATCCACATTCTGCTGCATCTGTCTGCAAGCTGGCCACCACATGAAACCCAGCTCCCCACTGGAAAAAAGCAGGGATTTTTTATTTTCTTTCAGCGTGAATCACCGGGGAAGATATGTGCATGGCCACAGAGGCCTGTGCAAACACACACAGACATGAACACAAAGAAAACAATCTACATGAACACAATTTGGATATATATATATATATATATATATATATATATATATAAAAGATGACAAAGAATCATGTAACCAGTGTTTTAGGTGTCTGAGACATCACAATGCTGTCATTTCCCCTAATCTTAAACTTTTGCATCTGCATGACAAAAAAAAAAAAAAAAAAAAATCAAAAATACACATTTAACTCACCGTCCAGTGCAGAAGGAGTTCTTTTTGCTGAAATCTCCGCTGATAGAGGGTGAGTGAAACCAGAAAGAGGCAAACTCAAAGGGAGCAGAGCACAGACTGCACGCAGCGATTTGGGGAACCACTCCACCTCTGCAGTTTCAGGTTTCAGTGAGGACGTTTGCATAGTGCAACCAGGAGCCCTCCTTCTGCCTCTCGGCTGGCTGTTATCCCCCCCCTTACGTTTCCCTGAGTGAGTCTGGGGCTCTCTGGCCTGCATACAGATTGATCTTGTTAGGCAGAACTTCATATTGTGCTGTGGGGCCAGGGACCTCCTGTCCACTCTCTTTAAATGTGCAATCATAAATAAACAATAAAAAAAAGCCAGCTCCTAAACTTTCCCTCTGGTCCTGGTGATAATCTTCTATTCATGTCACACTCGTGACAAACAAACCACCTGGGGGTTGAAAAAAAAGAGTCAAAGAGCAGCTTGTATGAGTGACCTGTAAATGCAGGAAGAGGTTAACGTTTCCTGTGGAGACAAAACACCCTTAACACTCCCAGCAAGGGGGGATGGAGAAGGCCGCAGACTTTTATAAACAATGAGGTGTTATTTATCCAGAGGCAACTGATTCAATCCGCAGCACATGTTAAAAATACAGGCTAGGCGCCTGCATGAGTGAATGCATTTTTCTTTGGGGGCAAGTCGACGATGTGCGAGTTCTGCGACTAAATTATATCTTTATTTGGTCAAGATGAGCACGAGATGACGACCAGCATCTGGAAGGTTTACGTTTGTCCCAGCTCTGTTGATAATTACCGCTCTGCTTCAGCTCTGCGTGACCAAACATAAAAAAGAGCCTCATGAGTCTAGTACACAGAAGAGTTTTCATTGCACAGGAAAGGAAGTGACTGTGGGATCCAGCTCAGCGTAGGAGAGAGGGCTGCTTTGAAGCGTTTCATAAAAAAAGGAACCAGGCTACGAGACAATCTATATTTATTGTGGCTGTTAAACGCTCAGACACCTATTAGACAGTGTTAGCAAACTTAAACAACATCATCTGATTGTTATTTTCAGTAAATTTACAAAGAAATTATGAATTTTCTCTGTGAAAAGTTCAATTGAAGGCAATAAGGATGCAGAACTTTGGTAGTTTTCTTACTTTGTGGTATTAACACAGCATGCAAAACACATTCTAATGAGAATTGTATTATTGCAAAATAAATACAGGGAATTTTCTTTTTATTTTACTTAAGTGCAATAAGTTCTGCAAATGACCAAACCCCACCGTGATCCTGAAACGTGTGTGTTGTTTTCTTTTACCTGAAACCATAGACTGTACATATACTGGACAAACGGATTCCATTGGCTTCAATAACACGTTTGTTGTCTATAATGGGAGGTGGCCACCACCGCCATTTTGACCGTGTCACAGGTTCCGTCCAGCCCAGACAATTCCATAAAAGGGAAGAGAGGAGGCGCTGAGGGTGTGGCTGTAAGGCTGGGCTCGAGTGACGACACCCAGGCGAACTAGCTACGAGCTAACCTGAAGCTAACCCTGGCTAACCCAAAGCTAAAGCGGAGGTGGGAGCCGAGCTAACGGATGTAGCCACCTAGCTTCAACCCAACCGGAGCTAACTGGAACACCCATCGACCTGAACCTTACACGGAGTTTAGGTGGAGGTTTTCTGCGCCTGTTCGTGAGAAGTACCTGTATTAAAAAAGTTTTAAATCGGTAAGTTTATAATTTATTTCCGTAATGAAAACATTTTGCTTTGAGCAAGTTTTCAGTACAGTTTTTTTCGGCGCTATCACTCCTGAGTCGCACCAGCCATTAAATGTATCATGAAGAAGAGAAAATATATTTAAGTCGTATTTTGGGGGGACATTTTATTATCTTTCTTACAAAATCTGAGACCAAGCGTTTCACATTGCAACACAAGCACCGGTAACCATAACAGAACGAACAACAGCCAGCAGAGGAGAGGATGGCGGTGTTTCAAACCCTCCCGGCCGGCGAGGAGAGCTCATTCCTGGGCTGGAGCCGGCCCTCAGCACCCCGCCACAGGCTCTAACAGATGCTGGCGGTGTTTGAAACCCTCCCAGCGGGACAGGGGAACTCATTCTTGTGTGGGTCGGAGTCGGCCCGCAGCAGCGTGGTGTAGCCTACATATTTTGTTATATAAGTCGCTCCGGAGTATAAGTAGCAGGACCTGCCAGAAAATGTAAAAAAGTGCGAGTTATAGTCCGGAAAATATTGCAGTTATTAGTATTCGAGCTAAATTAGCAGCGTAAATACATTTCATATATTTCCAAAATGTTATACTTGTTTGTATCTTGTACAGCCAACTAGTCTTTATTCTGGACTCAGTACAATTTACCAAAAGTAAAGAGACATTCTACAGATGAAGTAAGCACAAGATAACTTGCTGGAAGACACGGAATTATCATCAGAACCAGAACAAGAGAGCCTGATAACAGTCGTGAAAATAACAGTTAAAAAGTATGTATGTATAATAGAAATAAAAATATATTAGAATTAGTGTAACTCACTGTGATCCAAACAATAAATCAGCCATAGCTGATTAGTAAATATGACATGAGGTCTGGGAGTTTTTAATTTTCATTTTTTTGTTAGATCTGTTTAAATGTCACCATGGCAGCCTGTGTGTCTCCAACATCAGCTACACAAAGCAGCAAGTGTAAGTTTCACATACCTGTCTCACCACTTCATGTATGGTTTTGTACTTTAAACAATTATGACAAACCTGTTATTTTTTCTCCATAGCCATTTGGATCATTGGAGACAGCTGAGTGAGGCGTGGTGCCCAGAGAGCTGCAGAGACAACCTTGGCCTCCCTGACGTCTGTGTCTCCTGGTTCGGTTGGGGTGGACCATCGACATACATACATGTGCCGACACTTTGCGCCCTGTTTTATAAAATGTAGTGTTAAAAATAAATGTTTTTGCTCAATTACTGGAATTTCTTTGGTTAAGACAAAAGTGAGGAATAATCATTTACAAGTTATTTGTACAACAGGCCCATTTTAAATCCCAACAGTTTCTTAGCAGACAATAGAAATGTGTTCTTTACTAACTTTACTTGGTTTAAAACTCTTACTAAAATAGTGCCGTATTGCAAAACCCAATCATACTTGTTATGTATACATTAGCTTTGTAGATATTTTTTACAGATATATATTTGTGTGCAACAAATCCAAACTTAAATAGTTTTGTCATTCTTTATTGAAAAACAACAAAATACAGTTATACAGAAGTGTGGGAAAATGATAATGTGAAAGTATTGCTATTTAAATGTAATCCTATTTATCTTTAAAAAGAAAAACTCTAAAAATGTCCTGTACAGCATCATGACAGAAGAATGGTGGTCTGTCTGTCAGAATGTGCTGAACAGATTTGCTCTTTGAGGAGGAGTGTCATGTTTGGAGGAAGGTACTTAACCCAAGACATGCAGAATACAACACTGACCAAAAACTGATGGAAAAAATGATTTATTTATAAGGAGGAACTTAAGGTGCACAGATAAGTCTGTGGTTGGAACTGCAACAACAGCTCAGCGTCTGGAGGAGGGAGAACACAGGTGAGCTTAGGTTCTGGTTTCAAAATCCATTGTAGGCAGGCAGAGGTGTTCAGCAGACTTACTGTGGTGGGTGTATGTGTTGGCTGGAGGGGGGAGAGGTAGAGAGCCGGGGGAAGCGCAGGAGAGGGAGCAGAGGTGGAGAGAAGCGGGGCGTCCTGGTGGATGGGGCAACGGGTGAGATGAGAGGTGGGTTATGGAGGGTGGTGATAAGGTCCGTGTGTTGAATATCCAAATCCTGGAGTAGAGGTCAGTATCCAATGAGGTCGACAGGAATCCTGAAGAATGGTAAATCCAATATAAGAGCAAAAACACTACGAAATAACATTAATCCTAGGAACACTAGAGGTAACACGAGTGGCTGGTTACTACCAAAACTGAGGCAATCTTCTGGCGTCAAATTTTGTCCTCCATCCACCTTAAATAGGAAAGCACCCCGCTGATCGCTGATCAGGAACGGCTGGGGTGGAGTCACCAGAACCATGAAGAACGTGTCTCCAGAGACAACTCGGGTCCTGGTACCGATCAGGAAAGCGGACCTTATCACCCAGAGCTGCCAGGTCACGCTCAAAGCCTTCATGTTCACGCTGCAGAGCCTGAACGCTGGCCAGGTGGTGGCCGTAGTTGTCTGTGTTCAGGGCCTGGTTCTTCTCCTCGATCCACTCTTTGGTCTCATCAGCGTCTCTGAGAAGACATCAGAACTCCGTCTGAGTGTGGGTCCAAACTCTACTGACCCGTAAGCGGCGCATAAGTGTGCGGGGTACCTGTGGAAGCGCTACACCTCATGGGCGCTGCCCAGCATGTTGCAGCGAGCGCCAGCGGTTGTTCAGCTCCTGGAGAGAAACCAAACCCAGTGAGATGAAGGTGGACGCCAGCGGGCTGGACGCCGGACGAGGAAACCTGGAGACGGATCGCTCAGACAGGAAGGGAAGAGCTTCCTCTTACCTTGATGGAATTAAAGTTAGCCGTCGTCTGAACGCCCAACCGTACGGTCTGAGGTCAAAGGTCACAGGAAACACACACCAGTCAGCAGTCATACAGATGCATAAAGATAACTGTAGCCATGGCAACCAGATGACATGTCCCCACTTTCACCAGCACCTGGTGCCTGCCGGGTCACCTGAATTCCTGTGTGATTTCAGCACGGTCGGCCGTGACTGCGGCCATCAGAGGTGACCTCTGATCAGCTGAATGAACTCACCTTCTAGGGTGACGCCGTGTTACCCTGGGTTTCCACGGGAGCCGTCAGCAGCACGTTACTGCAGCAGCACGTCTTGCTCGCGTAAGCTGCTGCTTGGCCCTTCCCACGAGACGCGAAGCAGCAGGGGAGCAGCTGTCACCGACCGAGCACGAAGTCACTCGAGTGACTTCGTCAGTAAACACAACAACAAGCAGGACAAAACTACAACATGGTTTGTGTTTTATGTTCTGTCCGTTTTATAATCGCCAATACGGACCTGAAAAACAAAGGAGACCGCTAGCTAGGTGATAACTTCTCACGGGGCCGCTCAGTTAGTAACCTTTTTTAAAAGTAAAGCAACCGGAAGGCAGTACGTTCTTTATTCTGAAAATCTCGGTAGCTTCTCTCAATTTCCGCGTCCGATTTCCTGTCTTTCCTTCCCCAAAAATGTCGAACTTGACCCGTTTCAGAGGCGTCGCGCGTAGAAAATAGAACCGGCGCGTAAGGGCCGCGACATGCTGCTCCTGAGACGCGGCCGACTCGCGCTGCTGACGGCTCCGGTGGAAAAGGTTCTGTTGACCACAGCGCTTCCTATCAGCAGCTATGACGTGCTGCTGCAGTAACGTGCTGCTGACGACTCCTGTGGAAAGCCGGGGTTAGAGACGGCTTCATCCTGTAAACAAACAAATGAGTGGTTACAAAAACACCACGTCTGGTTCTGGTGGAGGCGGAGGACAACACGCACCTTTCCAGGAGCAGAACCCAGATGTTCTTGTTGCTACAAACAGAGACGAGCAGAGTTAACAAACCAGGAAGTGAGAGGGACCAGCTGCTGCAGACAGGTGACGCTCACCTGAGCCTGAACCATAGGAGCCTCCTCAGCCATCAGACCTTCTGACTCCAGTTCAGATGCCACCTTGTTGATGTCCCTCAGGCGGGACTCGTTGGCCTTCAGGTCCCGCAGGACAAAAGCACCTGCTGATTATCACCTGAGCTGATCTGACAGCTGCTGCTGGAAGACGGAGAGGAGGAAAAGTCCGACCTTCTGGAAGTCGTCAAACTTCTTCTGCAAGACCTCGACCTGCTCCAGGTCCGACCCGTCTCTCCATCCTCATTCAGCTAAAGACGCGAGTTCAAGTAAAACAACCTAAAGTCACACAAACACAAAGCAGGTGTGGAGATGTTCGCTCTGAGCTGGAGGTCGTTCCTCGGCTGTGAAGGGCATACGAACCTTGTTGGTGCTGTTGAGCAGCGTGAGGATGTCGCCCTTCTTCATGGTGACCTCTCCAGGACTCTTCTCCTGGTAGTCGTACAGAGCCAGAACCAGCTCCTTCCCGGTCTCATCGTCAGTTGGAGCCACTTGTTGCTGTTGGGTTAACAGGTCTGGTGTTAGAACGTGGTGGATAAGAATGTTCTGACGGGCCGAGGGTTCTGAACCAGCGAAGTGACCTGGACCCAAACAAAGTGAGCCAGAACCTGCAGACACCTCAGAAACATGTCAGGACCAGACCTGCTCTACCTTCCTCCATTATGGTCTCTCCTTTCTGGGTGACAGCCTTGATGCGAGGTTCATGACCTGTGATCTCAGCCTGCAGAGCCTCGTGCTTCTTCAGCAGGTTCTGGACACCAATCAGGTCCTTCCCTGAGGACACATGTTAGAGTTCAGCATTATGCAGTAGACAGACCAGTTTAACCTAGGGGTTTCTTTCTTCTACAATCTGCTCTTTAACTGTATTATTTCCTGCTATTTCAGCTGTTAACTTTATTTTTTCTGTAAGTGTTTTTCTCCCCAGAAGAAGCTACAATGATGTTCTGCTGAGCTGTGGTGGCCTCATGGAGGGGGCCATCATCTAGCACACTGCTGCTAACCACTTAATCATTCTCCCTCTCCTGATAATAACATTTTACTTTCTTTGATGTTGGATGTGCTACTACTAGTTTACCCGTTTAATTATAGATTCACTAGGATAAATACAATAAAGTTTATCTCTCGCCAAATAGAATATTTACTAAGAAATCACAATGTAACGTGTGTGTGTGTGTGTGTGTAAAAGCCATGCGTAGTGTTTATTTATAAAGCATATGTTGTTGGATTTTATCCAGAATCAAGACTTTGAAAATATATAGTTTAATTACAGTTTGATTTATTTGACATCTGTATAATGTTTATTATTTTGTTTTTTCCCCCTAAATACCTAACGTTTTAGTTAACATGAATATTAGTCATTCATCACAATACATGAAGTTACACATTTTAAATTTTAATAGGGGAAGACTGCAGGAGGGAGCAGTAAAATACAGGGGGTCCCCTGCAAAAACTAAATTTACGAGTCTGATGAAACTTGCTGGTATTCCCGCTGCTTCTTCGGTAAACAGCGCCAACAAAAACAAAGAAACTTGGGATCTTGTCGGCGTGGCAGTGGGATTTAAGGGAAACGCTGTATGCCCTATAGACTTCTCAACGAGCTGCAGTATTTCTCCGGTCAGATCTGTCTCCGAGTTCCACGAGCGGTCAGCCCGCAGCAGCGAGGCGCCGCATCGATCAGCCTGCCCGGCCTGGCCGCTGGGGATTACCGGATGAAAGAATAGAGCACAGAAGTGTCCCCCCAAGCGGCGCGCCCCGTCATATTTCAACCCATTTTTATCTTAAATGCACTGGGTTTTACCCTATTACCCATTTAAATATGCCCTATTAATTATTTTACCGTATTTTACATTTAAATTTCATGGTTAAACAGTACATGCTACATGTTAAACTGATAGTTAGCTAGCTACTTCGGTAAACTCAGCTAGTTTAAAGGCAGCAGTGACATAAAATACAAATATAGATTTTAACTTACCGAAAAAAATGAAGTGGAGACTCTTTGGACGCTCTATTAGTGCTATTAATACCACAGCAAGTCATTTTGTCCAACAATTGCACCAATATTATCCAAAACAGAATTCACAAGCACAGAGACTCAAAATCCCGACACAGTTTCCAGGAGAGACCGAGGCTGTACTGAGGCCTTTCCACGGAGCTAGCTCTGTGGTCACGTGGGTCTGAGGCGGCGGTCACGTGTGTCGGATGCTCATTAATTATACAGAATTTTAGGCTTTCAATACACTTAAACAGAAGAGTGAGAAAAAAATTCACCCCCCTCAGAGTTGTCATGAGTATAAACTAGATAATTTAGACAAAAAATCATTTTTTGAACCAGGCTGTAAACATGTTTATTTCTGCTGTGAAAATGGCATTTTTAACATGGGAGTCAATGAGGATTTGCTCGCTTCTGGTACCAGCCCCCAGCGGATGAGGGTGGAACTGCAATTTTTCTTACTTCCGGGTTGGGACCATTTTCTGAGCGGCATTGTGGGGGCTTGCCTGAAACATGCTTTCCCCCCATAATCTACATTTAACACATTTACTGTTTGTTACAATATTTTCTGCTCAACACACAACAAACAAATCATGAACTTGTTTTGTGTTTTAAATGTTCTGAGCTCAAACGGTGTAAATTAGGTAAGACGTTTAAAAAAATGCAATTTTACTGTTCACGTATGAGCAAAAATACTTATTTACACCAGTTAATGTGGTCTGAATAGATCATCTTAATTCTTACATAACCATCACTTTCCAAACTTTGTTTTCCTTTTCCATTTTTACAATTACTATAAACAGGAATTCTTGAGGAATAAAATCCAGAAAGGTTGAACAAATTCAGCATCCGCACTGTTAAAACCATCAGCCTTTAAGAGGCTGAAAATTCTCTGTGAGAAACAGAAATTCCTCGACAAAACGAGTCTGTCTTCTCTTGATGCAAATGAAAACCATGAAAGCTCCAGTTCGGATGTTCAAAAGGAAGAAGACATCAGCTTTGATCACTCCGTGCATCCTGGTTCACATTCTCAACTGGGATCAAATTATGCAAAATGTATCAACTTTTATCCAAAATCAACTTCCTTCTCATCAAAAGCCAGATGTTATTGTCGCCTGGACATGAAGCAGTGTGTGTTTGTGGTTTCTGTAACTCATCCCGCTGATGTGCACTGAAGCTACACCACCAGCAGTTTCTATCACCGACAGGACACAGATCAGTTCAGTATCACGCCTAAAGAATGGCTTCAAATCTGTCTAAACATAGCAGTCACTCTCTGGTAGGAAGCTGCTAAGAGTTACATTATCTCCTGCTTCTTCATCGCTGTCCCCGTATCCGGGGAGCACCAGGACTCCGTTGGAGATCGGATTGCGATGTCTTGTATAGGTGGGAGTTTTTTCAGGTAGCAGAGAAGAGATGCACATCATCTCAGTTCCCTGCTGCTTCTTTGCTTTGGGTTTCCTTGCAGACAGCTTGACACAAAGGACAATAGTAGAAAGCATGAAGATAGTAGCCAGCCCAGCCAAGACGGCAATGACGATGAGGCACTGCTTTGCCACACCACGAGTGGAGCAGGTCTGAATCTCAGTGTTTGGGGACATCCTGCATGCTTCACAGGGAATAGCTGTAGCCGCTGGAGTTGGTTTGGTTGTTGAGATTGGTAATCTCTTGGGTTTTCTTGGGATTAAGGCTCCCACGGGACTGGTAGAGTTGAGAGTGGTGGAGCTGAGAGGCTCAGCTGTGGATGAGGTTGGCCATGCTGTCTCAGATTTGGATGCGAGGGTACTTGTGGTTGAAGCTGACTGAGATGCAGTTGAGAGGGTGGTAGTGGCCTTCTCAGGGGTGGGACTTGAAGATGTGGAATTGTGGATGTCCTGGGTGAAGGTAGCCACATTCTGAGTGGTTACATTTGAGGAGGTGGTGGAAGGTTTCACTGATATAATTCCAGTAGTGAATAGAGGTTGTTGTGAAGAAACAGCAACTGTTGCAACAGTGGTTGCAGGAGTGTTTTCAGGTGTGTTTTTATATATAAAAACTGAGGCTGATGGCAGATGGGGCTGATGTAACGTGTGGCTGAATGTGCCCGTCAGATGGAGGAGAGATTGTGATTCATCCGTGGTGGTCACTGAAGGGGAAGGTTGTACTTCAGTCGTGGTCACCCTAGTGACTCTTGCTGTAGCCTCTACAGGTGCAGGTTGTGCTTCAGGTGTAGTTTTGGTCGTAGGTGTGGAAAACGTTTCTACACCTTTTGCTGTAGTTACAGCAGGAGCGTCTGAATCTGTTTTCAGCTCTTCTGTAGAGGCAGGAACTTTGGAGATATTAGCATCTGCTGTGGCAGTGGTCACGGCATCTTTGCTGTTGCCGCTTTTGTCGCTGATAACTCCTTCGGTTGCATCCGTTTGTGACACTGCCTTTGCCACTGTAGGAGAAACATCTTCATGCCTGTGCATTGAACTCCAGGCTGCAGGATGCAACACTTCTGCAGTGGTTGGCTGCTTGGCTGCATAGTTTGCTTCAACGGTGATGTTCGTGGTTCTGTTTTGTGGTGTGGAAGTTGTCATTGACTCCACAGCAAACACAAAACACCCCCCCCACAGCAGCAGCGCATACATCTTTATGCTGGGGAGCATCTTTGTCATAAAAAGACCTGGAATAACAGACATATTTATCTTTATTTAGATGTACAACAAGTGGCTGAAAACTGTGACAGATGAATAATGAAGACATAGGGGGGAAACTGTCATGTTTCCACAAGTGACATCTTGATGAAACAATCATATGTCAACACCACAGACCTTGCTTATCAGAAAAAATACAGAGCTTCTCCAGATGTTCGACACGTTTTCAGTCCCTCATTGTTGTTACAATGTGCCTAAAGTTTCTACAAGACTAAGAAGACAGTAAAAATAGGAAATATGTTGCTACAATGTTTGAATATATCACATGAAGCTATTCAAGTTAAATTTTGTTTAAAAAAGTATTTTTGACACCCCTACCATCCTCTTACCTTGCTGTCAGTAAAGCAGAGCAATGTGTTTGAGATTTAAACAACAAAAAAAAAGTTAGTTTAACTAATTTCAGCCGCTCTGGTGGAACATCCTCGAGAGACTGTCCTGCTGAGACTGTTGCTCTGCTCAGCAGTAGAAACAGGAAATGTTCACACTTAGGAAGAAAACTTGACGTAACATCACATTTCCAGATAACTCACAAACAGAGAGACACTTCCTTTTGAATCATTATCGTAGATCAGCCAGAAACAGCAACTGAATACATAAAGAGGTCAAACATCTGCTCAAATTTGAAGCTCAAGTATTTGACAAAAGAAGTATTTTTTTTACCTGGCAGGTGTGAAGCAGACGAGCGCTCAGATTCGTTCATGCAGAGTGATCTCTACATGTTCTGATTACCACTTTATTTAGTATCAGGAAGTACTCAGTTCTGTTAAATGATCAGGACTGACTCACATGTTGACACTTGATCACATTTCTGCCTAGGATTTAAAGTGAACCATGATGTGGGTTAAATAAATGTGAGATTTCAGGGCTCTGAGATTTAACCACAGCAGCCAAGAATCAGTCACATGAGTGGACACAGTCATACATCAAACATGTGGTCAGCAGATCCACCGTGATGTAGTACAAGAGCTAGATTTTAAAAGGTGGTGACAACAGCAGGAGTCATAACACGCTAAAGTCAGTGGAAACACGCGGTTGTCAATGTGTGGAAACCGCAACTGTCACTTCCTGTGCTGGTGAGTCACGCTGACGCTGAACTAATAAACATGGTTAGTATTTGTTGTTAGCATCACTATGCAGACACACAGACCCAGAACTACAGTTTGTCACCTAGATTGTGTTCGGATTTTTTATTCATTTAGTAGAGCTGTGATTAAAGTATCTTCTTTGCTTGCATTGTGATTGACCCGCTTTTATACCCCTAACCAAGCTTTGATGTGTTTAAGTGTTAAAATTACAGCAGGTTGAGGGGTCTCCAGCCTTCAGTACCCAGATCTAAACTTGGTCCAGAGTTCAGCTCAAGGCTTCCAGAACCCTAAAGATGTGGGCTGGATAATTTGTTTTTTAATTTTAATTATCTGTTGGATTAACTTTATTTATACTTTTGTAGACAAATAAACCTCTGGTTAAAATGTGGATATTTAAAAAGTATTCAGTGAGAATGATTGAAATCACTACATGCATCTTTTCTTTATGATTATGCAAAGGCTGGTTTTGTTTCTGGTATAAGCTGGACAGGACTCCATCCTGACATCTTCTGTAACAGACAGCAGCAGCCTTCCTTCTCTGCAGGATATTTGTACGTGGAATAAAAAGTACAACCCCCACCAACCAGCCCGTGAACTATTCATGTTCCTTCCTTCAGGAGGAAGACTGAGCAGCCTGGACAACAAGACAAGTAGCACATTTCACACACAGAAACAATTCAATGTGCTTTTCAGATGCAGGAGAACAGTAAAAACAAACAAACAAAATAAATAAATAAATGAAACAGTCATCTAAATGTAAGATCAACATGCAGCAAAAAACGGCTGATATGAAAAATCTAATTTGAAAAACAACAATGAAATCAGACTATTTACTTTCTCTGTATTGTTAACTGTTAACTGTCCTTAAAGAGCAAGTCACCCCCTACCAGAGTCTTACTCCACTCCCACTTCCTATTTGAGAAATGCAACAAATGCTGTGGCCTAGCAGACCGAGAGGGCGGAGCCGCTAACAAATACACACACACACACACAGGCTCACAATGACATCATATGGTACCAACTAACGTTCTAGGGTACCTCTTAGCCAACAGCGATGGCAGATTTAAATTCAAATGCAATACAAAGTTTTTACTTGACAACGGCACAACACTGACAGTTTTAGGCAGAAAATTAAAATTTTAACTAAAATGCACTAAAGTGCTAAACTATTGACTACATGTGTCTGCAGCACGATTAGATACATATTTATAGTTTATCAGAAAAAATAAAGTTGATTTGGGGTGACTTGGAGGACAAAGGGCCAGAGGGGTGTGTGTGTGTGTGTGTGTGTGTGTCTAATTTAATTCTTAATATTGCTTGATTTAAACAACACCAGAGTTGGGGCAGATCTGAGGTCCTGGGGGAGCTGATTCCATCTGTGTGCAGCATAGTAGCTAAAAGCATCTTCACCCTGTTTGGTTCTGACCTGAGGTTCTACTGATTGTTTCCTGAGGATCTCAGGGCCTTATTGTGTGTATATACAGAAATGAGATCTGACAAGTATTTTAGACCCATGCCATTGAGTGATTTATCAACTAGCAGTACCACTTTGAAATAGATTCTGTAGTTTACTGGTAGCCAGTGTAGAGATTTAAGAACAGGAGTGATGTGCTCCGTTCTCTTGGTTCTTGTTAAGACTCTAGCAGCAGCGTTCTGAATAAGCTGCAGTTGTGTTACAGCTGTTTTGGTAATACCAGCCAAAAGACCATTGCAATGGTCCAGCCTGTTGGAGGTGAACACATGAATGATTTTCACTAGGTCTCGTCTGGACATGAGACCTCTGAGTCATTCAATGAAGATGATAAACACTGTTCTAGTTTGAGCCTTAATATGACCATTCAAGATTTCTAACCTGAGTCTTTGTCTTTATTCCTCTAGAACCAAGTTGAGCAACAACCTCCATCCTATCCTTATTTCAAAAAACAATAACTTCAGTCCTGTCTGTGACCAAAACTGATGGTGTCCTTCCATCAGTGCTTTGAGACCCCGGTACCGAAGTCCGTAGACTAACTCCAGTACGACCAGGTCAGTCCTATGGTCATCTTCCAGGTAACGACAGTTGGAGCTAGTTTGCGTCTCAGGAATAACTCTTAAGGAGTTGAACAAACCAGCTTGTTCTGCAGGAAACTATTTTGTTATCAGCTTCGCAGGTGCAAAAAAGGTTTAAAGGTTTTGACGATGAGCCAAAATCTTTGCTGGTTAAAGAGGTTTTGCTCAGATGGCCGGTCTGAAGCTATTCCTCTAGAACTCTCGAACTGTTTGAACTGCCCGAACTGAAGCAAAAAACCAGAGTAATCTAGTTTTAATATATTGATGTTATGAATAGGCAGCCAACCGAAAGTTGACAAGTTTGGGGAATATTACCAAGACACACCCTCTTTGATTCGGAGGCTCTGAACTGGGCAAAAGGTTAACCATGTGTCATGTGTTTAACTTAACTTTACTTTGTCCTTGTGTGAGTGCAAATGGTGATGACCTCGTCAAGTAAACATGCTAAACATATATCATTAAGCACAGATTAATGAAACATTTCATTGTTTTATAATTATTATAAGTAGCAATAAACAAACATTTATTTAATGATTATCTTTAATGATAAAATCTTCTTTTCTTCTGATCTTCTGTGAATTTAGGAGTTTATTTAATGAGTTCCTCTGTAGAGGGACCTTGGTTGGAGAGAATGTTATTGTTATGATTTTATTATCTCTGTTAGGCTGCAGGCTTTCAGTCTCCTGTGAGGGAAAGTATTGTAGGTTGGAGTCGTAGCCAGGGCAAAATGACCTGGCTGTGGACTTGACCTGTGGGTCACAAAATCAGGCCGTTTCGTGACGTTACAAAGGTAAACTTTGCATATGTCCATGTCTACTTTTTCGTCTTTGCATAAAAAAACTGTAGAATTAAGCTGAAATAGATGCTTGTTTCTTCATCATAAAATTCAAATTCTTTAAAAATGTAAAAAAAAAACTTTTGGTGACAAGATACAAATAAATATTAAAGCTGCAAGCAGCGTCGTTCGGCCCTCGCAGCTCTGCGCCGCTCCGGCCTGGCCGGCAGTCTGGTGCACCCGGGCACATCCGCTGAGCATAAACATCGACCACCCTGACACCAGAAACCGCGAACGGTCTCCTCATCTGCACCTCACCCTGACTCAGCATCTTCTCTGAGCCCACCATTAAATTACACATATAACCACTAGGGGATACTCTATCTTTACCACACTGGTGGTGTGATGAGACAGACCAAGTTTAACGCTATTCTGACCACGTTTTTTTGAAGTCATTTAAGGTTAAAGTTATCCAGGGGGCACTGTGACCAACTACAGAAAAATCCCATTGAGGTCAGCTTTGGTTGACAAAGATGGTTTTCTCTTTTTTATTTTGCCGTCAATCAGACGTTTTGTGTGTTATCTAGAGCCAGAGAGCCGAAAGGGGGTGGAGTTACAGGGGTTTGAACCAACAACCACATCAATGTGTTTGGTGCAGTCACGTGATGACACAAGCCAAGTTTAATGCCATTGTGACCTTGTATTAGGAAGTAATTAACTCTTAATCTTATCTAAGGGGCGCTGTGACCAATTACATAAAAATCCCATTGAGGTCCTTTTAGGGAGTCAAAGATGGTTTTGTGGTAGTTTGGCATCAATCAGATGTTGCATGTGCTTTCTAGTGCCAAAGAGCTGAAAGGGGGCGGAGCTAAAGGGATTTGAACCAACAACCACATCAATGTGTTTGGTGCAGTCACGGGATGACACAAGCCAAGGATAAAGCCATTCTGACCTTGTCTTTAGAAGTTGATATAGTTTGAACCCATCTAGGGGGCGCTGTGACCATTTATAACTAAATCCCATAGAGGTCATCTTTGGTCATCAAAGATGGTTTTCTGCTAATTTGGCATCAATCAAACGTTGCATGGGTCATCTAGAGCCAAAAGGCTGTAAGTGGGCGGAGTTAAAGTGATTTGAATAGTGAGCACGTACATGTGTTGATTGCAGTTGTGTGATGACTCCCACCATGTTCAATATAGTTTGGAGCTTTTTTGCAGAAGTTACAAAGGTTTTATTGTATCTAGGGGGCACTGTCACAAATTTAGGAAATATTCCATGAAGAAGTTTGTAGGTTGACATTTGTGTGCAGTTTGGTGTGAATTGAATCATGCATGTGTTATTCAGGGCCCTGTCAGGGGGCGGAGCTAAAGCGATATCAACCAATGACCACAGGATTGTGTTGGGAGGCTTTGTGTGATGACATATAGCAAGTTTGGTGCAGTTGTGACCTCGTCTGTAGGAGTTATTACAGTTTTAAAGGAATGTAGGGGGCGCTGTGGTGATATTATACAACGTTCACCAACCGTTTGTGCCTCATTGGCTACAGGGCATGATTGTTGCTTGCCACGTTCAGTCTTGTGCAGATCAGAGGCTGTTTGCGGAAGTTACAGTCAAGTGTAAGGTCACGGCGTCACACCAGAATTTGCCATGGCATCAAAGCCCCTCCGTTTCTGGAAAGCTATCAGAACTGAATGGTCATTACAGCATCATGAAGACAGTGCATGACCTCAGTGTCATGTTGACTAGATTAGAGGAGACAAATATGGGCATTTCACCATAAAACAATGTCTGTTGTCAGGGGAGGGGGGTGGGGGCTTAGGTGATGTCAGCTGTACACATTGTTACTGTCTTGTGATGTGGTCAGTGATCACACAGACGAAGTTTGATATGATCTGATCACATGGGAGTTATTACATCAAGTAATGTAATGGCGAAAGGTCAAAGTTTGAGGCTTAGCCACGCCCACACCTTTCAACTTTTGAAAAATCTGACAGTTGAATTTTTCCCCTTATGTCTTAAGAGTATATAGCAGAAGTGTGAAGGCGATTGGTGAAAAGGGCGATGGGGCATCACTCTCCAAACTATGTGTGCGAAAACCACTAAATTGAGTACTTGGACCAAAATGGCCGACCTCCTGTGCGGCTTTGCACTTGGCTCCAAGAGACTTTTTGTAGGTCCTGAGACACTACATTAGTGTACCAAATTTCGTAATCCTCAGTCAAAACATGGCTTTGGGTTGACAGTTTTAATGGTCCTAGGGGACGCTATTTAAGAAAATAGGCCAAGTCCACCGGATGTTTTTTTTTTGGGGGGGGGGGGGGGGGGGGGGACTAGGATCACTCACCAGAAGTTTCGTGACGCTATCTTTAGAAATGACGAAATAGGAGGCAAACATATGGCCACGGCGGTACGCCTGACCTCGCCGTGCCGCCACAGCCCCGCCCTCTTTTGAAAACTCCCATAAAGTGATGCCAAGAAACACCCACTTGTCTTGAGTTATCAGCTACAAATTTGTGGTGATTAAGTGAAATGGGGCAATTTGGGACCCATCACAGTAAAACTTGACCTTTTTGTTCCTGAAGGGGTGGAGCTTGTGTGATTCATCATCCGACCAGGAGGCTGGATGTCGAATGACCACAGAAATTTTTGTAACTCTACTCTATTTGAGTATGAAGTTATTGCCATTTATATATTTTTGGCAAGTAGTCGAACTTCGAGGCCTGGCCACGCCCCCTCAGCATATACGAAAAGTCAGTTTTATTTTTTCTATTTGATCGCCCATCCCTTCTTAGCAATTTCCCTCAACGTTCGAGACGATCGTGCGAAAAATTATTGAGTAAATCAATCAGAAGCGAACCCTAGAAACGGCCAAAACGGGGTCAAAATCATCACTTCAAACCAAAATGGCCGACTTCTTGTTTGATGTTGACCATGGTTGCAAGAGGCTTTTCAGTGCGGACTGTTGAGTACTACAAGTGTACAAAATTTCATAACTCTACGACAAACTAAGGTTTATGGAGGGGGTATATTTCATATTCTAGGGGGCGCTGTGGAGCTAGTTTTATTGCGAGTTTTTTGGACCTTTAAAATACAAAATTTTACACCACGCCTGACATGTATGCAAGAATTCCTGAGTTTTCGGGTATGTTAAAGCCTCCAAAAAGCCATTTTACTTGGCAAAAGAAAAAATAAACATGTCAGGATCTGGGGTGAGTCTGCACATTCAACTAATTACCACCAAGTCGTTGCAGGTGAGCGGTGCCGGAGAGTGGCCAGCTGCGGTGTGTTTCCCATCACCTGCCAGGGTTTATAAGGAGCTGGGAGATCACTTCACCTCGCTGGAAGATTACTCAACTTGGGTAGTTCTGTCTTGCCTTTAGTACAAGCTACAGTTCTTGTCACAGTTTATAGATCGCTACAGTTATTGTTATCTCAGTCCTAGTAGCTACAGATGGTGTTGGTGCTCTTAATGAGCGTAGTAATCATTCGCCCTGCTTTCCTCAGGATCATCTTCAGACCTGCCTCATCCAACCTCAGCCATAATCTGGAACCGTGCTACAGATCTCCCTCCTCCTGGTGGACCCCACCGCTCTCCTCCGCTCACCTCTTGGATCACGCCCCAGTACCAACACCTCTGCCACAGCTCACCCCAGATCTGCCCAGACATCAAAGCCAGCTTCCTACAGTAAGACTCCTCCGAAGAATTTATTCCGCTTCAGCCACAAGATCCTCACCTCTGTCTATCCTACAGACCCCGGCCACCGGAAAGAGTGCTCTGCGCCTTTGCTACCCATCTCCACATTTTGTGGTGCCTCTTTAGTTCAGTTAAAAGAAATAAAATTGTATCTTATTTTTTCCTACCTCTGTCTCCGAATCATTCTGCATGACTTGGGTCAGGAAACTCCCCTCAGTCATGTCAAAACAGAGCAGATACAATAGGCCTTCGCAGCGCTTTCGCTGCTCGGGCCTAACAAGGGGGAAACCATTTTTTTTCATGTGTAAAATCTTTATTATGTGCACAGAATGTTTGTCATGGGTTGAATGAAACACAAACTGAGAGTGGCCCCTTCCCAACAATAAGCACTGCAAAGGGTGACTTTAATTACACCCTTAGCAGTAAGAAGAGGCACCACGACATGTTCACAACATTTACACCAGAACGATGTAAAATGGTACATTTCAAGCCCAGAAGAACAGGAACGAAATGTTTCTGGAGGATTTATTCCACATTCGTATTTCTGACTGATGAGCAAAATGGCGGGAAAAAAACAGCTATTGTTGAAAAAAAAAAAAAAGAAATAAACTCTTAAATTCCAGCTTGACTAATATTGTTCCACCAAGTTGTGACTGGAATGCTGGAATGTACAACAGAGGGCGAAAAATAAATGTGAAAGCAGTGCATGAAACAGCATACAATTCATATTTGGCAACACAATAATAATGATGGAAATACTGATGCTACAGTTTTTGAGCTGTAAGTTCAAACATCACATTAGAATGTTTTTAAGACTTTCTTTAACAAAAAATGTCTTTTCTTCAAGAGTTTTCCTCTTTAATCTGTGTGTTTCAGGGGTGGAGTGTGGAACAGGACTGATGAATAAAGTTCATCTTGGAATGCGAGCTCGTTCCCATCAGACAGATGAAACCAAGCTCGTTGAAGCCGAATATCGGAAATTTGGCCACAGCTGAATCCGTACAGTTGACTTTCTTTTTAAAAAAAGGCTCTGCAGTTTACATGGCAACCTTGGAAACCTGCTCTTCCAATCTGGCGATTCGACGGTCTTGAAGGATGACACGGTCCCTGAGTGACTTAAACTCTCGGAGTACCTCTTCCAGTTTGTCTTCCATTTTCTAAAAAAGCAAAAAACAAAACATTTTTAGAGACTAAAAGTACACCAAAACCAAACTTACAGCTAAAGTAAGTTATATGCTTTCATTTCTAGCTGGTTATGCAAAAAAGCTGTGAAGCAACTGCAGCTTGTTCAGCTCGAGTCTTAACAAGAACTAAGAGAACGGGGCACATCACTCCTGTTCTTAGATCCCTCCACTGGTTACCAGTAAACTACAGAATAGATTTCAAAGTGCTCCTACTAGTTTATAAATCACTCAATGGCATGGGATTTCTGTTTTATGTTCCAGTGCTAGGAGTTTAGAAATGGCAATTTTAAAGCGCCGTTAACTTTGCTGCATAATTCATTTTCTCTCCACTCCACTTCAACAACAACACTTCCAATTTTACAAAGCCGGTTGATATAATTTCATACTTGGTTACAACCAATCAGCGTGATTTCTGACCAGCGGATTTCTACTGGGCCATTTAAGAGTTCATACCCCAATGAAGGTAAAATTACTCAGATGTTCCAGTACCAGAAAAGGTCTACTGATCAGAAATGAATGCTCCTTTTCTTCAAACACTCACTACTGAGGACTGCGGAGCATGCTTCTGGACAATGGGTATGTGTTCAGCCTTTGGGGCTGGCTTGCTCTCCAGGATGTTCTTCTTGACCACTTTCAGGTCCCGGTTCTTCGTGGAGGCGTAGCCGTCCTTCAGCGAGATCAGGATGGGGCCTCCGTTCTTGCCTGTGAACCACTCCTCTGCCTCCAGGGCGGGATCGGGGCCGGCTGTGTCGGGGTAGAGGTCGTCCTGGAACAGATCCGACTGGACACGTGCAAAGGACACCGTAAATGTCATCATAAAGGGGACAGAGAGAAGGAAAATGATGAGGTGTGTGAATGCAGTAAAAAGAAAAACACAATGGGAAGAGGAGTAGCAGACTTACCTTACGAGGGACTGTCATGATGATGGGTTCACATTTTCTCTCATGTAACTTATAAAACCTGCAGAAGTAATAAATATTTTTAAAATCATTTAACCCTTTAAATTTCACACCGTGAATAATCCAATGTTTTTTTGTTTTGCTTAGGGCAATAATAGGATATTTTTAATGTAAGCTAGTAATAACTAATGTAAGCTAGTAGTAACAATAATATTAAAATCACATTAATGTAAGGTAACAACGTTTTACTCTAGAATTTTTACAGTTTAGTTGTTTACTTTGAAAATATTTTTTTAGCATGTTTCAATATGACATAGGGACTCTATTAGGAGGCTGACCTGCTGGTTAAAAGGTTAACTAAGCTCGGAAGTTTATCCAATTTTTAAATTTCAGGCTCGCCTATGGAGGACAGATCCTGTACAGTCGCCAAGTAGAACATGAAAGTTTTACGTGAAGCCATTTGCCTGTCAGACTGGATCATAAAGCAGGACAATGACCTCAGCAGTGAACCTAAAACAGAACGACCGAATCAAATTAGTGCATTAGCTTCAAAATTAAAACTCTTTGCTAGGACCTTAGAGAGCTGTGCATGAAATAATGTCTGCAAAATGTTATTGCTGCCAAATGTGCTTCAGCAAGTCATAAAGTCATTAGGTGTTCTTAGATTTTCACTTATTGGATTGTTTTTGTTAATAAATTAATAAAAAAAAATATAGAGTGTAATACCTCATGATTTCTTCCTTAATTGGATGCTGAAAAAGCATGTTTTGTAAATGAACACTATATATATAAAAAAAAAAAAACTAATTCAATACCTTGCTATTTCACATTTGTTGACATCCAGGCCTCTCTTAGGCATGTAGCCCATTCCCCTCTGGGGCTCCTTCGTAGAAAAGGTATTGAGGTAATGAACAAACGGCGCCTCCTCTGTGATCTCAAAGTACCGGATGCTGCTGTCCCCCTAAAGACACATCAGTCAGCTTTGGGATCTCATCTTTTAAAATAGATAACGTGTTTGTTTTTCTGCTTACCTTTCCACACAGGTAGACTATATTAGTGTCAGGATCATAAAAGGGCAGCAGAACGCCATTGCTGGTGTCCATCTCTTGAACACAAATTGGTTCATCCATGTTATCCTGCAAACATAAAATTACATATTACCAGCTGATCAATTAAAAACCCTTCCAAGCAAAAAATAAGGAATGGAAAAGTGGAAATGTTTGTATTTACCGCCCCCAACTGGATGTGAAATGTAACAGCCTCAATGAGACTAAATGTTGAAAAATCAGCAAAAAGACTCAAAGAACAAGATTCTGTAGAATCAGATGAAAATACAATGATGTCATTTAAATTACAAATTTCTTTAGAGCTGATTTCCCAAAATATATCTCCCAATTTGTGGTCTTTTTAAAAATAATGATGATATATATATATATATATATATATATATATATATATATATATATATATATATATATATATATATATATATACACACACACACACACACACACACATATATATGATGTTATAAAACGTTGGGAACTGCAGTTTTAGAGCTCCTGGTGTCCCTCTGTTGAATTTTCAAGCTTTTTTGAGCAAAATGATTGTTACTGCACACTGTGTTTTGAGGGATTTCCACGTAACAAACTCCATGAGCCTATCGAGAGAAAGTCCACGTGGAACTGACCTGAACTCTCCAGCCAAAACTCAGTTTAGGTTCAGATTTAAACTCATGGTTTCCTGCTCATTTGTAGCTTGAAGTGCATCATGTACAGTAGCTGTTTGTCCAACAGGACTGTGGCATGGTGGTACAGAGTTGAAAATAATCTTTAGTTAGATTTAATCCTCTGTGTTTTGTAGAGAACCTGTTTTGGAGCTGTGTATTTCGTGCCAGTGTGTGAAGGACTGAATGAGAGTGACTTACAGATTTCCACAGGGCTAGCTGGCGCTCGCTCATGCGGCTGAATCCAGTGGTGAAAATGTTTCCATCTGCTAAAAAGATTGCTCTCATTGGCCGAGCTCCCTCATGGGCTTTGTCCTTCTCCTAATAACAGAAACAAACTTTGTCAGGATGGGCGGGTGGGCTGTAAAGGCAACATGCTTTGTAGTTATGAGGGAGATTAATGCACCTGTGCAGCCCTGTAAATCCAAAATCCATTAACGCTTTTACTCACCGCCACGATCTTCTTTTTACGCGGGTCGATGACACGGACCCTTTTGTCCTTGCAGGCAGTGCACAACAGGCTACCGTTGCGACTCCAGCTGACGCTAAAGATAACATCAGGGTGCATGTCATCCAGGTTGATCATGGCCTCTCCCGTTCCTACGTTCCAGATGATGATCTGGTTGTCGCACCCTAAAATGGACACAGAGTGAGCCCGGCCCTGCCCTCTCTGAACAGGTTTATTTTCAGAACTCTACATCACAACGAACAATGCAACAGAAGGCAGTCATGCATTTAGTCATATTGCGGTTCAGCTGTGTGTGTGCGCGCGCGTGTGTGTGTGTGTGTGTGTGTGTGTGTGTGTATGTGTGTGTGTGTGTGTATGTGTGTGTGTGTGTGTGTGTGTGCTGGAGGTTTGAGTCAGAGGCTACCTGCACTTAGGAGAACGTTACGAGTGGTGGGATGCCAACAGACAATGCCAACGCGTTTGGAGTGGCCCTCCAACACGACCACAGGCTCCGACAGAGGCGTCTCCAGTCCATTCTCTGGTATTTGCCAGACCTATTGTATAAAGCATCAGCAACCAAAGAGATTTTCTTCATTTTAAAATCTACAACGATAAAAAAGAAAAGTAAATATGCTGTTCCAGTGCTGTGTTGATCGGATTCTCATAGCCGAGCTTCAGAACATAAAAAGAGGTTTTCATTTTTGCCTGTGATCGTGATCTCTTACCATGACCGTGCAGTCCTCTGAGCCGCTGGCGATGACGTGATCATTGTGAGGACACCATTCGATGTCCAACACTGGGCCTGTGTGTCCACACACTGTTGGGTACACCTTATCTATACGGCCAGTCTGCAACGCACAAAACTGGTTTGTTACGAGGACAATGAAGCTGAGAAATGAGACCGATGACTGATGGTCCTTAAGGACATGTTGAAATTACAGATCAGGTTTGCAGTTTCTCTCTTAAAGCGCAAGCACACTCATTTCTTCAGCACATTTGCAATGGTCTCCAGTAGAGGCCGACCGATATATTCAATTTTGTCTGTATCGGCCGAAATTATTTTTAAAAGCCAATAAAAAAATCAGGCACCTGTGTGGCCAACTGCCACCACTACAAGACTGAAGAAAGGGCCCGAAGGACCCCAACACACCATTTGTTTTTTATGTTTTGAGTTTGTTTTATAGTTGAAGTTCAATAAGTAAATAGTTGAAGTTCAATAAATATTAAGAGATTGACTTATTTAATTTATATTGCACACAGTGAGTGTTCACTTGTCTTTCACAATCAATGTGCTGCTAAAACTTATAAAACTTATAAATATATCGGCCTTAATAATCGGCTTTAGATATCGGCAACAAAATTCTTTAAAAATCGGTATCGGCATCAGCATTAAAAACCCCCATATTGGTCGGTCTCTAGTATAAATGATTGCTCTGTTGGGAAAAAAGCTCTGGCACTGGGGAGCTCAACACGGCAGGAACTGGAGTCTTAAGGTGTGTTTCCGAGATACGATGTCCCGGTTCTCTCAGCTGTTGTGTCTTCATGCAAAGTCAGCCCTATCAGGACTTTGCAAAGATGTCAGCATATCACGACTGCTTTGACAGTGAGTGAGGTCACTGATTAACACCAAAAAGCGTTTACATTGAAATTAATAACAGTAAACTTTTTTTCAGTTGAAGTCCAGCAAAATTTAATCCATTCTGAGGACAAGAAAGGTGCGTGGCTCTGAGATCTCACGGATCTCCGCCTGCTACGAAGGAGTGAAGCATAGGCTCATGTGGCCCAGGCACCTAGATCCGATTGACCACAGAAACTCTGCAGCTCAGTGAGTTGAAATATGCTTCATGTTAGAGTCCCTCAATCGTGTTTTTCTGGCTAAAAGTGCCATCAAACCTCTGTTAGCTTCAGTTAGCTTGTAGCTGGGAGCAATGACGGAACTAGATTCTCAATATTCTGCTCTCAGGTCAACCTCTTTGCCTGTTTTTGTATTGCCTGGGAGTGTCGACACCACCTACCATGATAAATTGACAAACACAGGTAAGTACATGTGCAAAATGGTGGTACAGTTACCCAGAGCTTTTAATGTCAAAGAAAACAACTGACTATTATTAACACCGTAATCTAACAGCTGAAATGTCTCCCCAGCCTTCATTAGTGTCTACAGGAGTGATTGGTCACTAAGTTAAACAAATCAGCTGTGCTCATGATCTAAAACAAGCAGGAAATGTACTGGAAGCAGACTGCAGCTCCCAACAGAGTGGCCTGCCAGTCTGAAGTTGCAAGTGTGATATTCTGGCCACAGAGGGTGGTAGGGTCTGAGAGACATTTCATTAACCCTGTAAAGGGTCATTTTAGCACATACTGGCTCTAGAAAATGATTTAAAAATAAGAAATAGTTGCAAAGTACGGCTTTAAATCTACTGGCACCACTCCATGCATAATACACCTTATATATGTTTTTGTACACGTGTGCTCACATGTTCAAGCCTGTATTTACCGATATCTTCCACTTGATAGTTGTAGTAGAACAACTATTATATTTTTATATATTATTACTTCCATGTTGTTCACAACCACCTATCCATAATGCTTACTGTGTATGTGTCTACATATGAACTACGGTTGTATACGTATAGTCTTCTTTTGTTTTTTGCATTCTTGGTCACTTCTCTACTTTTGCTGTCTGTCCTAAGCTGTGGCAACACACAAATTTCCCCACAGTGGGATCAATAAAGTCTTATCTAGTCCCAAACTGAATTTAACCCTCCCACTGTCTTTATGGGTGACCCCGCGAGGAAAGTTGACCATTGAGCGGGATTGATGGTTATACCTTGAGGTCCATGTGGCAGGGGTGAGGTGGTACTCACTCCTCACCTCTGCCACATGGACATAAGGGATAAACCATCAACCCTGCTCAATGGTCAGCTTTCCTCGCGGGGTCACACCCATTAGGTCAGTGGGAGGGTTAAAGACACAATGTGAAGTTTTTACAGCTAATCTCTGGAATTATCCATCGAAATGCTGTTAAAAATGAATGAAATTGTGTCCAGTTGTTGAAAAATATTGGCAGCTTCATAACATATAACCAAAAAATAAGGTCTAAAATACATGGGAGAGGGTCTAAATCTCTGGGCGACACCACATTAGATGCCATGTTTCATTCTACGGGAGCCCATGAGGACAAAATGCATTTACTGATTTGTAACAAACGGTTACAAAACTTTCACCATTCATGAACATTGTTGTGTTGCACATTTACCTCTTCACTTGCTGCCAGTGATGAAAGGGAGTTTGATGTGCTTGTCATTTTGCTGAAGTTTGCACTCCCCAGGGATTTTTGACCCTAATGGGCATCCGTTGGTAAGGTCTTACTCAAACACAAAAATACTCTACTACGCCCTACGCCAAGAAAAATACAGACTATCACTTTAAAGTTCATGTGTGTAGGGAAGCAACTGTAACATGATACAAACAGGATGCCTTTACAAGCAGGCAGATTTAAACATTGATTATCTGTGATTTTACTACCGACTTAAGCCTGTGGGTCCAGCAGACCACCACAGAATTGATTCAACACATGACCTAAATTTATGATAATGTTACAAACATTTGGCTCATGGGTACTCATTAAAGATTCAGGTTCTAATATAGATTAAAACGAGTTATTTTTGCACACATTTGACAGTTTTTTCACTTCTTAATATGCTGGAAAGCAAAAAGCTGATACTGTAGGAGTAATATAAATTTGAATTACTGGCTTAATTTAGAGCGTGAAGAAGATTACATTAAACTGATAACACAGCTAGATGAAAAGTCGGGTATTGGAAAGAATCTGGCAATACGATATGTATCACAGTACAGGGGAGACGTATGATACATTGCAAAACTTAAAGTGTCAGTGTGTATTTTTCCTGGCGATAGGGGGCAGTACATACCTAAATGATTGTGTAACGTGAGGAAATATGGGTTTTCTGTCACAAAGGTCATTTGACTCGGCTGGGTCAAGTGCTGGGTCGCTGAGAACTTTCACCCACAGATTGAGACCTTTGCTGACATGGAGTCTGCAAGAGTCTGCTGGAAACCATAACATCTGCCACCTGCAGGGCCAGAAGATGTGTTCCCATGGAAAAGCTAGTCATAATAAGAGTCTTACGCTTCCTTTGTTTATTAATTAAAATAATCATTTTAATAACCATTTTACTCATTATAAATGTGTTTTAATCAAATGAATGATTATTATGCTTTGGGTAATCATAATAACTAATGAATCACTGCTAATTAAATAATGTTCTGAGGATGTTTTAGTGGTGACCTTCACACACTCACACACACACACATCTGTTCTCACAGTAAACTCCAAAACACATTTGCTGACGCACACGTTTTGCTTTGAGAAGAGAAAGGCTTTTGGTAAGTTTTTCAGTTCATGATTCAGTTCGTGCTTGACAACGAAAGAGAGAAGACCTGAATAAACGCGAAAGGGGGGACGGAGCCTATCGGCTCACTCCCCCCCCCCCCCCCCACGCTGTTCCTGCCAAGACAGACAGGAATAGCTGAATTACAATCGCTAACGCAGACTCGTCCAGAGTCTTTGATTTTCTGAGTGAATTAAACTTAAGAAAGCGCATCTGCAAACGTTTTTCCATCAACGTGTACCGCGGGCATCTCTGGACCGGGCCGCGGACATCTAGTCTCCTCTGCCAGCCGCTGGTGTCACCTGGATGAAACATCACCATCCTCTGGCGTCCCGGATCTAAAAGAGGGTCCGACTTTAGGTGAGGCAGTCCACGGCAGATAACGTTTGATGCAGTTTTTCGGATAAGACCTAAGTTTATCCAAACCATCACTTCACTCAGACACCTGTTTCTTCCTGAAGCAAAATCAAACGCACACCCACATGCCTTCATCTCACCTCATGTTCAATCTTCACACATTCACCACAAAGTCTATTTGAGCAAGCTTACAATATCAACTGTTAAAGATTGTTCAACAAAGTTGCCAATGTTGATTGATGTTCTTCTGCTTGTTATTTCAAAATCATTAGTTTAATTTGAAGAATTAAAACTTTTAACTTTCAAACTTGTTTCTTCATTGAACTGAAACACAGACACACGGATATTATCGACAGTTTATCGATGAAAACAACCTTTGAGTCTTCTTAAAACTATACAATTTGGTTATTAATTTAATAAAATTAATATCACAAATTCATATGTAGAATGGTTCCTCTTTCATAAAAGAGCATAAACCATAACGCTACAATTGCAAGCAAGCATTAGTTGTGTGTTCAAGTAAGACCTTTCAAACGGAAGGCCATTAGGGTCAAAAATCACTGGGAGCACAACCTCCATTAAAATGACAAGAACACCAGACTCCCTTTCATCACTGGCAACATATAAAGAGGTAAATGTGTAGAAAAACAACATATAAAAATGATGAAAGCTTTGTAACCATTTGTTACAAATCAGTAAATGCAATTTTTCCTCATGGGCTTCAGTAGAGGGAAATATGGCATCCAATATGGCGTCGCCCAGAGACTTAGATCCACTCCCATGTATTTTAGAACAGATTTATATGGTTAAATGTTATGAAACTTCCAATATTTTTCATCAACTGGGCATCTTTTTATTTCAATTACAACAACATTTCGATGGATATTTCCAGAGATTAATGATAAAGACTTCACAGTGTCTCTTTAAAGTCAGACAATATTTGCAATATGTAAGACAGGAAAACTCAAGCCAGACGCTTCCTGCACACATCCAGTGTCATGGCAGGATCTTGTTACTCAGTAAGAATCGAAGGCGCTAAAATCTGTCGCCACCCACCGGCCGGAGTTCGAATAGCATTCAGAAGAAATACAGCAAATGTTTGTAAAAAATTGATACACTGCTTTCAAATATTGATTCAGTATCAGAACAGGACATATTATAAAAGTCCTTGTGTTCTTTCTGTGTTTCTCTTCTATTTCTTGTTTTTTTTCTGTTGTTATCTTTAACAGCGTAGCAAAGTTTCTGTTTTTACCTTGTTTGCTGACAGCCGCCATCACCAGAGCTTCGCCACGTCTCATGAATGATCCAGTGTGTAAATTCCTTCATCTCTATTCATGGTCCAGGGTCCACGTCTCCTTACCTCGACAATGGATAAAAGAAGCCATCGAGCTAATTTGGCATGGACCCTGGACCATGAATAGGGATGAAGGAGTTTACATGCTGGAAACTTTGCTACTCTGTGTACAAGATTAGAACAGAAAAAGAAAAAAATATCGTAATATTTCAGTGTAACAATGTTTTCTTACATCCCTAGTTTGTACTAATAAACTCTGAATACTGTCTCTCACTACCTGTAGGCAGACATTTCTGCTGCTGCTGCTGCACATACTATTTCTGATATTAGTTGAAGGACAAAAGACTAAATGCATCAACACCTCACCTTGTGTAGAGGAAGGACGAGAAAGGCTCCTCCTCCGCTCGCCTCTATGATGATGGCAACGAACTTGGGGTTGACGGCGCAGAAGGAGCTGTCCCATGTTACCCTGGACACACGGATGTCATCGTAGCATTGGTCGTTCCTCACAGCCTGGCCAAACACATGACGAAACTTGCTCTGTCGCACAACTCGCCGCGACATATCTGAAACAGGAGCAACGTGAGTCGGTGATTGTGTGTTTCACTAAAAATCACAAGAACATTTTAACTAAGAACAAATGTCATGAGCACCGCTGAATGTGACACTTTAGACCTAAGAAACATAAAAACGAGTGTCCCTTGGGTCTGTTTTGTGGCTTTTATGCCAATGACTGATTTTTTTTCTTCTTCTATTCAACTCGACTCAGCCTGCTGGCAAACATTCAAACCACACGAGATGCATTTCTTTTGCATGTGTGTTTACATTCACCTCTGTCTAAATGTCTTTTGCATGAATACAAAAAAAGAGTTTTTGGGAAGACTGCTGGTCTGTAGCTTGAAAATGTGCCATAGTGAGCAGATTTGACATTTCTGACTATAATTGCAATTATATCCTTGCAGTTTCAGCTGAAAACAAGAAAAACTTGGTTTATTTTAGGGTTTGATGAAGGGGGTGGAGGAACACAGGCTTCAGACTGTCATAACGGATGTTATAATTTTAAACTGCTGCATCAGTTCCTGTGAATGCACCACAGATGGCCTGTTACTGCTGCTGCATTCTGGAAACGATCTCTATTCCTGATCCACGCTAAAGATCGGATTTCATCTCAGTGGCTCTTTAAGCACAACATTCCTCCTCAATATTTAATTGTTGAGGTTTTGACTTAAAAATATTGTTCTATAGGTAAATATGAAATGTGTTCTGGTGTGAATGTATCCAGAAAATGAAGAGCATCAAAAAAAAAAAAAGAAAAAAAGAAAGACTGAAGCTGTGAGTTTGAAGTGGCGGGCAGAGCCGTCACACGTTTTCCAGTTGAGTGAGTTCATCATCACAGCAGACCACCTGCTTCTTCACATTCAGGCTGAAAACAGAAACGCTGAGTCACCATCTTTGGGTAAAAAAAATATATAAAACCGCTCTGACGAAGAGCTGAGCTCAGGATACAATTTTCATTTTAATTTGTGACCCTGCTGCTCTTAAAACTTGGCATTTGTTGTGGTTTAATAACCTTCACGTTTACATTATCCACCCACCTGTGTGTCTATTATTTGGATTTTTTGGGGACGTTTTCCTCATGGCTGTGTGGGTGTGTGCAGACTGACTGATGCTTGTGTTTGGTTTTCACACATTAGGCGTCAAAAAACAGCTTTTATTCAAGTTTTAATTTAATTTGACGGATGATAGATTTAAAAAGATTATATTTACACATCTTTGTGATGAGGAAATATACTAAAAAGCATGGATTTAACAACAAAAAAGATATGAACATAGGTGCCAAAAGTAAATGCATTGTCAACAGCTGCCATGCAACACGTTGCACAAGCAGCAATTAAAAGTCACATCTGCGACTAAGATGTGACACATCAGTTCTCAAATACAAGACTCAGACATCTTGATCTAAACACCCAGTGATGTTGACACACATCATTTTGCTGCACGGCTGCACGACGGCCTGAACGGCACCGGACTAGAACATCCTGTTCTCGCGTGTGCTACATTCAACAGTAGCTACCTACGTTAATTAACACGTTTATATAAAACCGGGTGAGTATTGGTATATTCACCATCAACCACACACGAAACCGTCACTAAGCTAATTTGATTGTTCTGACTGAAAACAGCAGATTTTAGATTAAAGCACATATATCTGGGCACAACACAACTATGAATAAAGATGGTTTCTGGTAAATTCCTGTAACATAATTTGGTTTTTATGCACATATTAAAGCTAAACTAGCTCCACTCACTTCATAAATGACATAATTTTGAATTTGTAAGTTAGTTACTTATTTTTATGTTAACCCTAGAAAAATTTTGCAGTACTTTGATGTGATTATATCTCTTTGTGATGATATGCCTCCATTTAATGTATGCTTTTTGCTTTTGAGGTTAGCCAGTGCTATTATTTATACATATTTTAAAAGTTATTTTAAATTGACTAATTTTGAATCCCTGTGTGTCTGTTATTCGTGTCTTCTTTATATCCACAAGATTTTATTAAGACTTTTGGTTGAATTAGACTTGAATTTTGGCCATATTATCTTAAATCACATTTTGGAATATGCTATTTCTTGTTTAGATCATCTTAAATCTCTTGTTGGCAGTTTATGCCAGGATGTTTGGCATTTTGGATGTGCCACAACGTTTGAGCCTCTTCATTTGGCTCTTTGTGGAATATACAATCTGTAACTACTTTTACGGCAAGCTAATGTTTAATTTAATAGTGGGAGAAGCTTTCCAAAGACGAAGTTTAGTCTTAACCATTTATTTTTGATGTCCAGAAAATGTTTTACTATACTTTTATCAGCATCTCAGGGATACCTCAAAAGTCATTATTCTTAGTAAGAACAACGTCACCTTTCTCACTTATGTCTTCATATTTGTCCCATAGAAATTAAATATTGTGGATACTAAAATTAATTAAATATCCACAATATCATTGTTACTTGTTAAATCATTTTCATGGAAAGAAAGCCCTTATAGAATAAGATAGAAGAACTAAGAAGGTGTTAATTAGCTAAACGTTTCCAGTTCTGCTACTATAAGGTTACCAAGTTCTGTAAACTCAATAATTTCTAAGATTTGTTTCTCAAAATAAGATCTCTGCAATGGTATTGGAGATCTTGGAATAAAAAAAAATTACTATTTTAAATATCTACAATTTTATTTTTGGTAGGAATGCAGAAAAAGGCTAAATGAAAGTTAATTTATTCTAGGGGACACAGAACAAAGGTTTATATGTATAACATAAAAAATAATTAAACAGTCCTTCTAGCTTATGTGTAAGGATTTGAAAGAATCCCAACCTTTTCAAGTAGTTCAAGTAGGATCAGAAAAGTCTTGCTTTTTCCTTTAAAATTAAAGCTGTTATGGCGAATCAGCAAACAAGCTAGGTTTTGAACGAAAACATGGTCAAGGCACACTCACCCCTCCCCTCGGGTATCTTCCCTGCATCCACATTTACCGGAACCAGAAACCCATATTACCACAGGAAACGAGACAGCACTAAACACCTGTCACCGTTTCTAGGTCCAAGCATGTTTTGAGGGACTATGTGAAAGTTTAACAACCAACACATGTATAGAAATTTATAATTTCTTTATCATGCATTCTCCTGCATTGCCCTGGTCCTGTAGAATGATCCCTGGCAGTTTTACTGTGACTGCCTCTGTATTCCTGTAAAATCACAGAAAAACAGCATGTTCGGGTCGAACAGCACGCTTTCCAGAAGCAGCGTAATGCGCGATGACGTTATGCGTGTTCATGCATAGCCTTTAGTGTTTGCTATTTGTAGCTTAGCGGAACAGCGAGAGGTGGTTTGGTAGCATAGATTGAGTCAATAACAAGAAGAGAGCTGCTTCAAGAACCGGCGAAACTCCAGCCCAGACCTCAAACAAGACAAGAAACCGAGAGTGTATTCCAGCATGACAAAAAGGGCAAAACTCGAGTCTGATTGCCGAAGGTAAAGAACGAGAATAAACATCAGTCTGGCATTTGAGAAGTGAAAAATGCTGAGAGTTTCTCTGTACGGTAAAAGACCTGTAGTTAGCATCATTGTTGCTTGAAAGGTAAGAAATGACTATGAAATACGTGAGGGAAAAGGGTTGTTGATGCTTTCAAAGCAAGCCGGGGGCTTTCTGTATATCATAGTAGGAACAGTTTTTAGGCTGCTTGTCTAGCATGTCTACACCAGAGTACATTGTTTGTTTCATTTATTAGAATTGTACATTCTAAACTTGCAAAACTTTGTCGCTAATCAAATCAAATAGGGCCAACGTTTATGCATATTAAGTGTAAATGGCCTGTATTTGATATAGCACCTTCTAGAGTCCTGGAACCTCCCAAGGTGCTTTACAACACAATCGGTCATTCACCCATTCACACGCTGGTGGGGATGAGCTACGATGTAGCCACAGCTGCCCTGGGGCGCACTGACAGAGGCAAGGCTGCCGAGCACTGGCGCCACTGGTCCCTCTGACCACCACCAGCAGGCAAGGCGGGTTAATTGTCTTGCCTGAGTGTACTAGTATTTATTTTTTCCTCCATCAAACGTGATTTATTCATGTATTGGTATTATTTGGCTTCTTCACTCTATTCACCTAGCCACCTATCATAACCTGGAAAATATGCAGTCCAGATTGATTTGGTCTATATATATTATATTACATCCATTACCTCTGTCAAAGTCATGGCAGCAAACCTGTAAATTGCACCATTACTGGACTTTTCATTCAGGAGTGTGCACGTACAGCATGCATGCCTCATGCACAAGCTTACCATCGAAAATGCAGTTACACTTTTGGCCTGAGGGGGCAATCGCAAGCATAAAACTTTCAAAGTATGCATAGTCGCTTTAAAATTGTGTTTTTCTTTTTGCGACCCAGGTAGTTTGTCCTAAAGTGGAGGTGGTAGTAGCTGACTGTTTCGCCTTCTCTGGTATCATTGAGCCGAGAACCTCTCACACCAGTGGTGTTTCAGACTTAAACTCGGACCACATTGTACAGTCCAAGATTCCAGTGAGACAAACTGCATGAGCTGACAACAGCAAACCAAAACAACAATGCTAAAAAACAAACAAACAAACAAAAAAAAACCCCGAAAACCCACTGCCGTTAACATTTCAAGCAGTACTTGAAGCCTATTGGCGCTGACTTTGGTCGTGAAGTTAATAACAGTTTCTGTTCACAACAAGAGGTTTGTCTAGAACGGCTGAAATGTAGTGTGGTCTGGACTTGCTGTGAGAGAAACACTTTCTTTTTTCCGCGTAAAAAAACCTCCACAATATATTAATAGCTATACAATGTTAGAAGGTTATCAAGAACATTATTTTCTTACGCTAATTAGTTTTCCAAATTTGCTATAAAACTTTAATTGAAATTGATTATGTGTCACATCGGCTTGCCGTAATTATTTCAGCCTCTCCTAGCATCTGCACGTTCCATGTTTGAAAAAACACAAGACCGTTAAACAATGGTGCTCTAGCAGGCAATGCTAACAACACTAGCTAGTATTCCTAAAGAGCGCTCTTTTAAAAAAATAAAACCGCAAGCTACAACCAACATAGCAAACATATTATTTCCGTGATGACTTGAAATTATACATTGCACATCGTTACCAAGTCATATCACTAAAATTGCTAAACATAGCCACACTTGCTAACGTCAATGAAAGCGAAGGGGTGGAGATTATTGATGAGTCCAGATGTTATCATCTGGATACATTAGAGAGCAAAGAAATCTTAATGCTTAAAGTCGTGGAACCCAAACAACAGAATTATCCAAAAAGACGGAGACGGAGTGGCTGAGCTGTAATGCCTGGGCAGCTGGGGTGCTTTTCACGGCAGCGATGCTTTTTTTCGGCACAACACCGGGTACCACCGGGGCTGGTCCCGTTAACTGACACCGACACATTACGTGTCAACGAAGATGAGCTATTGCACAAGTAAAACGAAAATCCAGAGCAAGGTGTCCTTTTGGCAAATATTTGGCACAAGCTGGATAAACGTCGGCTTCTCTGCATCCCCTGTGTTTTGCATCCAGGCTGCTGATGGGTTAGCACGCCGCTAACTATTAGCTGCAGTGGACCGCTGCCAGCTGACGCAAGTGCAGACATTTCCACCCGAGGTTTGTGGCTGCTCCCATTCCCAAACACATCCAGCGAGCTAACAACGGATGCTGCAAAAACCAGAGGGATCAAACGCGCAATGCAAACACATCTTTTCAAGCTCTCTTACCTCCTAAAATCTCTGCAAGATTGTCCTAGGCACGGGTAATTAATCTCAACACATGAATATGGCAGTTAAGGCGCGCCCTTATCCTTCAGGACGGTGCTCTTGTATCCCCCTGTCTCCGAGGAAAAAAAGAATCCAGCTATAATGTTCTTATTCCTCCACTCGAATATGTGATCAGAGCCAGTGTTTTAAATCCACTCCCATGTAACAGCTGATGCACAACGCATCTAGTGCCCGCTCCTCACCTGCAGAAGACTAGCTGTACTCTATTCTCATCCCGTTAATAAATTCAGTAGAAAGCATTGACGGGTGGCTACGGCACATGCGCAAACCCCCCAAAACGAATAGGTTTAGTTTTCCAAAGATCTGAATGGGGATGGAGCAGCAGGAAGGCTGCTATCTCACTATGACCTCTTTATGTCTCTCAAAGTTATTCTTAGGATTTTGGAAAAATTGTATTTTTTAATCAGTAGCATCTATTGTGTTAACCCCCCCCCCCCTTCAAACCCACCCCCACTGCACCCAGTTTATCCCACAATAAAGACACTCCCCACCCCTCAATTGTTACCCGATCACAGGGGGCCTTAATGTATTCAAAAGGTTTAGTTACTAGTTGTATCAGGCCATTTTATTAAACTTTATCCTTACATTTTGTCACTTGCAACAAGTTTATTAATGTATTTAGTTTTGAACATGAGTTTATAATGCAGCTGTATTTAATGACAGGTAACAAACACACCACAACTCTTATTGTCTTGCTGCTCTTTTGCAAAACAACAGTTTGTCTCACTTGGAAAAATATAATGAACAATTATAATCTAATCTGGTTGTGAAAATAATGAACCGTTATTTGCTCCTTACAGATTTCTTTTAGATTTCCCCCTGTCCAATCAAAAAGTAATTTCAAAAGAAGACAGTAAAACCAGAGTAAATATAAAATGCAAATTTTAAGTGATTATTGTATTAAGGAAAGAAAGTTATCCCAAACAACCTGTGACAAATTAACACTGCATTTCAGAAAAAAGATCACAGCCTAACAGTCAAACATGGTGGTGTACTGTGATGGTCTGGGGCTGCTCTGCTATTCAGGATCTGGGCAACTTGCTTTAATTCATGGAACCACGAGTCATAAGAGTGTCCACCTTGGGACTGTTATGTCCACTGACCTGTAGGGGCTCTCTTGGAGTAGAGAGCTTCCTGTTTTGTGTTTGTTTGCAGGTCTGCTGCCACATAGATGTGTATATAAACACATATCTATACATATCTTATGTGCTGCCACATCCTGGTGCACAGCTGGGATCACTTGCTCCTCATCAGTGGACCTGCATAAAAGCTGCAGCCAGCCAGCACTGCAGCCCCTTACCTCTGGGCACAGACTGTGATTATGAAGGTGTTAAACCCCATGTAGCATAAGCTACTGTGATATCAGTGTTATTTAGTTAGTTTTAATTGGTGTATGATTTTGCATATTCTTTTGTTAGTTGGGAAGTTTTGGTGGGGGTTCTCTGCCTTTTTCTTTAATACACATTTTTCTCCTGTTTAGTGGACAGCCAGTGCAGCTTATGCATTGCATTTTTCTATCATTAGAGAGGTGTTGCATTTTGTTGTCGCCAGAAGGGGGGTTTTGTTTGCTGTTTTGGCCTTGAGACCCTGAAGTTAAAATAATTCCCTCTTTTCATTATAGTGTTTAAAAGCCCCTGGTTTTTAAGTATTAAATTCCTTCTTTTATACAAAGCCAGTTCGTGGTTCTTCTAGACTTTTAGTTGTTTTACTTTTTTTGTGTTACACCCTGATCTCCTAGACCACTCACTTCAGAAGGGTTGCAACAGGGACCGGGACGTTTGGGTTCAAATCCAGTTGGGTCATATAAGACCCAATGCCTCCCTGCTTGACACTCAGCTTTAAGGGGTTGGATTGGGGGGTTAAACCACCAAATTGTTCCTGAGCGCAGCCACAGCTGCAGCTCACCGCTCCCCACGAGGATGGGTAAATGCGGAGATGTAACTTCACCAGTGTGTGATGATGACTAATGGGACTTTATGCTCTCAATCTTAAAACCCTGAAAAGTTGAAAGTGTGACATTTGACCTCAAAAAGCTGTTCGTGCTTGAAAATCCTCCAATGTGCAAAGAAAAGTAGGTCAAAATTCCGACCTACAGGATATTTTCTTTTCTTTTCTTGAATTTTATTTTATTGTAGTTTTTGCCAAGTAGAGAGAAATTGCTTTTCCATATAGTTAATATAATATAATATAATATAATTATATATATATATATATATATATATGTATATATATATGTATATATATATATATATATATATATATATATATATATATATATATATATATATATATATATATATATATATATATTATATATATCAAATATATAATATAGTTGTTTGGATAGCTTTATTTCTTTAAGAAATACAATAATTGGAAAGTTTCATTTTTTTATTTCCTCAGATTTTCTTTGTCTCTAATACTGCATTTTGTCTGCTAATCTGGAACATTGAACCCAAAAACCCTAAACTACAACCTCTTTGTAAGGAAGCAAATACTTTTTTCCTGCCCTCTGTGATCATTAAAAACAAAGAGGGAGCATTTATTTATTTATATATTTTTTCATGAGGTTTTTTATCCCTTTGGCCACTATAGTATGTTTTTACACTCATCTGAGGAACTAAATGTTCAAATCAGAAGCAAATCAAGAAAAAAATCATTTAGCCTTTATTCTGAAGCTGCTCTGATACCTTTGATGACAATATTTGATGCATTGCCCATCTCTGTTTTTTTTAGCATTTTTATTAGATTTGCAGTCGTGAACACTCAAAAATGTAAACATCTGTTGACCTGCTCAGCAAACTGACTGAGAACCCACCTTTCTTTGGAGGTATTAACACTTCTGCTGGTCTCTCCTTGGGTTTCTTTGGGACGTCGAATGTGTTCTTCATTTGTGAAACCTTCATGCTTGGGCTCTGATCTGCCAAACGAACCGGAGATTTGGTCACCTTGGGTTTGACGTGGCCCTGCTGTTTCTGCATTTTGTTTGTTGCCTTGACGATTTCTGCCACGGGCTTGTACGACCCCACTTCACTGCCCCTTGCTGCATCTCTGTTCAGATCTGTTGGATGACTATAGTTACGGTGGGTAGATTTGCTGACATGCATCTGGACTCTTTCAGCTAGAAGTCCTGGATCTATGTCTTTTTTCTCCAGAAAGAGACTGTCTTGCTGCTGTGTTTCTTCTAAAGGGACAGATTTGGACATTTCAGATTCACTATCAAGTGTGTCCTCAGGGGTGTGAAGAGTCTCTGTTGAAGTGAGCATATTTGTAGAGACAGGAGGAGGTGACCATTTACGCCTGAAGCTTCTGTCTGGCAACACTTTTCTCTGCAGCATGTCTAAGTTTGGTGGCTCCTCCTCTGGTGACAGTTCAGCTACTCGCATACAGTACTCAAAGTCAACCAAATCCCCGTATCGGTCATCCATACGCCCAGGAGATAGATGGTCCCACCGGCTAATGTCAGCAGACAGTCGTCGAACGTTGGTAGGTATGGTGTAAGTGCCGCCTTCGTCCCACAGCAAGCACATGTCCTGATTAGTTGGAGCGCTGCACGGAAGGTCTTTGTTGAAATGAAAAGTGTGTCTCCTTTTGACCCTTTCCTCAGAACGCAGATGATCTTTGTTTCTTCTTTGCACGTCACTTGACATTAACTGTGCAGTTTTAAGTTTTATGAAGGGGTTCTTGGGTTTTTTTGGGACAGGAGGAGGTGGACCTTTGACTTTAGGTTTCTCTGTTATCATCAGGTCATTGTTGGAACAGGATGAAGCAGACGTAGCCTCTACAATGGTTGTGTCTTTGTTCGGTAACAGATGGATTAAAGGTGGAGGTGTGACAATTGCAGAGAAGCACACCAGCTCACTCTCCTTTTTTAAGCATGCCACCTGTATCTTTCCATCCCTGGCCCTTGTTAGGGGAGGACAATGCTTCCCATCACATTGTTCTCGTGTAAATGAGGGACTGTCTTGCTGCTGTGATTCTACAGACGGAGGGCTTACCGACTGGGGAGGGTGAGAGCTGAAAATTTTGTCTGACAACTGACCGTCTTTGGAAGAGGAGAAGTGACTTCCTGCGGCTCCTGCTTTGGCCCTCTTAGATACAGCTCCAGCAAACTTGTTCTCATGATCCACTGCTTGGCGCTGATTCTTTTGTGTTTGCATTTGCTCGGTCTCTGCTCTTCCTCTACCAGTTGTCTCGCTGCAGGCAGCTCCAACATGGCTTTCTCCTTTTAGCTGACACCTGCTGCCTGTCACTTCAACCAAACGTTGACCCATTTCTCTCTCAAAACAGTCTTCGGGTGATGTCTTTGAACTGGCTTCTTCAGTCTTTTGCTTTTGATTATTGTTGTCTTGAGGAGTATTCCTGGAAGATTGTGGAGGTTTGTTGTCACAGCAGTTTTCAAAAGGGTCTTCCGTGTCTGCTGTTTTGCCGTGGCCAACAGCGGTATTTGTTCCTGCATCAGACGACATCCAGGTCTCATCTCTTTCCAGCAGCACAAAGTCCTCCTCATTAGTGGGGTTGCATCCAGTTGTTAGACCCCTAGTTTGAGTTTTCGGATCCATCTTACTTTTTGTGTCTGATACATTCTGATTTCCCTGCTCCTCCATAGCTGTAGTCCCAATCCAGACTACAGCCCTATTCCCAGATCCTTGCTTTTTGTTAGAAATGTCCCTTGCCTCCTTGACGCTTGGTAAACTCTTGGCCTCCCAAAGTGTTGGAGCTGTTCTCTCCCTGTCTCTGCCCACCCACTCCCCTCTGGTGCTCAGAAGGTGTTTCTGTTGATCTAGAGGTCTGATTGGCTGCCCAGTTTGGGGGTCCGTACGTGCAAAAGTGACAGTCGTCTTCCCTGATTGTCCAGTGGCCAAGCTGCTGGAGCTGATTCCTTTAATCCCACCAATCCCCTGACGGGTGGCAGAACTGCTGCCACCCTGATGCTTTGTCTCATTTTGCTCTGCTGTCTCCGGCAGCTGTGTGTCTCCAGTTTGCTGGGAGCAGTCAGAGTTATCAAGTGACTCCTCGTCATTTTCAGACAGCCTCTCCAGCTTCTGTCCCATGGCTGCTTTTCTGTCGGTGAATTAGAAAACAAACACATTTCAGCAGATGAAACGCCTCAGCAGGAGTCACAGATATTCTCTGTCTGGTATATTTGTATATGCTGCTCACGTTTAGCTTCCCAAAGCTTCACTATCTATTCTGCCAGAGAGGAATGCTGCGGTGGCTATTATTAAAACGGGTCTGACTGATGTCAGTGAGTCAAGAGGCCAAAAAGGAAACAAGATAAGCCAGATTAGAGGTCAGCTGCTGGGAGCCAAGGTCAGATAAGGAGACAAGAGTAAGACTGATCTAATATCAACTATAATCCATACGGCTTAGATTCCTTTGAAACCAGAGAAGGATAAAAATAATCTGTCTTTAAAAATGTTTTGTTCTCTCGCGATGCATCCATGGTGCATCCACTATCACGGCTGTTGTGACGAAGAGTGCGCCTGTCTGGATGCTTACACTTGTTTTGGTGACAAGGGGGGTCAGCAAAAAGGCCACTGCACGCGTGATTCGAGTCACAAAGGCTTTAAATTACAACCAGAACAGTTTGTTCGGGGTCTGATGAGCACAGTTTAACTACAGTCATGATGGATGGCGTACAGGGGATTATTACAAAAGGAAAACAGCTCAACAGACTTAACTGTCATGTGCCATGGATATTCTGAGAAGGCAGGAGCCCAAAAATAAAGTTTTGTTTTCGTGAGGAAGTTTAAAAGTTGATATATTTGAAGCTCAAAAAATAATTATTTTAAGTTATTTATTACAAGACAGTCTTTTTCACTAAATATTAAAAAAATACACCAAAAAGGAAAAAATAAAAGATTTTTCAGGAGGATGTAGTTGAAAATGCATATAAATTAAACATTAACAATGTGTTTAATTTAGTCTTTATTATTTTTTATCACTGATATTTAAAGAGCAAGTCACCCCTTACAAGAAGCGTACTTCACTCCCACTTCATGTTTGAAAAATGCAACAAATGCTGTTGCCTAGCAGACCGAGAGGGTGGAGCCACTAACAAATACACACACTCACGACATTGTGACATCATAATGTACCAGTTTACATCATAGCATACCTCTTAGCCAATAGCGATGGCAGATTTAAATTCAAATGCAGTGAAGAGTTTTTACCTGACAACGGCACAACACTGACAGTTTCAGGCAGAAAATTTAAATTTTAACTAAAATGCACTAAAGTGCAAAACTATTGACTACACGTGTCTGCAGCACGATTAGACACGCATTTATATAGTTTATCAGAAAAAAATAGTTGATTTGGGGGTGACTTGCTCTTTAAAGAGCAAGTCACCCCCTACCAATTACTCCACTCCCACTTCCTGTTTGAAAAATGCAACAAATGCTGTTGCCTGGCAGACCGAGAGGGCAGAGCCGCTAACAAATACACACACACGCACACACACAGACTCACAACGACATTGTGACATCTTATTGTACCAGCTAATGTTCTAGGGTACCTCTTAGCCAATAGCGATGGCAGATTTAAATTCAAATGCAGTGCAGAGTTTTTACCTGACAACGGCACAACACTGACAGTTTTAGGCAGAAAATAAAATTTTAACAAAAATGCACTAAAGTGCTAAACTATTGACTACACGTGTCTGCAGCACGATTAGACGTGCATTTATATAGTTTATCAGAAAAAAGGTTGATTTGGGGGCTGACTTGCTCTTTAATAATATGTGCTGTTATTCAGTTATTTTTGGCTACATGTTTATAATAAGTTATTATTTAAAAAGTTGAGGTTAACATTTTTTCTCCAGTGAGATAATTTTTGTTTAAAGACGAGAGTCATTGTAGTCTTCTGATTGAACCCTCTCAAACTTGTAAATCATTCAGATTCTTGATTTTCTAACTCTGTGCACATCCGTCACATGCTTAAATAAAAACTTTTTCTTTGTATTTTTGCTTCTGTCATTGTAAACATTATCGTTGTGGTTCCCACAGAGGTTCCCTTCTCTTGATAGCTCTGGAAAGCTGTAACTTCACCATATTAAAGGAATTAAGTGTAAAAATTTGAATTTCAATATCCAATCACTAAACATTTAGTACAGCCGAATTAACATTTACAACTGTAGCCAAGCAGCTGTAGCAAATCTGTAAAACAAGCTAGATTAAAACATTTTTTCATGCTTCTTAACAACGTAGAACTATAAATATATTGTGGAGATTAAAAAATAATAAGCTGGTTTACTCGCTTTTGTCTAATAACCTCCACCAATGACACGTCTGGGACCAAAAACAACTATTGAACCATTCGGTTGCTGGTCTCACCGAACCGCCGCACATCCCTGGGTTCTCCACTCATTGCTCACGTATTTAGCAGCAGAACACCACTGGTGTGAGAGGTTCTCCACTCAGTAACATCCGAAAAGGAGAAACAGCTGATAACACTTCAACTTTAGGACAAACTGCCAGAGTCGTTTGGAGTCATGGACAACAAAAGATGTTTGGACCTAGAAAAAGGTGGCTGGTGTTTAGCACTATCTCGTTTCCTCTGGCAATGGTAAATATGCTGTATTTGTATAGCGCCTTCTTAGTATTCTACAACCCCCCAAGGCGCTTCACAACAATCAGTCATCCACCCATTCACACACTGATGATGATGAGCTACAATGTAGCCACAGCTGCTTTGGGGTGCACTGACAACGGCAAGGCTTGCCGAACACAGGCCCCACCAATCCCTCCGACCACCACAAGCAGGCAAGGAGGGTTTAGTGTCATGCCCAAGGACACAACAGCAGCATTCTCTGGTGGGAGCTGGGATCGAACCTGTAACCTTCCAAATACTGGACAACTCGCTCTACCTGCTGAGCTGCCCCTGTCCCAGTAAAGCACGTTCCAGTATCATCCAGAGTCTATACCAGGCCCAGTGATGATAGCCGATAGGAGGGCCGGGTGAGAGTTTGTGACCATGTTTGTGTTTAAAAACTATCTTGATTAGCAGATTTGCTATTGCAGCTTTAAGTCTTTAAATGTCAAAGGCAGAAATAATAGTCAAGGTTTGGCTAACATGGGAGTAAGTCCTTTGATTAAGTTTAAAAGCCTTTTATTCTTTAACCAGCTAATATTACAGCTCAGTTTCTCCAGTTTGTGTGACTAAAGCCCAATAACTGTGCTTTTGTCTGCTCAAAGTGCTATTTTGAGTTGGATGTGTTTTAGACGCAGCATGTTGGCTTGTGAAACTCCCTCCCTCACAAACTCCCTTCCCATTTCCCGTCTCTCATGCTTCCAATTGGAAGCAAACGGTTTATGAGAGCCTTGTGACTAAGAGTAACCAAACTATTATCTCAGTCTCAGAACGGGGCCTGTTTCTCCAGCACAGCGCTGATGTAATGCTCACACTCTGCTGTCAGTTTAAATTTAAATATTAGAACAAGGTGATATTCAGACGTCTGACCCAGCTGGAGGGTAACATTTACATGTAAGACATGGAAAAATAAAACTGTGCTGCAGCTTTAAAGTGGCACAGTTACTTTATGCAATGATACAATTTTAACTCAATTTCTGTGTTTTTGTGTAAATAAACACAAATGTATGTAATCAATACTCCACAATTTGAAGTTTTTTTGTTCTTAATGTGCTCAATTAAGAGGCCCTCAATTGATTTTACAAACTTTTCATCCAGCAGCCTGAAAACATTCTTATCGAACAGTTTCCCTAACATTAGAAGAAATAAAGCGTGACAGGTAGCAGGACAGAAGAGGTAGATCCTTACCGAAGCTGATGCTGTGCCTGCTTGTTGTCCTGCAGGACTTCTGGGCCGTCTGGATGATCACTCCTTCAGCAGTGACCTGCTCCATTTGGTCAGCCTGGCTTCATTTGACTAATTCAATAAGAGAGCTTGTGATGAGCTGTCCCTTTGAATAAGAGAGGCGGCCAAAGCAGAGGACCACAGTTCTCTCTAAATGCCACAAATGCACAATGTCTTTAAACTCAGAGCTTGATCTTTTTTCTTTCACTTCCCTCACATTTATGTGTTATTTGTTGCAATAAACGCACCTTTCTGAGTGATTTCCAATGAAAAAAACACCATGCAGGCACGCATTTAGAAAAGTCTTTAAACGAGCCACATCAATGGAAATTACTGTCGTCATCAGGCCCTGCTCCTCTCCCAGATGCTAGTCTCTGGCCTGAAACCGCTCTCCCCTGACCAGCACAGGTTATGTGGCTTAGGCGACTATCGTCATGTAGACACTTAACCCGCCTTGCCTGCTGTTGGTGGTCTGAGGGACCGGTGCTGCCCGTGTACGGCTTCTGTCAGTGCGCTCCAGGGCAGCTGTGGCTACATTGTAGCTCATCACCACCAGTGTGTGAGTGTGTGCGCATGGGTTGTGAAGTGTTCTGAATGCGCTGTACAAATACAAGCCATTTATTTCTTGATAACGTCCCGCTACGAACAACAGATTTAAATAAAACAGTTATTTTGTTCAAAATATAAAACTGCCTTGTCTCTGCACGCAATGATCAACTTAACCCACAAATGATGCAAAACAATGTTTATTATCATGATTTACATCAGACTGAACTTAACTAAAAAGGTAAAAAAACAAAACAGTGCATTAACACGAACATCGGCACTGTACAATACAGTACATTAACTCACCGAAAACAAAACATTAAGAGAAATTCACCTTACATCCAGGAAGCTATGCTTCCCCCAGTTTGATTTCATTCAAACTCACATGCTTTGGAATAAACTTGTGCTCTATATGTACAATAAATACTTCTTTTGATTATAACATGTCTGAGCGTCCTCGATGCCTGGCTCTGAGCTGGGATTGTCATTTTGAAGCCTGTTTTCTGGAATTAATGCAATAAAGAAAACCAACAGATGTTTGGCCAAATTACAGATGATCAAAAGCCATTTGTTTTTGCTGTGATATAAACACAATCACTCAGGATGACTTCTCAATTCACAAGAGCATCATCAGCATTTTCTTAATACTGAAATGTGTCTGCAAGCTAATGTGTGACAGGAGAAAGGTATGCAGACTGGTACGTTTTCAAAGGCAAATCCAGCACATCTAATAAGTTTATAATCTTATAATGCTTTTTTTCTCATTCCAGCAAATGTGGTTCAGTAAAACTACTGAACCATTACAAAGCATCACGAGTCTTGACAAATTCAAACACAGTATTATTTCATCATTATTATTCGTCAATATAAGATGGAAGTTCATTAAATATGTAAATATTGATGGAGAAGAAGCCAGCATGTGCTTGAGCATAAAATGTGTGTTTGCATACAGTATTTATGTGCGGAGTGAAAACACACTGCACAAAGCATAACTATTCAGGGAATGCAAACGCACAAAGGCTGCTGTGCTTTACGACAGAGCTATGGCCAAAGATAAGGCACTTTAATTCAAAAGCATATTCAAAACAAACTATGGGATTCAGTCCCACGAGAGATGAGAAGCTTTTTTTTTTATGAATGTAGAGAAAATTAATTAGGATTAAAGTAACAGTCTGATGCAGTCTGGAGGTTGGCTTGTCACCGTGGCAACCAAGACAGATCATTTGTGTAATGTTATGAAAGCCAAGGGCCAATGTTTAACCAAATAAAACCAAGTAACGTTAACTAAACCTGACAAACTGACAAGTAACAAAATTAAAATGTTGTTAAATCTAACATGGACCTATACTGTAAATCTTTCAAGTGAGGATCTGCTTTTAGATCTTTATCATGATTGTGTAGCAGATTTTGTGACATCGTTGTTTTTCTGTAAATAACAAGATTACAAGCTCAATTAAAATGAAACATTTTTAATGCAAAATAAATCAAACATTAGATGTAAAACTGTCCTTTTGCAAATTTTAAGCATCCATTAGCCTTCACAAAGCAGCGACACGGCTGCAACACGATTATGAACTAGAAATATCTTACCACTAGTAAATATGTCTTTGAACAGCATCAGTTTGGAAAAACAGAGATGAACTATTTCTTTGAAGGTTGCCCTATTCAGACTAATAGTTAGCTGGCCAGAACTCATACCCTTTTTTCTACTCTCAGTTAGGTAAACGCTCTGTCTACAGTTGCTGGGATCTAAATTAAACTTTTAGCAGAAACACCTCAAAAGATCTGAACCATGCCTTCAGCGTTCGAAACAAACACATTTATTTGGTTGGTTGCAGTTTGCAACTTAACCACTAGAGGTCAGTAGAAAAAAGTTTGTGTTAATTAACGATACAACGTTCCAACCATCTGGCTTAACAGGAATGACGTCAATCTTCTCAACAACCTTTGAAAATTTTGTGAAATTTTCAAATAAACCCCTTTAAGCATGCTTAGAGTCACCGATGGTCCTGTAACCGGGTAAAATACTAGAACTTTGGGTTGGAATTTCAAATAACTCAAATCTCAACAGCAGTCAAAAACTTTCAGCAATTTGTGCTGTTACATTAATGCTCCGATGAACATGTGAAGAAAAATAACAACAAAAAGAAAAAAAGGGGGAAAAAGACCCTTAAACTATTCAAATCTAATTGACGAAGCAAACCCGAAGCTCCTCCAGATGCAGTTAGGAGACAGAAAGGAAAACACAGTGTGCATTGTAGTTGTCACCACAGTTAAAGTAAAGTAACATTCATTCGCTGCACGGTTTAATTCTTCTCCTGAAGTGCACAGAACACAGGACTGGAACATGTATGTGCTGTTCCTGCACACAAACAAGAACCTTTCACTATCACTCGAGCACATCCAGCATGCAAAAAACACACATGAACAGAAAAAAACCCCCACCTTATGGCACCAAATTACGTAAACTGTAAAAATATGTCTCAGGCTATCGACACGTAAATAAATAAATGATTGTCTATTAGTCAAACCTGTGCATGTTAGACTATTCAGCTGTTTGTTAATCAAATTTCTGGTGACGTTTACTTCATTTCACCAAACAGTGAAATACCAAACCAGAACCTGTTGTCGACTCTTAGCTTTCTGATGATCGTTACAGCAAATAAAATAAATACATAAATAAAAAACACAAATGACCTCAGCTCAACATTGTAAGAAAATAAAAGCAGTTTTCTGAAACAACAATGCTTTATTTTGTAGGTTTTCACTTCTGGTTTAGCATGCTTCACAAATATTTGCAGCTATACATCTTAAATATACCTGTGTGGGTGAGTAGATACTAAGAATATGTGTAGATGTAAAGAAAAGTAGCTTTTAGTGGCTGCTGGGAAGATAAAAACACCCAAAAAATGTGATGCAGGAACAGGAAACAGCTTTGGCTATATATAAATGGTCTGATTCAGATTCTAACAGACCGATTAATAAAGAGAACATTTTTAACACCAAAACATTTTAGGCATCTTTTGTTTCCACGATGAAAATTACAACATAAAGACAACAGATATGTGAAACATGCGTCTTGTGCAAACATGGACGCTCATATCTGGGCTAAACTTAGCACTTAAAGTTGAATTAACATCAGCGGAGATCAGTAGCCAGAGAACAAAACCCTCTTTGACCAAAAGAGAAAAATAGGCTTAATGACTCCAAACATGGAAGGGTAAGAACTCACACAGACCTTTTTAAAAAATATATAGTATCTCACATGAAATGCCCTTTAACGATGCAAAAGCAGCAGGAAAATCTGACCTGCGGAGGGAGACAGAGGATGTTAAAGGCTGTTATTATAGTGCGCCTTTATAAAAACTGTTGCTGAGCTGGAGTGAAAACAGAAAACCGACGAAAGCAGTGTGCAAACTCAGGTCCAGATGCTCTCTGGCATCAGAAATTAGATCCAACAAACCGCCACAAGCTCAACAAACCCAACTGTTGAAGGTAGGGTGGCAAGATTTCCGCTGAGATGAAGGGAAACTGTGTGAGAACCTTCATGTACGATGAGACAGATGGGCTGCTCTCAGGTCTTCATCACCAGCCTCGTCTGAATCGGGCGCCTATGACAGGGTGTTCTGTGTGGACAACTGCAGCTTAAAACAAAGTTGTGAGGAAAAGCCGTTACAGTAGAGGTCATCTGGTACGACACCAAGATCTGGGTCACACCCGAGGCAGTACCACGCCAGCTCCTTCATCAAGTCCAGTTCCTGATTTAAGGCAGAGGCCCTACTGGAAGCTGGCTCTCCATGGCCATGCTCGGCAGCTTCAGTTCAACGCCAAATTTAATCCCAAGTCCGGGCATCTGAAGTTGGGCCAGAGACTGCTCACCTGCGCAACCAAACTCTAAACCCTCAGGCTCCGTCACACCAATAGCCTTGGTACCCTGCCTGGATATTACCTCCTGAGGTTCGTCCATGTCCTCCGCCTGTGCCAGGCTGCCGTCAAGAGCCGTCTCCTCACAGTTCATGGGGGAGAAAAGTTTCTGGTGATTGTTCTGGGGGACGGACGTGTCACTAAGAGTGCATGTGGCACAGTGGTAGAAATGAGTGCTAGGCTGTACCAAGTTAGGCTGGACGACTGCAGGGGCTGGCAGAGACTGGAGAACTGGGGTGGAGGCGAAGTGTGTCCCTGGGGGGTCTATGCATATGGAAGGAATGGAGCAATGGCGGGAGGGGTTAAGGCGGTGGGAACGGCCTCCTGTAGGACGGTCGCAGCGGCGTCCTTGTGGCAGACGGATGCAGTCTTTGCAGGACTGGTAGGAAGGCTTCACTTTTAAAGGGTTTCCTGTGCTAGCGCTATCCTGGAAGATCAAAGTAGGAAAACATACAGAAAAGGATTAGCAGCAGCTCTAAGAATCCAAGTTTTCACCAATATTCAATAAAAATGTGTGACTTCATCAAGACATTCATCGTCTCAACTTACATCAAAAGCTGCAGGACAGCTGCGCTTTGCAGCCAGACGGTTGCTGTTGTTGGTGTTCAGATTAGCTAAACCCAACTGGCTCTCCTCAGTTCTGTCAGCCTCCTCCTCTGTTTTCCTCCCATCTGCATTTCCAGGTGTTTGAGCCAAGGCCGCCATCTCAGCCTCCTCTTTCTTGGCCTCTTCCTCGTCCTCCTCTTCCAAAGTGCTGAACTCCAGCCTCAGCCTCATGTCTTCCATGGGATCAAGGCGCCCGCAGGTCTGAGCTGCCGTGCCCTCACCAGGCAGGGCTAAGTGGGCCATTGGGAACCCCTCATCCTCCAACAGAGCGTCCCTCTCAACGTCTTCAATTTCAATAAAAACTCTCTCCATGCCAAGAAGAGGAGGTCCCCGTACCGGAGTGGAGGGTTCACTGTCGAGCGCAGAGTCTGATAAGCGTCTGAAGTAGTAGTTATAGTTTAGAGAGTCTAGGGGCTCCATCTCCAGACCCCTACAGGGAGACGCCCCGCAGCCTCCCCAGGCTTCCTCGTCTCTAAGCACCGGTGTCCCCTCGCCGCCGGCGCAGTGACCGCAGGCTTGCAGATGATCAGATCCCTCCTCATCCGCACCGGGCCTCCACAGCTTGTTATGGCGCTGTTTACTGAGAAAGCAAAAGAACACCTTAAAGCAGCACTCCGGAGTTTTCCCCCTTTCAGGAAATATGTTTTTTTAGAAATCTATAAAAGTGACAGTCTTACCCTGTACTGTATGATGTAGGCAATATGTCAGCTTCCTTTTTTGCTAAGCCTGCCCCATCCCATAGAGCAATAGGGTAAATGGTCTGTATTTGATATAGCGCCTTCTAGAGTCCTGGAACCCCCCAAGGCGCTTTACAACACAATCAGTCATTCACCCATTCACACACACATTCACACCTTGATGTTGATGAGCTATAACATAGCCACAGCTGCCCTGGGGCGCACTGACAGAGGCAAAGTGTCTTGCCCAAGCACACAACAGCAGCATTCTCTGGTCGGACCCGGGATCGAACCTGCAACCGTCCCAATTACTGGACAAGCCGCTCTACCTCCTGAGCTACTGCTGTCCCTGATATGAACTGAGCACCGTTCAGCATTAGCTAATAGTCTTAGACATTCTTTTACATAGAGATGTCAGCGTGAACACACATTTGCAGAAGTACCAAGACTGATGCAGAGTTGGCAAACTATAGTAAGTCTTTAAAAAGATGATGTAAGAATAATTATCATAAAACAACGTGTTGGCCAGCTAAACGTGCACGTTCAGGAACGGAAGGTGTTGCCTCCAGCCTCATTCACGGAAGCAGGAAGAAGGTTGGATGTGCAATACATATTTTCCACCTGTAGATGGCGCCCTTTAAAACAAAATCTGGATTTCTGCTTTAATGTGTCTGTGGGGGGAATTGACTGAACACCAACGACTCCAGTTATCCACCTTATTTAACTAGTGTAGCTGCGTGAAACAGCAGGTTTACTCACCTAGCATCAAGGATTCCCTCGTACTCTGCCAGCTGTCTCATGAACCCAGCATTTGGCTGAGCTATGCTCCTCTTCTGCTTGACGTAGTTGTATGCCTTCTCCAGCGACCAGCCAAACTCCTTCATTGCATAGGCAATAACTGTGGAGGCGGAGCGGCTCACTCCCATCTTACAGTGCACCAGGCACTTTGAATTGTTCTTCCTGTTTGACAAGAGAAAATCTTGAAAAAAAAGGCAATCTTATCGTTGTTTCTTAGCATTTATAATAGGGAGATAATCCCATTGCATTAGTTTATTGTTTAGGAATTCTCTTTTCAGGATTCTTTGTGCTTCAGCTTGATTTTACCATTTTTATTTATGAAAAATCAAAAGCAGAAAAGCGGTATTATCTCAGGTTTAATGTGGTTAGACAGTTGCATAGCAACCAGACCGCTCACACCACTTCACATATCTGTTTGTGATGCAGCCTGTTGGGATTCGGTGAGACTGGGATGAATTTAAAATCCCCGTACCCACAGGTAGTCAAAGAGAGGTTTAACCAAAAATTTTCAGTCATGTCACTTTTTCTGCACACGATCACTCTTTAGTGCAGTCTCACTTGGCTTTGACGATGAAGTTGTAGGTGTCGTTCCAGTGGGCCAGCAGGTCGGTGGCATCCTCGTCGTACACGCGAACATTGTGATAGGAAAACATTCCCGGGAAGAAGTTGTCAATCTCTCGGGTCGCATTCAAAATGTAACCAACTCTGCAACCAAAACAAGTGAGGGCTTATTTATCACCTCCTAAATAAGATGTCTCTGAACATGTGTAGCATTCGTTTTAGTAATTAAACTTATTTAGCAAAAGATGAAACAATCAAACTAAAATATATGATATTGCTGATATTAATACACATCAGCATCTATCCAATTCAATGTTTAAATCAAGTATTACAGATGAATTAAGGTTTAAAAAAATATATAATTATGTATCTGGAACATTGGATTTATCTAATACAAAACAAAACAATAAAACAATAAAAGTGTAACGTTGTTTAATGATGTAAAACATTTAAAGATGTTAGAATAATAATAATAAAAAGAACAGGACAGCAGCTAACCCGCAGTCACGAAGTTCTTCGAGGTTGGAGGCATTCCACTCAGAGCCCTGCAGAAGATACGAAACAAGAAACATGCTCAAGAAATCTCTCCAGTCATATTTTATATCTTAAAGATAAAGGATACAGGGGAACAAAGCTTATTTTAGCTTGAATTAAGAAGGGGCGGATTGTATAAAGATACAGAAAACAAGCAAACACCTAAATGAAACCACAAACAAGAATTCAAACCCGTTTAAACCAAAACACTCAAAAGATGAGCTTTAGAACCAGTGTCTGACAGCAGCTGGGGCCATTTGAGAAAACCTGAAAATCAGTATTTCACGTGAATGGAAGAGCTTCATTGCTGCTGCGCTGGAATTTAGAATTTAGCAGGAAAATCTAGAATTCTCTCAAAACCGTAACAGTCACTAGATGTAGTTCTTGTGACTCAGAAGGTCTGAGAAGCATCTTTGGGAGAGGGTGGTGACGAAATTTTGAACAAATTCAGATGCAAACAATTGAATGCATTCACTTCAAGAAGAAAGCACAAAACTTTTCTCAAAACGTCATATGAACCAATTCAGTGTGGTTGTGAGGAAAAAAAGGGATCTTTTCCCAAGGTTTTGCTTCTCCATCTTGGCATCAGTATTCAAAACCCAGAGATTACCTGTGTTCATCACCATTACATTTGAATTCAGGTATTGTGTATGAAAAGAAACTCTAATCAGTTTAACTTAACAAAGTTTGTTAATGCAAAGCAAAATCTACTGTTTAAAGGTGCTAAACACTTGTTCAATCAATACATTTGCAGTGGTCACTAGTAGGAATCAACAGCCTTCCCCGTCGCGAGTCAAGATGGGTAAGTCCATGAATGGTCAGCGACAGTGTGACGCAGATCTGTCAGGAGTTTTATATTCATGAGTTTCACCGTCTATGTTCTAACTAATGCAGGAGATAGATGTAGACAGAGTGACCGATTATAATCAGAAATAATCCTAAAAGATTACTTCACACCTTTAATCAGCTTTTTACTCAAATTTAAAGGGGGCATATTATGACTTTTTTCTTAAGTTATATGAGTTTTATGGTCGATGCAAAGCACGTTTATGAAGTTCTTTGCACTAAGTCCCTCTCACGTAAACTGATTTAGCAGTTTTATTCTTGACGTTTTCAGTACCTTCCAGAATGAGCCGTTTCAGGGTTATGTCACTTTAAGAAAACAACTGGCCAAGTAAAAATGCAAACCAAGAAAAAGGAAAGCCAAGACGACATTAATTACATATTAACAATCTAGAAAAACAGTGGTAGCCCGATGAAAACTCATTTTAAGGATAAGAATTAATGTTTTTAATTTACTTTTTAATTTACAGTTAAATTAAACATCATCTTTAATTTTGTTATGCTCAGTGTTTAACCATTAAGAAATTATTAATTTGTTGATGTAGAAGGTAGAAGTAAACAAAAGCAGTAAACTCACCAGGAAAACGTGGTCAAAGATGAGCGTGGGCTTATCCATCTGACCCAGGATCAGGAGCATCTCGTTGTCTATGAACTCCTTGTATTCTTTAAGGTTACAGCTCATGTGTTGCTCCAGGTCGTTACGGATCTGAGGGAAACATATGAAGTACTCAGAACAGAACCTTCATAAAATGACAGTTAAGAAACCCTAACGAGAGTGTTGGTGGGCCACGGACCTCCTTAGAGGTGATGTTCTCCAGGTCTTGAAACATCATGATGTTGCGGAGTTTGGCCTTAATAACACACTCTGTTCTTTCTCGCTCAGTTGGCCTGGAAAGAAAACCCTTAAAATCAGAGGATTTTATTTAAACCAATCAGAACTTGAATTCTTGCTCTGTGTTATCCCCACCGGTCTGAAAACATGCTGGGAGAATCAGAACGGGTCGTCTCTAGGTCGGTCATTGTGTTCCACTCATTGATGAAGCTTTGCTCTGAGGTAATGCAGCTCTCGTAGAAGGACATCCATGTCAGAGCAATGCCTCCTGGGAAGTAGTTGAAGCGACGCGACGCCTCGCAGGCTTTATGGAGGACCTGCAGGGCAGACCTGTGGGAACACAGAGACTTTAGAACTGAAGACCTGTTATAACTCCAAAACTAACCAGTATGGCACCTGAAAACACTCAATTTAGTGGAGGCTCCAATGATGACATCATGGAGTAAAATTTTATAAATACTTAATTGTATGAATTCTCATCTCATAAATATGTGTCTATGTATGAATATACTTTTTTTATTCTAAATAACTAATAAGATCCATCCATCCATCCATCCATCCATCTTTTTTAAATCCTAAATAAATTGTAAAGTAGAAGTGTTAAACTAAATGTTGCATGCATAGCAAACAGGTCAATAGAAGACACCATAATAACCATCCTTCACACAACCCTCACGCATCTAGACAGCAGCAACACCAATGTGAGAATGCTGTTTGTGGACTTCAGTTCTGCTTTTAATATAGTCCAACCCCACAAATTGGTATAAACTAAGCAACTTAGGACTCAGCAGCTCACTGTGTACATGGATATTGGACTTCATGAGCAACAGACCCCAGAACTTCAGAATGGGAGCGCACATTTCCTCCACCCTCATTGTGAATGTAGGGGCCCCACAAGGGTGTGTCCTTAGTCCTCTCTTATACTCACTCTTCACCAGGGGTGGACTGGGACCAAATTTGGCCCTGGCATTTTTACGAACCATTGACATTCAGAGCGGGGTGGGGGGGGGTTTCGCTGAACGTGAGATCGGGGAGGTGGGGGTGATTGGCTTGGTGTTGTGTGTGCTGCTCGCGGACTAGTCTCTGTGTAGCCGAAAGTGAGAGCGGGCGTGGGGTAGGGTTTGTGTCACTCCAGGCTGGGCAAGCAGCTCACAGGGACAGTGCCAGAATGCCAGACAGGCCAGTCCACCCCTGCTCTTCACTCACGACTGCTCTCCAATCCACACCAGTAACACCATTATAAAGTTTGCTGACGACACCACCATCGTAGGACTGATCGACGACAATGAATCAGCCTACAGAGAGGAGATTCAGCAGCTGAAGCAGTCAATCAATCAATCAATCAAAGCTTTATTTATAAAGCGCCTTCCGCAACCCTGTCAGGAAGCCCAAAGCGCTGAGCAGTGGTGTAACCACAACAACCTGCACCTAAAGAAGACATCAGAATAACAAAGCGAACTAAGCACTCAGCCATCAATATTGATGGGGAGGAGGTAGAAAGGGTAGAAAGCTTCAAGTTCCTCGGAGTCCGCATCTTGGCCAACCTTAGCTGGTCCACAAACATCTCCCAACAGGTAGGGAAAACACAACAAAGGCTGTACTTTCTAAGGAAACTGTGTCAGGTCCAAATACCCCAGAGACAGCTAGTTAGCGTCTACCGCTCCACCACTGAGAGCCTTATGACTTACTGCTGCACCGAAGAGGACAAGAGGAAGCTGCAGCGGGTGGTAAAGGCTGCAGAGCGAGCGATTGGCACCTCACTAACCCCTCTCAGAAACATCTATGCAAATTTCAGCAGAAGGCCAGCATCATTTTCAAGGACCCCTTGCATCCTGAACTCACTATTTTGCCTCCTTCCCCCTGGTAAACGCCACAGGTCAATCAGGACAAAATCAAACAGACTCAGTAGGAGCTTTTACCCACAGGCTGTCCATGCTCTTCCTCCACACTGATTAAAAGGTAACTGCTCCACCAACACTCATGAACATGGACACTGCACCTTATTTATATTTACAAATTGTATTTCTATGCATATGGCAATGCAAACGGCATTCTTATCTTTTAACTGTATTTATTACAACCTTGTTTATTATGGTTTTAGCAACACCCCCCAAACCCAACTCAATGTGCAATTAGGGTTGCCACGGTAACTGGTGTAGCGGTAAACCCCGGTAAAAAAGTTGACAATAATAATTACCGTCTTGTTTTAAAAAAAACTATATTATCTCGGTGGGTTTACCGTGGCTGCGGTGTTGGCACGGTGACCCTTACCAGCCTGCTGAAGTTGTCTGCTGCACATGCGCGCTTTGATGTTTACAACCAAAACTTTCTTGAAGCTAAAGCTGAAATAATGGCCAAAGGAGGAGACAGCAGCGCTCAGGACATTTATTATCCCTCAAAGAAGACAAAGTGGGAAGTAAGGGCATCTTTTGGATATCTGAAGAATGCCGAGGGACAGTTGATAGAAGACGGCTATCCTGTTTGCAGCACGTGCAGAAAAAGTGTCTGTGAAAGGCAGCAACGCTTCAAATCTCATGACACATCTGCGTGGCCATCACCCACAACTCTACAGTCAACGCAAGGCAAGTTAACGTTAGCGTTTTAGCTAAAATGCGTGATCCGAGGATTTGGGTTGAGGGAGAATGCAACGAGTCGCTATATAAAGCAGCCGCAGCGCCGCTACCTGCATATAAACCGTGTCGTGGACACCCCCATGTTGAAATGACGCTGTGCATTACGGGGCTCCCAGGGGCCGATAAGAGTTGGTCTCTCTCCGAGAATAATTATGAATTTATGACATTTTCCCAAATCTGCAAAGCTCACTGGAAGGACACAAACCGAGGACAATATTTCCCTGATATAGGGTTTATTACTCAAGTAAGGGTAAAAAAGCATCTAATTAGAAGGCTACTTGAGTACTGAGCATCACCTGATCTAATATTTTTAAATGATGACATCAAACAGACAAAAAATAAGAAGTTATGGGCAAATATTGGTATTTTAAAGACTAAAGAGGAAAAATGTAAATAAATAACATAATTACAAAATAACACATTTTAGGCAAAATTTAGACAAACTGAGGACAATATTTCCTGACATACAGGGTTTATTTAATTGTGTGAAAATGTAGCACGTTTAAAAAAATACAGCGATAATACCGAAAACCGTGGTAATTTTGGTCACAATAACCGTGAGGTTAAATTTTCACACCGTGACAACAGCAATACACAGCTTATTTTTGAAATACAGAATTCTTCCTTTTAGTAAATATTTGTTATTTTATCTCTTCCGTTATGGTGTACCACATGTACATGGAGAGATGCCAAGCTGCCTTTCATTGTTCTTGCAGCAGTGACAATAAAGATTTATTCCATTCTAGAGTGATGACACAAGTTCATAAATGTTTAATTATCTCCACAGGTTGCAGTTCACTTTATTAGATCAATAATATAAACATTTAAAAACATCAGCTGAAACTTCTGTTAGTAAAAATCAAAATTATTGGTCAAAATCAAACTTTAGTGTTCCAGCTTTAAATAAAATAATTTAATCATGTATTTAAAACTATATATTCTTTTGTGTTGCTGAAATGACAAATAATTGTTGCAATTGTGTGGAAATGTGTTTAAATACAATTACAGACATGCACATTTATTTTTCAGTCTAAAAATGTATAATATACTGTTTGTTTATTATGTATACTCTAAGCTGAATTACTGAAATAAATGATATTCTGATTTTTCCAGTTTCATCTGTATGTGTGGAACAGAATAAACAGAAAGTCCTACTTTAAAGGTGGCTGGGATGAGCCAAAACCTGTTTATTTCAGGAACTCCTAAATAATTTGTGCCTCCTACTCTGATAAGACCAGACTTCCCACAAAGAGTGTACTTACCACATGGCCTGCACTGACACGGGCTTGAAGACATGTGACCGCCCTGCCGTGTTCACACTGAAGCCTCTGATGACGAAAAAGAACAGAAAGGATCCGTTTGAGTTTGGATGGGACTCATTCGTGGGACTATTCATGTCACCAAACAGTGGAACATTCCTCCGGCTCTCGCTGACAATGTTACCAGGCCAGCAGGAACTGTTCTCATGGAGAAAACTTAATGCAGTTTACTTTACTTCCACTGGGAGGCATTAAAGCCCACAACAAAGTATTTGGGAAAAACGGCAACAGATTTGAATGCAATAACTGAGTGGAACTCACCCGTCTCCGTCCAAATGTATGTTGGTGTCACTCCACAGAGGAAGGACCATCCCAATGGAGCAGCTTTTACTGCAGGACAAAATTATTTCAGCGAAGGAGATCGATTTAACTGAAAGTAGACAGAACACGTAGCTGCAGACGGATTATACCTGTCCTTATCTGTGAAGTCCATTCCCAGGACAACATTTTCCTCTGTGTCTTGATGGCCGTTGGTGTAGATAACCACCATGTAACGCACCCGCTCTGAACACACGCTCTCCAACCGCACAGCCTGGAAGACAAGGGTGAACAAATTCTTACACAACATCTCATGTTGCCAAGTCACAGCAGAAAAACAACTAGGGAGACTAATTTGGGTTTTACAATGTGGTTCTTCATAAATGGCCTTTACCCCCCCCCCCCCAAAGTGCATTACAACAGTTATTCACCCATTCACACACACAATCACACACTGGTGGTGGCAAACTACAATGTAGCCACGGTTGCCCTAGGCACACTGACAGAGGCGAGACTGCCGAACACTGGCGCCACCGATCCCTCTGAACACCACCAACAGGCAAGGCAGGTTAAGTGTCTTGCCCAAGGGCACAAAAACGGACACAGACGGGGCTGAAACCTGCAGCCCCCCAGTTATGAGGCAGGCACTCATGTCCTCTGCCACCTTTGCATAAGGAATGGATAACTGGTGCAGCCAATTTAATATTTACTGAAATTAAAGCAGCTTCAATGGGAATTTTGAAGGTTTTCCAGCACTTTAAGTTGGAGATTATTTAGTTACGCACGGACAGTACATAAAAAGTGTGCTCAAAATAATTGTTCCACAAATCCAGTTTTGTGCACTTTTTTCCTAATTCTAATAACATGAATAATGTATAAATGCTACATTAAAACGGACACATTTTCAATTACTCCAAGTAGCCATAATATCCTTCATTCTGTCCAATAAAGCTCTGGATAAATAATAAACCCACTGCGTTTGTAGCAGAAACAACTGACCAGTTTGATGCGATCTTCAGACCTCAGGACTTTAAACATGACCTGCAGATGCTGAGGTAAGTCACCTGGAAATGAAAAACATTAGATGATTAGACTATTGACTGGAATAGATGCGAACTCATTGGTCAGGTTGGTGAAGCAGCCTTTAATCCAGCCAATCAGGTTTGAGAGTCAACAAAGATCATCCTTAATGGGGGGATTTTCTTTTCTAAAGTTAAGTGTTTTCACATGAAACTGCACAAAATATAGTAAAATCAACAGTTAAATACCAACTACAACCTGGACATCCAGCTTCTTCTGAGTATTCATTGTTGATTTTCTTTCTCAGCCAGATATAAAAAGTTTGGGGTGAATACAACCTTGTCATAAACTGAACTTTTAACTAAGCAAAACTTGTCATGTTTTTGGTATAAAAATCACTTGAGATTATACAGAGATGAAAAGGCCAGATTGACAGAAACTTCTAAGAGCTTGATTAAACTGAACTATTTTGAGATTTCAAATGCAACTTTAACCACAACAAAAACATATTATAAATAATAACAATAATTACATCTTATTTATAACTCAGCTTACATTTGACAAGCAAATCTCAAAGTGCTACAAAGTAAGAGAAACAATTAAAAACACACAAAGTGATTTAAAAAAAGAAAAGAAAACAAACATTCAATGTCCAAATGCTGAAGTAAACAAAAGCAATCAAAAAGTTTTAGACAATTAAAAAATGAATTAAAAGCTTCTTAAAGGACTTTAAAAAAAACAGTATTTTTTCTCATGTTCATTAAAGCCACAGTGTGTAATATTTTCACTTGTTTACTATCAAATTCTGTGTATCGTGTTAACAAACTTGTCATTTTTCAATAATATTTCTCACCCAGTTATACTCTAAATATTCTTATTAGTTTGAAATTTAAAATAAACAATTAAATTAAAATAAACTGTGGTTGACGCTCCATAGCCATGCGCCATCTTGAAATACCGTAGCTCAGGCGTTGGGAACCCTGGTCCTCGAGGGCCGGGATCCTGCATGTCTTTGCTCCAACACTTGTGATTAAGTGGTTGAGCCACCTGTTCAGCAGCTCATCAGGCTCTGCAGAAGCCTGTTAATCACCTACTGATTGAAATCAGGTGTGTTGAAGCAGGGCTGAAATAAAAATATGCTGGAAAGCGGCCCTCGATGGACCAGGGTTCCCAACCCCAGCCGTAGCTGTTTAGGGACATACAAGAACGCTCCGAGTAGAACGCTCCGTGTTTCGTGTTTTTGCTTTGACATGAAATTTCTCCTCCCTCTAACGTTGAGCGGGGACAACGCTGGTTCTCTCTGAGGCAGCCTTACTGGTTTGGAGAAATTCTCTTCCTTCCCCTTGGGTTGCTTGCCCTGCTCTAACAACACGTGATTGCTGGATTGAAAGCAGGAAGTCGTGTCCTGTGAATATAGTGGTATGCGAAAGTTTGGGCAGCCCAGTTAATCTTTATGATTTTATTGTATAAATTGTTGGTTGTTTCAATAAAAATTTTCAGTAAAATAAGTCATATAGGAGACAGTATTTGAGAAGTGAAACTAAGTTTTTAGGATTTACAGAAAGTCTGCAATTATTGTTTAAACATTTGACAGGTGCATAAATTTGGGCACCGCAAAAAAAGAATGAACTCAATTCCCCTCATTTAGTAGATCCTCCTTTTGCAGAAACAACAGCCTCTAAACCCTTCCTATAGCTTCCAGTGAGTGTCTGGATTCTGGCTGAAGGTATTTTGGAGCATTCTTCTTTATAGAACATCTCTAGTTCATTCAGGTTTGATGCTTCTGAGCATGGACAGCTCTCGTTAACTCACACCACAGATTTTCAATTACTCATTCACTGCCATTGACGACAAAAGTCATCATTTTAAATCCAACCGTTCACTGTCAATGACGACTAAAGTCGTCATTAGCATTTTTTACTGTGTGGCTGTCCCCCTGCACCGTAAGAACAAACACCCCAGCTCTAAAGCCAATCTTCATCCACGTACGTCACATGTCACGTGATCAGGAAGCAGAAAATCCATGTGTTAGGAGATTGTTTTGGGCGGCTGCTGTAAAAAAGTGAGGCGCAAACTGGAATAACGGATAACGCCCGAAACACGCAGATTCTTCCTGATGCAAGAGGTGAGTCTCTGCTTTGTTTTGGTTGTTTGGGTGCTGACATCATCCTAGTGCGCAATGTTCTGTGACTCTTAAAAAAACAGTAAAAATGCTGAAAAACGCTAGCAGTTGTAACGTGATGAAGGAGCTATTTCCACCAGTGCCAGAGTACATGAAACAGCCTCAAGGTCATGCATTCACTTCTAAACTGTTTACATTCCAGCAATGAAGACAGAAGATGAAGACTGCTTTCTTTTCTTTTATTAAAAGCCAAAGAACTCTATTTTCAATAAAGCTAATCTATTTTTATGTTTATTATGTTTATTACAATTTATAACCTATGGGGCATGTTGTGATCTGTGGGGGAAACCGGAGTACCCGGAGGAAACCCACGCATGCATGGGGAGAACACGCGACTCCACACAGCCGCCGCAGCCGAGCCGAGTTTCGAACCTGCAACCTTCGTGCTGCGAGGCAACAGTGCTAACCACTGCGCCACCATGCAGCCCATCTAAACAACTGTTAGTCAATAATAACCATGTGACCGATCTGTGAAATCACAATATTATGATTAATATGTTTTAATAAGTAAATGACTTATTCTAGCCACTAGACACGCTGATACACTAAGGTAAATAATCACATGACATATTGCTGTCACTGATCCGATCAGAACCTTCACGTCTGAAGCATGGCAGGGTCTCTGTGGTGTTTATTTAATCTGTCAGCTTCGATTTGTCCAGAATCATAAACATCCAGATTACTAAAACAGTCCAACGCCATTTTAAGTTCAGTATTCAACAAGGTCTCAAGATCCCCTGAAGTTCACCGCATGCTAAGTGAAGTATGGAAAGGCCATCTATACTTCCCTTTTTAAGCTAAGAACTGCCAAGCTGGGAAATCTTGTCGTTATTATCAACAAACAACGGTTCCTTCAGAATAAAAGCTGAACCCGCTGACCCAAGGAGGGTCCACTTTGACGCTGTGAAACACCTGTCGCTTTTTACCTGGATACTATCCAAAGACTGGTTTGTCGTGCTGTTGACGCCGTTTCATCGGCTCCTGTACCAGCGGAGGGTCTGTGGACCTGGCATCCGGATCTGTACGGAAGTCTCACTGAAGGGTATGTAGATGCGACATAAATGGCGTCTCATGTTTTCATGACCACGGTCCAAATGTTGATCAGTTAGGAGCAAAACATCATCTCCCACTCAGACTCGCTTCTCCAGAACGGAGGTTCTGAACTGACATCGCACCAACACACACTCCACCTCACATTTCATTCCAACAACATCCATCATTAGAGAGTTAGTCTTGTTAAATTGTTTAAAATTAATTTTAGTAATAAAATTTCTTAAACGTTTGAAAGTCTCTCTCTCTTCTCTTGTCTCTCAGTTCATGCAAAGTGTTTATTTAATTTACCTGTAATAAAAGAACCAATCTTCTGATTTAAATAACCCAGTGTCCATTAGATGGGATCCGTACTCGATATGGATCTTTAATGTCTATGGTCATTAATTACATTGTAACACTAACATTACACAGTGAAGGGCTTTTGGGATCAGGAAATGGCTGGCAGTGAATGAGTTAAGGTCTAGGGACTGAGATGGTCATTCCAGAACATTCTACTTGCTCCTCTGCATGAAGGCTAGAGTTGGGTATCATTTGAATTTGAACAATTCTGGTCCCAATTCCAATCTGTCCGATACTTTCAAGAGGTAGGGTCCAAAACAGAGTCTAAACACATTACATGGTTTAAATGACCCAGCTAATTATAGATCTTACTTGATGAAATCTATGAATAATGACATCACCTTAATTAAGACAAAAATATATTTTCAAGAAAAAAAAATTTGTAGCACAATTATGGGGCTAGGATTGGGACAATATATATGTAACTTGTACCAAGTGTTGTAACTTGAAACATGCTTTATAACTGTAACTTTCATTTTGTAGTATGTAATTCACATTTTGTAACACGTAACTTTTGTTAAAAATGTTTTATGATAATTTGTTATCATAATTTGCTAATTCATCTTTAAGGACTAATAGATATTTTCAGTCAGATGAACTTGACGAGACAAGTTGCAGCAAAATAAAATTAAGTTTTGTCTGAATATTGAGTGTACAAAAGTCACTGAAGGTAGGTTTTAGTGTGTGTGTGTGTGTATTCACCTGCATGTTTGTGGTGGGTAGGAGTCTTAGGTCCTTGTGCGTTGCCACCCTGCTGGAGGAAAAGGGCAGCTCCTTTGACCATGAAGAAGCTTTCACTGAGGCTACAAAAACAACAACAACAACAAAACAAAATGAAAAAAACAAACAAACAGAAAAGGCAATTGAGATCTTGATACGAGTGAAGTTTAGATACATTTGACCTTTGTACTTTTGACAGTCATTGCATTAGACACAATTCATTTAGCTTCACCAAGTCAATGTGTCATTTTTAACACATCTTTGTAATTAAATCTCTAATGCTTCCTTCACACTGGAGGCATCAGCGACGCAGAACAGCAGCAGAACGGTTTACTTGCATGCTTCGTTGCACGCCAGTCCATAACGGAAAAGAGATTAAAAATCCAACCCTTCTGAAGGGGACGAACTTAACACAAGAGATACCTACCTGCTGCTCCCTCAGATATAATAAATCAAGTGAAACCAGGATTTTCCCCATCAGTCAGCCCAATTATATCAGTCATAACCATCCCCCCAATTAAAGTAGTTAAAAAGACAAAAACTGACAATCTTTAAAAAAAAGCTGTTTTAAACAATTATAATAAAGTTTCCCCCATGTAACTGGATCTGGTAATCGGCCTGTATTTGATAAAGTACCTTGTAGGGTTTTACATCCCCCAAGTCACTTTAAAACACAACCATTCATTCACCCCTTTGTACACACATTCACACCCTGGTGACAATGAGCTACCTTGGCTACCAATCATAGATAGGCTACATAACACTGGTGCCACTGGTCCCTCCTACCACCACCAGAATGTAATATAAAAGAGAAAACTGACAATTAAGTTAATACTAAACAGGTTTGTAAAAAAGTTTTATAATAGCAAAAATTTTGCTTAACATGACAAGATTAAAATAACCTTTTGAGAGTCTTTTGTTCCAGTAATGATAACGTGATTCATCAGTTATTTAAAATACTTATGTATAAAGACCTGAAAAAGGACATTTATACAGAGGACAATGATAAGATGTCAATAGATGTATGAGGTCCAAGTAAAATGAGCTTGATTTAATATCAAAGCAGTTTTCTTGAGGCAAAAAAGATAATAATAATAACTCACACAACTGGCAAAAAATGTACGGAAGAGGATTAGGACTACTGAAAAGGAAACGAACAAAAGAAACTAAAGAAAGAAAAAAGTCCTAGTTTAAAGGTGGAATGTGGAACATTTTAATAAAAAGCTATATTTTCAAAAAATAATACCTCCATGGGGCATTTAGAGGTGTGCAAAATGAATGTACAATTTTCCCCTTAAAAGCTATATTTAAAAAAAAAATAATAATCAAAACTAGACTGGCAAGCCACCCAGTCTGGCCAAGACCCTTAGACAGCTCAGTGGTGGGGCGGGATCTAGGGTTGTCTTTAAAACTGTATTCACTTGCTATTGGACAACAAACAATGTGACGTACTCCCTGCTGCGGATGTCAGTCAAAGGAGCAGTCCACCACACACTGTTGAAGAAGAAGCAAATACATCCCTTGTCTAAGTGAAGGACTTAAGTACCTCTGTCTGCTCTTGACTCAAAGTGTCTATTTAGACTTGGCCCAAAGTTGATGCCAAAGATGTTTCAAACGAGCCAACACCGTTTTTGTTGTTCCGCTCTGTCGAATAATCCTGTCCAACAAACCGATAGAGCGCTGTGACTGGCGTAACACAAAACAGCTCAGGCCAGTAGTAGAACTGCTGAGGCTCCTATGGAGCATGGCTGGACCGACATGCAGAGCAAAATAATTGTGCTACTTCTAATGTCTGTCTAGATTTCTAGGCTACCTCTACCCATCACTGCTGACTGATTACACTAATACAAGTATGTAGAAAGCCGAGTTTCACAAGCAACACCCAAGTCTGCTTAAAACCAGACTTGTAGAACCACATCATGTCTCTTTCTAAAAAGAGCCAACTAGCTGCATTTCAGAAAATCATCACACAGTCAAACATGGTGGCTGTAGTGTGATGGTCTGGTGCTGCTTAGGGGTGACTTGCTGTAATTGATGGAATCATGAATTTTGCTAGCAGAAACTCCACAGGAGAATATCTGACCTTTGACCTTAAACAGGCAGTTTATTTTAGAAAACCTTCCGATGAGGCTGAATTAAAACTGTAAAAATTGTATGTACATAGACTCATTCTCAGTTATCACAAATATGTGACTGCAGTTGTTTGTCCTCTAAACATGGTTATTGAATGTAAAATTCTTGGCACTATTACTTAATTCCAATAATTTAAATAAAATCTTGGTTTTAAAACTACTTTCTTGGATTTACTCGGGTCCTCCAAAAACAGAAGATGCCTGTGAGGGTAACAATCATCTGCCAGTGCTGACCTTCTGTGGACCACGTCACAACAAACTATCCACCAATGACGAATGAACTCCTGATTCAGACTTTGAAATGAAGGCTACAGAAGAATTTGGTATGTTCTCCTACAGAACAGAGCAGCTTTGTCTTGGCTCCTCTGCCCTGTAGTATCAGTAGATGAGATGGCATTTAGATGAGATCAACATCAAAGTGCTGAACAAATGAAAAATGAAACATGAAGATAAAATTCACTCATCAGTTATCAGAACACAAGTTCTGAGATGCGGCTGACTGTATGCGTGTTTGCTAAATACCACAGCTGGCAAAACGTTTTTCTCATCAAGGTCAATGACAGCTATATCCTAGTCTGAGAACTTACATGCGACAGATCTCCATCCGAGCCAGAGCAGCTTTCTCCACAAACTCAGGCAGCCCACTGAACATGACTCTATGTGAAGACTTCAGATGCATCCTGCTGCTCTTAATATTTACCATCACCTCAGAAAAAAAATACAACTTCAACAACTTCTTCACCCAACTGCAGCCCAGTTTTAGATAAGCTCTTCTAGTTATCTTCTTCTCTCTCTTATTGCTTGTCTTTCCATCTCACGCTGTGAAGCATCCATGTCTGCTTGGTCTGCTGAGATTCAGCTCCCGTTTCTCCTCCCTCAATTCACAGCACGTGATTCAGCAATCGGCTCGGCCCGCGCAAAACTCCGAAACAATACCACAATTCAAGCAGAGAGTTTGCAGGCGGTGGGAATGTTGCACAGCAGCAGGCTCGTGTTTGACATGTAGAATATTGAACCTGAAAAGACTTCACACTGATGAATCACCTAACATGATGGGGCCTTTTCAACAAGAGGAAACACACACACACAAGCTTGCACGCACACACTCTGTCCAACTCTTTTCAGACATGACTTCTGTGACGTCATGCTGGATAAAGAAAAGCTTTGTCTCTGAACAGTAACAAAGCTTTATGAGCTTTCTGTTATGTAACTGAACACAACAAACGTTTTAGAAAACTTGTCACATTGAATCAAGTGCTTATTCAGCTGATTTGTTTCCTTGGCAACAGCAAGGAAATAAAAGGTCTTTAGACTAAACAACTACTGATCAGCTGGACCTATTAAAGTTGTTATAACACATTTACAGAACAAGCTAGGTTTTGAATGCAAACATTGCCTTAGAGCACACACCCCTCCCCTTGGATACCTTCCCTGAGATGCTTCTGCCAGAACCAGAAACCTGCAATGCCAGACGAAACAAAGCTACACACCAGTCGCCATTTTCTAGGTCCAAACATCATTTGTTGTCTGTGGCTCCAAATTGTGTTGCTCTCTTTAGGACAAACAACCAGAGTCCCAAAGTTGAAGTTGTAGCAGCTGGCTGTTTCTCCTACTCTGATATTATTGAGCAGAGAACCTCACACCAGTGATGTTCTGTTGCTAAATACGAGAGTATGTAATGCAGGGGTGTCAAACTCAAATTCACGCTGGGCCGAAATGAAACTCTGGGACGGAGTCGAGGGCCAAACTTAATATTTTTTGAAAAAGTGACGGCAAATTTGCACATTTTCTTTATCAACATATATGCAATTTTGAACGTTTTAATTTGGAAACAAACATATTTTTGCATTAACACTGAATGTGGAATAACCAAATTACACACGAGCAAGTCAGTTTTAAATAAACGGCATCAGTGGTATTCATTACTTGTGGTATATTCAGCATTTTTGATATCTATTCAGGATTTATGTTTTCTTGTTTATTCATTTTTCTTAATTTTTTATTCTCCTTTTTTTCTCCTGTAATAAGTGTCATCGCTGCTTTGACGTCTAGCTTTCCCCACTGAGGAACAATAAAGGGATTTTCTATTCTATTCATCTATCTGCAGCCTTTCCACTTCCTGTTTACTGTAGGTTAAATCTTTTCTCACGGGCCAACAACAAAATAAAAAAATCATTTTTATCTTAAATGAAAATGCAACATCTCACCTGTTAACTTTCATGTTTTGAAGCAGAAAAAGAGCATAAAACCAACATATTTAAAGCTCAGTTTGCTCCACTGGTTTACTGTGATGCTCACCTGTTCCAACCAGATACCTGCATCATGGGGTTGATCTGAGCTGAGGAGGAGACTCCTGTTGTTTTCGTCATCTTCATCATAATAATGACAACATTAGATGACAACAGGTGCTCACATAGGTTTGTGCTGCTGAACATGTCTGAGCAGCTTGACCACGTTGTTGTGTGTCGGGGAGGAAAAATAAAAACGACAGCAGCCACAGAGTCATGCTGGTTTGAGCGCCTCGCTGCTCGCTGGAGTTATATCAGCTCTGTCTGGAAGTTAGCCGGAAAACTTTCTCTTTCAGTCGTGAACACATTACTGAGCAGTTAAAATCTCCGTTTCTGGGCTTCAATGTTGGAAAATAGCTGAGTAAACTCAGCGCTGAGTGAGAGGAGTGTTTAGTTTGTCCGAGACAGCGGAGCTTCAGACACCGGCAGCAGACGCTGGAAAAAACACAAAGGAGGGGGCGCTTCGGCTCCGCGCTAACGCCGCAAAGCATCACGGGAGTTGTAGTCTTTGCGGTAAAATCGGCCAGCGGGTCAGTTTTAATATATTTCTGATATTTATCTCGCAGATCACATAAAAATACGGGCCTTGTGTCTGACACACGTGGTGTAATGAATGGAGGACCGAGGGAAGAGCGGCGGTTTGGTGAGATCAACAACCAGATGGTCCATTAGTTGCTTTCCGTAAATAACCGAAGTGAGCCGCCTGAACACTTGTATGGGCTGCCTGAATGCTTTTCCTCACAAAAACACCACTGGAGCACTGAACACTGATTATCTTATGGCCATAGCAGAATCACAAAACAATAAAACAGCCAGATGCACCACTCTGTGTGCTTGGCTCGGGTCCAGCGTTACACTCCTATCCCACCCCTGCTTGATGCTACCACTGTAATTTTTAAAACCGGGGAAAGCCCCGATGTGTACTCACCAAGCTAAGACTTTTCAGATCGTCAAATTTAATGTTTTTCCTACCAGCCATGGACATTTTCTCGTTTTAGACATAAATTGTTCAACTGTTACTGGCATATTGTTCAAACAGCGGCCGGCTTCGCACCATGATTGGTTCTTTTCTCATCAAGTCCCACCTGTCCCAATTGCCGATTGGTTTATTTTTCCGTTCGACTACATTTTCCATTTTCCAATTGGATTTTTGTTAATGTCAATTTTTGTCGTCACCTTTTATTTATTGGTGGAAAAAAATATGCAAAACAGCAAAGCAGAAATGGTCAAATAGCAAGGGACTACTGTACACAATATATTTATAGCTATACTATATTAGAATGTTGTTAAGCGGCATGAGAGAAACAATTTAGCTAATTTGTTTTCCAAATTTGCTATTGCAGCTTTAAAAACAAAGAACTCAAAGAACAAGCTCATTTTCTGTCAAAATAAAAGTTATAAAGTTTTGAAGGTCCAAAAGTGAAAAGGTACCAGCCTCCTATTGGATAATTACTGCAGGGGTGATTATCTTTCAGCTGGCTACAAGTTATTTAACTTCAACTGGTGCAATGAGTTGCTTCTCATTTCTTAAACAACAATGTGGAAATACACATCTGGTGGTGGTCAGATCTAGGGCTGCAACAAAAGATTATTTGGATAATCGATTAATCGGATGGGGTCTCGACACGATTAATCGATTAATCGGATTACATGGGGAAATTTTTAAAAACTGCTAGGGAAACGTTATTTCTCTCCTTCCTTCACTTTATTTAACACAACATTATTAGAAAACAGTTCAATAGCAGAAAAACAACATGCCATCACCTAAATTGTCTTATAAGGTGTATAGACAGAGACCCTAAGCTACATCTATCTGTGACCTAAAATGCTTGGTCCAAGTTAAACAGCTTAAGGGCAATTCTCATCTGTTTTGTTTGATCTCATCTGTTGACATTTATTTTAAATGTAATTAAACATAGGCTGTGAATTAATCAAAATTGATCACTATTTCCAAAAATGACTGAAAAAATACCAAATAAAACAAAAGTAAATGAATGCCATCCTCCTTGCGATGATGCCCTGGGCAACTGCCATAAAGTCACATCAAGAAATGCTGCTGATCATTCCAATGATCCCAAATAGACTCACATTAGGCCACATGAAAGCAACTGAACCCAAAAATATATTAACCAGTATATAACTGCACTCTCACACAACACGCCTGCAGCAACAGTTAGGACTCCTCCCTCCCTTTTAAAAGCGTTTTTGCTTCCGAGGACATTGTGGTTGTAAAACCACATGCTAGTAGTCTGGCCCCGGTGTGATCAACCAGTTTCTGCGGGAATGTGACGGCAGAACCAGGGCCAGATTAACACTTTGTTGTACCCTGGGCAACAATATTCAAGGGCTCCATCATCACGACCCGAGGATCACCATAATGTGGTCACATACAGAATATTTTACTGTAATATGCAGTAAATATACTCAATACTTGAATGCCTGACAACACGTAACCCGCCCAGAGTAACCTTTGACCCACCTCGTGTGGACTGACCAATGAGGAGAGGGTCTTAACTTGAGGCCCTCTCTTCATTGGTCAGTCTGCATGAGACTGACTCAACTGACGTTCAAAGTCATAGGCAGCGAAGCGTCTCTGTGCAGCGCAAAAGCCCGGGTGGACAGGTTGTTTAATATAGGGTGACCATATTTCCATTTCCAAAAAAGAGGACGGGATCTGTGCCTATGACGTCACACTATGGCAACGCCACAAAAACCATGTTGGGACCCATTTTTTGTAAGAACTAAATTAATATCAGATTCTACCAATAAAAGGGCTCTAAAACAATTCATATGTAAATATTTTGCATATTTAATGCAAAATCTCATTTTTATGCTTTAGTGCTGCAACAAGGTTTTATTAATAATAAATTATTATACCTTTTGTTTTACTACAGCATCGGTAAGCTTCCTGTTTACAGATTATTAAGGATGCTTGTTTCAGCTGTGAGATTAGACAATAGGATCAATGAAAAAATAAGTTGTCACACACTCCATGGAAACTTTCAGAGAATCCACAAATAGTGGCTTTCAAACGGTTTTGTTACTTTTTGCAAGTTTAGAAAAGAAGCAGATGAGACAGCATGTCTGATAATTTAGTTTTTCATCTGATAATATTAGAACATGTCAGTAATGTCTGAGGGGACTTTATAAACACCGTATAACTAATACTCCTGGAGAGGGTATGAATTACACAGAGGCTTCTGGGGAGCCCAGTTATTGGGGGGGGGGGGGGGGGGGGGGGGGGGTTCATTTTGCCTTGGCCCCCAAAATGTCTTGAAACGGCCCTGGGTGTGACTGAGTTTTGAAGGTGATCTGAATTGTATCAGATGCATAAATATGACATGTGTATAACTTATTGTTTTATACAGGTAAAAACGTGTTGGAGATGAATCTACCTACATTTTACTTTTCAACACTTTGTTTTGTTTTCTTGTTTTTATTTAACTATTTTCCTGTCCTGTCTGTCTCTCATCTTCCTGCATCTCCTCATAATTCTCCAGAAAATCTGTTGCCTGGATTCTTACCTTTTCACCTCATCAGTTACTTTTGAGCAGATCAAAGAGATCTCCTGACCGCAAAGCGCAGAGCGCGTTTTCGATGCTGCGTGCGGAGCTCATCACCACAGCACAGGTGATGAGCTCCGCAGTAGCGCGCTTCAGGCACAAATAAGACAGAAAATAGAAAACATGTGCAGACAAGAACGATCGTGTGCTAATTATAGTTTTTTGGTTTTGCCACTTTGAGAATGGACCGTGCGCTGGAAGCAGCTGCCTGGATCGCTGCGCAACATTGCGGAACCGGTTCGCAGTAGCGCAAGTCTGCAGGCTCTCCCTCGCGCTGATCTGCTGGTACCGGCTCTCCCTCGCGCTGATCTGCCGGTACCGGCTCTCCCTTGCGCTGATCTGCCGGCTCTCCCTCGCGCTGATCTGCGGCTCTCCCTCGCGCTGATCTGACTTGCTCTGGTCTGCGCGCAACGGCGGGCGGGAAGGGGGGGGGGGGGGGGGGGCGCTTTTGGAAGAGTTGTGCGACACAATGAATCGATGACGCAATTCGTTGCCAACGCTTTTAGTAATCGATTTTCATTGAATTTATCAATTCGTTGTTGCAGCCCTAGTCAGATCATTGCCATGCATCAACCATAGGGAACATCTAAGGAAATAGCAGAAACTACTAACATTGGGTTAAAGACTGAAATGATAGTTTGGAAGAAGGAAAAGGAAGAAATGTGGCCCGTAAAACATCCTGAATGATCATGATTGGCGACCACTTAACCCTCCCACTGTTCTCATGGGTGACCCCGCCAGGAAAGTTGACCATTGAGCAGGGTTGATGGGTTATCCCTTGAGGTCCACGTGGCAGGGGTGAGGAGTGCGCACCACCTCAGAAAAACCAGAAAAAAATGCTTTCATTTGCTAGGGGGCATCAAGATTGGACTCTGGAGCAATGGAAGAAGCTGATGGGGTCCGAGTCCAAATGGACCCTGTTCCAGAGTGATGGGTGCATCAGGATAAGGAGAGAGGCAGATGAAGCGATGCACCCATCATGCCTAGTGCCTACTGTACAAGCCTGTGGGGACAGTGCTTTTATCTGGGCTTGCTGAATTGGTCAGGTCTAGGTTCAGCAACAGGATGTGTTCCAAGAATGAGGTCAGCTGACTACCTGAATACACTGAATGACCAGGTTACTCCATCTTCCCATCATCAATGCAAGATCTTGGTGACATTAATGCATCACTGGATGGAAATAAATCTGGTGACATTGCAGAAGCTTATTAAAACAATGCCACAGCGAATGTGTGCTGTAATCAAAACTAAAGGCAGTCCAACCAAATATTAGTGTGTAACCATTTTAGTGGGGACGTTTTTTGGCCGAGCAGTGTTTCATGGAAGCTGTTAACAAAGTTAAGTTACAGTTTCTTTCCCCAAAGGCAGCTTTCTCTTCCTTATGTCCCATCATGTCAAGCCAATCTTCATTTTTTTCCCTTAAGGCACTCTTATTCGCTCATCTCTTTTTTGATGAAATTTCAAATTGCTTTGGTGCTTTAGTTGGCTAACGTTGGCCTGAATGAGTTATTTTAAAAATAATTCTGGTTGATCCCATATTTAAAACAAACAAAACACAATAACTCTGCAGTTTCCCTGATCAGTAGAAGATTTTCCTGGCCTTTTTCATTTCTGAATGATCCAAAAATAGATGTTTTTCTCACTATTCAGCATCCACTCAAGTCTCTGCAGTGACAATGCAACTCTACATTTTTTAAGTGACAATTTAGTAATCTTCCAATAATTTTCTTAATTAATTTTAACTTTTGAAATAACGATTATGCGCTTTAGCATCTTTATTCATTTCCTCCTTTTCCAGAAAGAGGTAATTTTATAATTGGAAACTGTTTTTGAGCCTCTATGCAGCATATGGAAGTTTGTTGGGGCTCAAAATGATCCAGGAGTCCTGCTGAATAGCCAAGCTAAACTCTGTAATAAAGCCCTACAATGGAAAGACTGGTAAGTCCCACCCACTCAGGTTATAAATAATAAATGAGCTGCATACTGATTAGCTGGTTTACCCTGATGGCTCTATAGCATTCCTCTGAAGCTTGGTTTATGCTTGACGCATTCACTTTCCGCTTGGTGACGCGGCTCGCGGATGGAACGCGCTTCACAACTCACCGCGTTTATGGTTCATGCGGCTTGTCTCTGCGGTGAGCCAATATTCTCCCAAACTGAACAGGGCAGCATGGAGCTCTACGGCATACATCCAACACTACACCGTAGTAGAAGTAAAAATTACTGTTGTTTACAACATGGCATTCCAGCATTTTTAACAGCGTCCTCGTCTTTTCCGACAGTGCGAGCTATTTCTCTCCAAGAATTATTAACAACATGTTGATCACGGTGATCTCTGAGAACTGAATCATACAAATGTCTGTATTTACAAACCTCTGCCATACTAGTTCTTGCCGGTCTGCCATGTTTTTCCATGTCCGACCGTCCGCGTGGTTAGAAATTTTCCTAGGTGCGCGTTGCGGAAATTTTGGGCCGTGCGGAGGTGCGGTGGAGGGGCGTGGTTGTTAAAATGACGCAATTTCGCCGCGCGGAGCCGTGCGGACCTCGCGGACGCGTCAAGCATAAACCAACCTTGAGGCTAGATATTTCCAGTACATCCTGGAACGTTACATGTGAGCTCTGACACTCTTCTTTGTTGGTTTCCTCTTGTTCAACAAGGATGTTTGCAGTAGCTCAGGCCAGCGTTAGCAGTAGCTCAGGCTAGCATTGTCCTGCGGTTAACATTACTGTGACCAACACATATACTGTCACAGTTGAAGTGGGTTAAGGTAATCAGAGGTGCGTATAGTACCTTCTAGAGGTCTACAACCCCCCCAAGGTGCTTCACAACACATCCATTCATTCACCCATGTACACACACATTCACACGCTAGTGGTGATGAACTACAAAGTAGCCACAGCTGCCCTGCAGCAGCAGCCAGCCACTAGGGATGCTTGGTTTGCTTTGGCTTCAACTTCAGCGTTACCCTCCCCAGGCAAGTTAGCGTACATGTCAATGTGGTGGCGTCATTATTCTATGAAGATGCATTTTAAGGATATCTGAGTTAATTACTTGAAAAGAGTTTCTCTTTAGAAAGAAGCAGGAAGTAGATTATGAATAAAAACAATCTCACTGTTTACAGTGGGGATGGGGAGCTGCTGACGTCAACTGAGGCTATAGTCGGACGGTGGAAGGAATACTTTGAGGAGCTCCTCAATCCCACCAATGCGCATTCCGAGGAGGAACCAGAGCTGGGAGGCCTGGGGATGGACTGTCCGATCTCGGGGGCAGAAGTTGCTGAGGTAGTCAAACAACTACACAGCGGCGGAGCCCCGGGGGCGGATGAGGTTCGTCCTGGGTATCTCAAGGCTATGGATGTTGTAGGGCTGTCATGGTTGACACGTCTCTACAACATTGCGTGGTCATCGGGGGCAGTTCCTAGGGAGTGGCAGACCGGGATGGTGGTCCCCATCTTTAAGAAGGGTGACCTGAGGGTGTGTTCCAACTATAGGGGGATCACACTCCTCAGCCTCCCTGGAAAGGTCTACGCCAAGGTACTGGAGAGGAGGGTCCGATCGATAGTTGAATCTCAGATAGAGGAGGAGCAATGTGGTTTTCGTCCTGGCCGTGGAACTGTGGACCAGCTCTATACCCTTGCAAGGGTGATGGAGGGGGCATGGGAGTTTGCCCAACCAATCCACATGTGCTTTGTGGATTTGGAGAAGGCTCATGACCGTGTCCCCAGGGACACCCTGTGGGGGACGCTCCAGGAGTATGGGGTGGGTGGCTTTCTGTTAAGGGCCATTCAGTCCCTTTACCAGAGGAGCGTGAGTTTGGTCCGCATAGCCGGTAGTAAGTCGGACCTGTTCCCAGTGAGGGTTGGACTCCGCCAGGGCTGCCCTTTGTCACCGGTTCTGTTCATCACTTTTATGGACAGAATTTCTAGACGCAGCCGTGGTGTGGAGTGTGTCGAGTTTGGTGGCAGGAGAATCTCGTCTCTGCTTTTTGCGGATGATGTGGTCCTCCTAGCTTCATCCAGCTCTGACCTTCAGCTCTTGCTGGGTAGGTTCGCGGCCGAATGTGAAGCGGCTGGGATGAGGATCAGCACCTCCAAATCTGAGACCATGGTTCTCGACCGGAAAAGGGTGGCTTGCCACCTCTGGGTCGGGGGAGAGGTCCTACCTCAAGTGGAGGAGTTTAAGTATCTCGGGGTCTTGTTCACGAGTGAAGGTAGGAGGGATCGGGAGATCGACAGGCGGATTGGTTCGGCGTCTGCAGTGATGCGGACGCTGAGCCGATCTGTCGTGGGGAAGAGGGAGCTGAGCCAGAAAGCCAGGCTCTCGATTTACCGGTCGATCTACGTCCCAATCCTCACCTATGGTCATGAGCTTTGGGTAATGACCGAAAGAACGAGATCGCGGATACAAGCGGCCAAAACGAGTTTCCTCCGTAGGGTGGCCGGGCTCAGCCTTAGAGATAGGGTGAGGAGCTCGGACATTCGGGAGGGACTCGGAGTAGAACCGCTGCTCCTCCGGATCGAAAGGAGCCAGTTGAGGTGGTTTGGGCATCTGGTCAGGATGCCTCCTGGACGCCTCCCCGGGGAGGTGTTTCGGGCATGTCCTGCCGGCAGAAGGCCCCCGGGTCGACCCAGGACACGTTGGAGAGGTTACATCTCCAATCTGGTCCGGGAACGCCTTGGGGTCCTGCCGGAGGAGCTGGTGGACAAGGCCGGGGAGAGGACGGCCTGGAGCTCCCTAATTGGGATGCTGCCCCCGCGACCCGGACCCGGATAAGCGGAGGAAGACGAAGACGAACAATCTCAGCATGAATAATGCAGGTAAATCAACACGAACCGTTAAAGACAATCAGATCATTATTCAAAGGAAATACAGGTGAAAACCCCCAGAGGTAGCGCAGCCAGAATCCACACAACATAACTGAGAAGTACTGGATTTATCTGAAAATTATCCCCTTTCTGAACATCTCTGCAGAGGAGACAAGAAAAAGTAGAATTGTTGGACCTAACCTTTTAGTGGGAAACTTTCCAAAATGTAGAAATTAGTATTTCGGCTATTGTTACTTTATTAATCTGATCCCATATTGGCTCATCAACTTTACAATGAGGAACGTGACGTTTCCGCATTAAATAATAAATAAATGAAAGGTTGTTTAAGTGAGTTGACATACCTTTGATTGTTCTTCCTGTCATCGTCACTTCCAAAATCCTGAAACACACAAAGAAAGCAGAAAATGTAAATTGTGCAACAGTTTTAGCTAAAGTTTGATGTTTTCATGGACTAATGGAGGAGTTTAATTTGAAATTTGTTTTTTGTTGGCTGTGGTGAAACAGTTTAGTTAGGTGTAGAAGATGCATCAGCTCCATCTTCTGGTCAGTGTTATGATCTAACAATCTATCAAATCTTAAGTGTCTTTGAGACTTTAGCAAACAGCAGAAATTTAGTAAACACATTGAAACTTCCACAATATTAATCTGGTGTCCCGAAAGTAATAAAAAATGAATGAGAAAATCATTTATTCTATCATGTGTATGCCCAATTCAGAGATCATAATCCAGTGTTTTAGACAAAATAAAACTTGGAGCTTGTCAAACTGATGATATTGTGGAGCTGTCACAGATAAATGGATATTTCCAAATGTTTCTCTCCAGCCAACTGTTAGAAAGGGCATGCACATAGACTATAGGGCTTGTTTACATCAGCAGCCCCCAAAGCTATGAGTGGAAAACAGCAAATGAGAAGAGATCAACGCAGAAAATGAGCACTTGTCCGTGACAGCTAAACCAACAGCACCCCTCCCCCTCTGCGGGAGATTGTTTACAAATCCTCTAAAGAGGCTGCAGCAGAACTACTGGAACAATAACCTGTCAAGTTGACAACAATCACAGATACAACTTGCAGGATAATAAAACGCCAGCCAGCTTGTCTTTCCGTCTCCTGCAGGGGAATTCTTGGCGTTTTCTCCTCACAAAGCGAGCCCCAGCCCAAGCTTTTAATTCCCACTCACCTCCCCCGCGCTGCTGTTTGCCGAAGATGCTGCACTGGGGGTGGGAGACCGCTGCAGAGTCACCAGGGCCATGGCCGGTGGGCTGGAGAAGGGAGAGGAGCGGGGTTGGAAGGATGCGCTGTGTCGGTCTCTGTCGCCGGGTAGAAAATGCCTAGTCAGACTCTCATCCAGCAGCAGCACCTGACTCCACAAAGCCGTTCGGTCCTGCTCCGAGCGTCCTCTGCAGCTACCGGAGTCCTCATGAGCAGAAAGTGACGACAATTCTCCCCAGTTTGTGTCGAGTTCCCAGTTTATTTAATAGCTGGAGCGAAGGCAGACAAACAAAACACGCTGCAGGTAGCAAGCGGGGCAGGATTGACGTGCAGTTTTGCCGGACGACCCTGATTGGCTGGCCTAGTTCGCGTGCGCGCTGTCATTGGGCCAATGTTGTCAAGGTGACAGACCAGACTAGGAAGTCCCACACCAAGCGACTGGGAAAGATCACGGGTAAAATAAAATAAAATAAAATAAAATAAAATAAAATAAAATAAAATAAAAAAATTAACAGATTATTAAAAAAAAATTCAACCAACGAAGTTATCTATATTTTTATTTCTTTGAGCAATATTTTATATGGTGGTTGAAAATATTAGAAAGTGACTGAGGTTACACTGTGTTTGTTTGGCGGATAATTTTATTTCGTAAAAAGGGGCAGAAATCATAAGATTTTTTCTTTTATCCGCTCCTTTTCATTCAAATGTTTTTTTTCAATATGTTAATGTATCCTGTATTTGTTTGTGTTTATTTTATACATTGTGAATGAAATAAAAGATAAAAAAAAGTCATTCGTGATCACAAAGGCTCTTGAACAAATAAAAAACACACATGTAAAAAGTCAAATCATCTGACCCAAACACCTCTTAAGTTCATGTAATACATTTTACCATCCAGTCAAAAGTTAACAAGTTCATGGAACATAGATTAAAAATAAAACATTCCAATAATCTCCAAACGCTGATCGAAAACAAATCTAGAATTTTGGCGGCCATTCATTACAATTTACCAAGTACATTCCTCCCACTGAGCTAAGTTTATTTATTGCGTCCAAACTAGCTAAAATAAATTGCAGATAGGTTTGCTGAAGGGAAAAATGCAACTGCTGAATAAAATAATTTGATAACTAAAATTGACTTTAATTTGACCCCTAGAACCATTCCCTTTCTGATACAGTCTCTATTAAATTTAACAGATTCCGTTTAATATATTTTAGAGTCAGTGTGGTACAAACAAAAACTGATTAATACAGTTTTCATATGTGTATATGTCTGGAATGAATGAGAAAACAATTTTAATCAAGAAACTGAGTAATACACTTGTTTGCTATTAAATGACTGGAAATGGTCAAAAACACCAGGGGAGGTAAACTGCAGATGCCTAGTACAATAATCAACCATATACAGATGCTGCTCCATCGACACCTTGCAAAATGTGCCATTATCCTATACCTGTGATCACTGGCTTCAGAGGAAGGTCACACACAGCAAACCGCTTTCGCAACCTTCAAAACCTCCGCTCGCTAAAACCAACCCCCCCGAAAACACCCACCTGTCTATGGCACTTTGGAACTGCCAATCAGCTGTAAACAAAGCAGACTTCATTACCGCATATGCAAACCACCTGTCACTCGATGCACTGGCTCTCACTGAGACCTGGATCAAACCATGTGACAATGCTACCCCATCTGCTCCCTCAATTAACCACACTTTCTCCCACACTTCTCGTGCATCTGGCCGAGGTGGTGGGACGGGCATGTTAATTTCCAACAAATGGATATACAGTCAGTTGCTACCCATCACTAAATACAACCCCTTTGAATACCAAGCCATCCAGGTAACTGTACTGAAAAAAATATTTTTGGTTGCCATATATCGCCAACCAGGTCAATTCGTAGACTTTCTTGATGAACTTGACACCCTGCTCTCCTCCATTCGTGAGCACGACTGTCCCACGATGGTCCTTGGAGACATTAATACCGTAAATCCTCTAATACAGGCCCGGGCCTGTATTAGAGGATTTACGGTATTCACCTGGACAATCCCAGCTCATCAGGCTTCCGGTCACTGTCATCATTTGATCTAAAACTAGTACAAAGTCCTCCAAATCACAAAGTTGGAAAAGCACTTGACCTTATTTTCACCAGAAACTGTGCCGTAGACACAATCTCTGTCACACCGCTGCATCTTTCCGATCATTACTTCATCCATTTCAGCACGACTCTACATAGCATGGCGTGCCACACCACGCTCAGGACAATCCAAGCTCTTCTCATGCATCGTTCCACAAATGTGGAATGACCTACCAAGCACTAGTACAGGAGCTTCCCTTTCAATTTTCAAGAAACTACTGAAGACCCTGCTCTTCAGAGAGCATCTTCTAAACTAGCACCCTCCCTGCACCCGTCCCCTCTCTACTGTCCACTCCTTGTTCCCGCCTCTCCATCATTGATGTCAAGTTGTTGTTGTTATTGTTGTTGTTGGCCTCAAGGGCAACATGCTGATTATCACTTGTAAGTCGCTTTGGACAAAAGCATCTGCTAAATACATAAACATAAACATATTCAGTGAAACCTATTAAAAAAAGTGACCAAAATGATTAGATCATGCTTAGAGGTACAAATTAAACAAATGTACAATTTTAAATATTCCTGTATTGAGATGAAAACTTTTTTCATGTCTAAAAAAGGAGCAAAATTTCAAATACATAAAATTTTTTAATCAACAGTCATAGGATGGACGCTTTAATTTCCTGCAGTCTGGATTTAAAGATGCCCACAGTGCAAACAAATCAGTTTATGAACAAACGTCCATTCATTAGACATGGACAGTTGACCTTCAGCATATAATGAGCTCATCGTCAGCTGCTCTTCACCGCTCATCGTCATCCAGATAATTCAGCCCATCATTACACAACCAAATGCTGCATCTGCAGGAGGATGCACAGGGACAGTTTCTTCCTGGTTGACCTCTCACTGGACCATAGAGGGAGTTGTACCATTTGGCTGTCTGCTTGTTGCCGTTTGTCCTCCAGTCTCTTGAATGACACTTGACTCCTGCAGACCCCTGCCGCATGTCTCGATGGGAAGGATTAAGGATGCAATGCCAGCCAGCAGACTGCAGCTGCAGTACACTGACAGCGTAAAAGGCACCGATGTCCTGAGCATCACCTAGAACCAAAATCCAACATCCGAGGAGTCAGTGAGAGTTTTAACATTCACAACATCAATCTACAATACACAATGTCAAACTCGTTTTGCAAACCCAAGACAACAAGTTGGGTATTTTTATCCTCATGAGCTTATTTTTCTAGCATCTTAACAAATCTTAATTCTAAATCTCGCTGCTGCCGAGGCAGCAATGGGTTACACCAAAGTTTGCAGAGGATGTCACTGTGAGAAAGACCTACACTGAATTCAATAACCAGAAACCGTGAATGACTGCAGAGGTATGCTGGGCGCTGAAGGTCTGAGATGCAGCATACAAGTCCAGAGATGAGGTAGCTCTTCACACAGCCAGGCCTGCACTCTCTAAGGACGCTAAAGCAGTAAAGTGGACAATGCTGACAGAATTCTGCAACACAGGGAACACCAGGAAAATACAGATCCTTCTCAAAAAATTTGCATATTGTGATAAAGTTCATTATTTTCTGTAATTTACTAATAAACATTAGACTTTCATATATATTAGATTCATTACACATAACTGAAGTAGTTCAAGCCTTTTATTGTTTCTAATAGTGATGATTTTGGCATACAGCTCATGAAAACCCTAAATTCCTATCTCAAAAAAATTGCATCCGACCAATAAAAGAAAAGTATTTTTAATACAAAAAAGTCAACCTTCAAATAATTATGTTCAGTTATGCACTCAGTACGTGGTCGGGAATCCTTTTGCAGAAATGACTGCTTCAATGCGGCGTGGCATGGAGGCAATCAGCCTGTAGCACTGCTGAGGTGTTATGGAGGCCCAGGAGGCTTCGATAGCGGCCTTAAGCTCATCCAGAGTGTTGGGTCCAGCGTCTCTCAATGTTCTCTTCATAGTATCCCACAGGTTCTCTATGGGGTTCAGGTCAGGAGAGTTGGCAGGCCAATTGAGCACAGTAATACCATGGTCAGTAAACCATTTACCAGTGGTTTTGGCACTGTGAGCAGGTGCCAGGTCGTGCTGAAAAATGAAATCTTCATCTCCATAAAGCTTTTCAGCAGACTGAAGCATGAAGTGCTCCAAAATCTCCTGGTAGCTAGCTGCATTGACCCTACCCTTGATAAAACAGAGTGGACCAACACCAGCAGCTGACATTGCACCCCAGACCATCACTGACTGTGGGTACTTGACACTGGACTTTAGTCATTTTGGCATTTCCTTCTGCCCAGCCTTCCTCCAGACTCTGGCACCTTGATTTCCGAATGGCATGCAAAATTTGCTTTCATCCTAAAAAAGTACTTTGGACCACTGAGCAACAGTCCAGAGCTGCTTCTCTGTAGCCCAGGTCAGGCGTTTCTGCCGCTGTTTCTGGTTCAAAAGTGACTTGAACTGAGGAATGCGGCACCTGTGGCCCATTTCCTGCACACGCCTGTACACGGTGGCTCTGGATGTTTCTACTCCAGACTGAGCCCACTGCTTCCGCAGGTCCCCCAAGGTCTGGAATCGGTCCTTCTCCACAATCTTCCTCAGGGTTCGGTCACCTCTTCTCGTTGTGCAGCGTTTTCTGCCACACTTTTTCCTTCCCACAGACTTCCCACTGAGGTGCCTTGACACAGCACTCTGGGAACAGCCTATTTGTTCAGAAATTTATTTCTGTGGCCGTGTTTGAGTTGAGCTGCGCCTCGCCTGGAAAACAGACGAGAGCAGACGGAAGCAGCAGGGGGAGTGGCTGAAAGCCGGCGTTTAAGTCGGACACAATTTCCTGCATGTGTAGCTCGGGGGTGACGATCGATGGCTGAAGATATCGCGTTAGCGTTCGCACTTGTTTACTTTTCAATTTTAATTCTGGTGCCTGTTTGCAGCTGAAACACATCCTCATGTGCTTGTGGATATCATATATTGTATATGAAGACATGACTGTTCGGTTTTGTGTGCTCATAGGAAACGTGACAAAAGAAAACAAACCACATTTCTCTTTATGGCCTATTAGTTGTCATCATCAATGTAACATGATTTACAGAATACATGTGACCAACTAACATTTCATGTTCTACCACCGGATGTTTGGATCAAAATATGAACCAATCAGATCTTAGATCAGGTGAGAACCAGGCATTTCCCGTCATCCCCTAGGTTTTGCAGCCGAGGGAAAATAACTGCAGCGCCTTGCTCCAAAATCTGCGGCCGCCTTGATCTCACGGGGTTATCATTGCCTACGTATGCATGACGTCAGAGCAAGTCGGCATCGAGTCGGACACAAATCTAACCGGCATGCACTGCTCGCCGATCACCGCTGGTCTAATCTGCACAGAGCTGTCTCATCTCGAACACAGCCTGTGTCTTACGCTCTTGCTTGAGGGTGTCAATGATGGCCTTCTGGACAGCAGTCAGGTTGGCAGTCTTACCCATGATTGCGGTTTTGAGTAATGGCCCAGGCTGGGAGTTTTTAAAAACCTCAAGAATCTTTTGCAGGTGTTTAGAGTTAATTAGTTGATTCAGATGATTAGGTTAATAGCTCATTTAGAGAACCTTTTCATGATATGCTAATTTTTTGAGATAGGAATTTTGGGTTTTCATGAGCTGTATGCCAATATCATCATCAATAATAATAATATAATAATATAATCATCAATATTAGAAACAAAAAAGGCTTGAACTACTTCAGTTGTGTGTAATGAATCTAAAATATATGAAAGTCTAATATTTATCAGTACATTACAGCAAATAATGAACTTTATCACAATATGCTAATTTTTTTAGCAGGACCTGTAGAGTAGGGTCTACCGATCCTGACAGAATACAAAGTCAGGTAGCAGGTGAAGGACAATGATACACTCAATCACTTGCTCTTTACCCATTTGGAGGCATCAAGGCCAGCACAGGGAGAGAGGGCTGCCCCCTGACCTGCCAGTGCAAGTGATGTCAATCGGGTCATTACGTTTGCAGATGAGACTAGAGAGGTGGGACTCATCCGTGGCAATGATGAGGACAATGCCCAGTGACAATTCCCAGTGCAACACCCCCAGAAGGGGGGTTGGACTGGTGCAGGTCAACAACCAGGCGTTGAACAAAAACAAGACAAAATAGATGAACACAGACTTCTAAAGACCACGGCCTGATTGAACACCTGCTCTTGTACCAGTGGCTCCAAGGTGGAAAGTCCTTCAAGTTCCTGGAAGTTCAAAAGTCTGGTGACCTCAACACCTCATGGCAGAACCCTTACGCAGCAACAAAATAGACTGTGCTCTCTCACTGAATGGGACGAGTCTAGTCTATACTAGGACACAAACGTGGAAGTTCAAGGCACCTTTTTGACACATCACCGTTACGGAGGTATGGATAAGGATTCCAGTGCTGAAGTCTTTGTACCATCATTCTGCTTTTTGGATTTATGAAAATCAACTGAAGTAATCAGACTTGTTACTGAAGTATATTTATGTGCTCCATCCAACTTCTCCTGGAATAATAAGGACCAAGGAGGAGCGCTCAAAGAAGAAACTCAACAAAACATATTTTACACAAGTGTGGTGGAGAGTGTGCTGATGATCAGCATGTCACTATGGTTCTCCATCTGTAGTGCAGCACACAAAAAGGCACTGCTCCACCAGAGACTGCGTGCTGGGCATCATCAGGGATGCCTCACACCTGCTCCACAGGCTCCTTAAACGGCTGCCCTCAGGGAAAAGATCCAGGTGCATCAGAACAAGGACCAGTATCTGAGGAGATTCATTCCACAAGCAGGGAGGATTCTGAAATCCTAATCTGGTTCAGAATCCTGCAAACAGATCTGCTTGCATTGACTGTTACGGTCCTGACCTAATCACTGTCTAACTGCATGTTTCCTTTCTTTTCTTGTTTGTGATTACTTCTTCTTGTTCAGGATGCTGTGGAAACGTCTTGCACGTGTTGCTCCAACAATGTACTTTTGTACAATTACTTTCATGTACTTACAATATAATTATATTGTGAAAACATGATAGTATAATGTAGACATGAAAGTATATTGTTTGAATAATAAAATTATCACGTTATATCGCTCTGATTTTGCGTGGTTGGCAGCTCTACACTTCCATATACAAAAAAAAAAAAGAAGAGTAAAGCTTTGAATGCCAATGACTTGCGACTTGAATCGACTTGCATCTGTTGACTTGATGATGACTTGAGCATATTTGATATTTTAGCACTAAAGTGGCACGACATGGACAAAATCATAAATTGTTCTTTGCTCTGCGTGTGATCTTGTACTGCAAAATGCAGCAGCACTTTGTTTATAATCAGTTTCAGTTGCACTTTTTGCTTGTTTGAACAAATAAATGAAGCTTATTTCTGGAATTTATTATCATCGTCATTAAATTGAAGTTGGACAGATGACTTGATTACAGTGTTGGGAGTAACGCGGTACAAAAGTAATTAACTACTGTAATGCATTGCTTTTTGCTGTAATGTGGTAATGTAAGGCATTACAGGGAAAGAAAATGGTAATATTTACTCTGTACAATTGTCAGTAACGCGGTAATTACAATGCATTTTTAAACCCAGAATCAAGCTGTGGGTTTCCTAATAATTCAAATTGCGGGAAGTCTGATAAAAGATCCAGTACCAACATATATTACGTCATTTATGGACTCAGCTTTGCGGGCATTCTATGAGCAGAGAGGACGCAGCGGTAATGGCTCAAATACTCCAGCTGCGTCCTGCGCGCGGCCGCTGTTATATTCATAAAATCGCTCCACCAAAACAAAGTAATTTGTTTGCGATAATTTATATCAGCCCATATTCTCTGGTACTTCATGTAATTTTCAGCCGAGTTCATAATCTGTGCGCCGGTGATTTCAAGTCATTGCTGCTGGAGCGCAGCGCATATGAAGCTTATTTATTTATTTATTTATTTTTACGTTCGGTAGATCCCTTTGGCTGTTTAGTTAGAAAGTAGGAAGTCTAGGAAACAGTTTTTCTGGAAGACGGAGAAAACATGCAGCATGCAGGAAGGTTAGAGAGAGAAAGGGCTGGAAATTATTCAAATGAAATCAAGAAAACAAAACAAAGTGCTTGAAAAGAAAAAAAGTAGGTAGATTTATCCCCAATGCACATTTTTACCAGTGAAAAGCAATAATATACATAAGCATTTTAATATTTATACGTGATAGAATCAGATCACCCCAGAAGTCAGTCCCACATCCAGGGCCGTATCAAGGCATTTAAGGACCAAGGCAAATATAGGCTTGGAGCCCCCACCACCTCACTCCCTGCTCAGATGGCCCTATAAGATGGCAGCGTGCCGAGAGTACAGATTGTTTACTAAACAAAAGCAACAACAATCATTTTAAAGCACTGTTATTATATCTGACTGTTTTTAACAGCAATCCTAGCTCAGACACCACATCACTTTCCACATATATGTCATGAGCTCACTGAGCGTCAGATTACCAGATTCATATTGAAGTTGTTTTGGTGAAAGTTACTTCAAGTAATGCAAAAGTAGTGTAATGCCTTATATTTTGAAATCAGTAATATTGTAATGCAATGAATTACTTTAAAATGAGGGTAACAAGTAATAAATAATGCATTACAGTTTCGAAGGAACTTGCCCAACACTGCTTGATTATGACTTGAAAATTCATAGTTAAGGACTTGGACTTGACTTTGACTTCCACATCATTGACTTTGGACTTGACTTGGACTTGGTTGTCATTGACTTGGACTTGACTCGAGACTTGACTGAAAAGTCTTGTGACTTGCAAAGCAGTGACTTGGTCACACCTCTGCTAATTAACCATATAAATCTGAAAATACTGTAATTTAGATTCTGGGGTTCTTACAGCTTTGCCAAAATCATATTTAAGCACTTAAAGAAATTTCAAGGTGAATTTCAAAGGTCTGCCAACCCCTGTTGGTGGCAATTGACATTTACAATTACAATCTGTAATTATTTGTTATAGTGCTTTAATCAATTTCAGTCAGAGTTTGAAGCAAATTCAAGCACTTTTAAGGATTTAGTTCACCCAAAATGAACTTTAAATTCATTAAAGTTTTCAGATCGTTTCAGCTCTAAATTTTCTCTGTGATTTATTAATTTTGGATGAGTGCACAAATAATCAGACTAAGCTCAACATAATATTTTGTTTGTCTGAATATATTCTTAAGTCAAGTGTGTACAACTACCTAACCTTCTCAGTGGCCTAGTGGTAGAGTGTCGCCCCTAGACTGGGAGATCGAGGTCTAAAACCAGTCTATTCACACCAAAGACTTTAAAAATGGGACCCAATGCCTCCCCACTTGACACTCAGCTTTAAGGGGTTGGACTGGGGGGTTAAACCACCTAATTGTTCCTGAGCGCAGCCACTGCTGCAGCTAACCACTCCCTACGAGGATGGGTCAAATGCAGAAATGTAATTTCATCAGTGTGTGATGAATTAATGGGAAGTAACACGGAATTTTCTAACCAAAACCAAATAAAATTCATATCTGCATAATTTGTTTTTAAATGTGGGCATTTCCTGTCAATTTGCATCAAAAGACTGTTGATGTTGTGGCACAAAAAGAATGCATCCGTTCAATTTGAACTATTAGGAGAATTTTCTCAACATGTTACACTTGAATGTGTCAGAGAACAAGTAGAATTGATACTTCTGGCTACCTGAGCAACAAAGGGTGTAATCAAAGCACCGATCCTCGCTACAGCACTCGAAGTTCCCATCGCTAGAGCTCTGATTTCTGTAGGAAACACCTGAATTACAAACAAACAAACAAACATAAAACACAATTAGAATAAACTTATAAGTGTATTAGAACAATATTTAATTCGGATGTGATCCATACCTCTGGTGTATAAATAAAAACAACCTGGTATCCCCCAGAGATGAAGGCCCTGGAGATGAAGATGAAGATTGTAAGAGTAACCCTGAAGAAAACAAAGAAACACAGAGAGGGTTGGCGGTACTGAAGGGCATCCCCGTTTGAATATGCTGCTGTTTCAGCATAAGAAAAACAAACTCACCTCCCTATACAAGCAAACAGCGGTAAAACAAACAGAGAAAACATGAAGAAACAAATGGCCATGCTTTTCTTCCTCCCGAGGTAATCGACAGCCAGAAGGATGACTAAAAGACCTGGAACAAATACAAAATAAGAAGAAAACTCAACCTCTTAGAAAGGCCTTTTTGGTAATCTGTCAGCCTAAGTGGTGACTAAACGATAAACAAGTCTTTCACTAAGGAGACACATGATCCAGTCACCTTAGAGTCACCACACCTTAAAGAAAGAAAAAAACTGTGAGGAGGCATTTTACCTGGGAACTCAGCCAAGGTTGTCCACAAAAGGTCCTTGTAATCGTCTGATGTTAAATATTTACATTCAGAGCGACACTGGGGTTCAGACTTGGCCCCTTGGGTCACTATGAAGAAAAGGTTCAGGCAGCTTTAATGTTGAGATTCGATCGACTTTAAAGCCCGTTAAAAAATAAAAAAAGTTGTTACTCACCACCACACAAATCTCCAGCTTGGAAAAGCTCAGTGGTCAACAGGACGATCCCGTAGTAAGAGAAGGCATTAGCAAACCTTTTGATGAATAAACAGGAATAAACATTATTCACATGCCTTTAGTTTAATCTTTAATACAGAGACTCGTTATCTCTAAGAAAAAAGTAAGACGACACTCCTAACGTACTTGCCTTTAGTCAGATTAATCATCAACTAACCCAGCTGGTGATTCTTAAATAAATAATTCAGTCTGATCAAACATATTAAAGAAAACTGAGTACAAAGTACATGTTTAACTCCGACTAACCATATAAACCACAGAAGAAGAGTGGTCCTCCAGTACTGAGGAGTGAAGAGGTCTTTGATATGTCCTCTGTCATTCTGTGAAAAACACAAACAGATCGTGTTGAAAAAAAAGTCTTATGCACTTGTTTGTCGTCGAAATTCTCGTTTCTCCTCACCTGTTTATAGTCGACCAGCGTTCCCTGAGGCAGCGTCTTGCCGTTATCTTCAGCGATGCGTGCTAAGGTTGCAATGGCCTTTTCCTTGTGTCCTGACTGCACATCAAAACGAGGACTTTCAGGAAGCCACTGTTTTACACAAAAATATCATTGAGGGTTTTGCAGCTGTCAGTTTACCTACAGAGATCTCCTAGTGTCATAAATAAACTCACATAGCAGAAACAAACAAAGACTGCTACTGGTGCAGCTGACAGGCCGAGCAGCCACCTCCAGCCCAGAGTGGGCATGACCCACAAAGCCAGGAGAACCTCAAACACAGCACCGAGCGACCAGAAAGCCTAGGACACATATGCATGTGGGTCAGAGGGAGTGTTTGTGTTCAGCAAAATCTTTGCAATAATGGAAAAGTTGAGGTACCCCAATCAGTGTGATGCAGATTCCTCTTGCCTTCACCGGTAGAAATTCAGAGTACAGCGTCACTCTAAAAAAACAGAGTTAATCACAAACACCTTCTTAGGTCATGTACACGTGTAGCTAGGTTTTTGTAAAACCAAATATCGTTGGTGTCTCTACCAAAAGACATCCCTTGGAGATGGAATAACTAGGTAGCAGGCAACGACCATCCTTAATGTTGTCCTTCGCCTGTTGTCTTCTAAGAAGAGCAGTTCTTGAGCTTATAACAAATGAGTGAGTATAAACTCAGGTCTCATGTGAAGTCAGAGCATTTTTGTTGCAGGCAGTGACATTGCAATACCTAAAAATCTGTGTTATTGACATCCACAAGCAAATGCTGACAATGGAGAATTCACAAATCTCCACTTTGGCCGAAATCTTTGAAAGAACAGTTTTTGATGCAGTTTATGTTCACTTTCATTTGGATGACAGGCTAAACAATAGAACAATATCGTTGTTTTGTGGGATACCCAGCTACGTGTGTACAGGGTCTTAAACTCTTCTTATAGGATCAGAGATGTATTGTGTTAAAACTTACGATTGAGGGGCTCCGCCGATGCCAAAACCTACGAGGCCCCGAAGGCCTAAGAGCCAGCCGTATAGCGGGCTGAAGGCACTCAGAAGGCCGTAGTACAGAGTCCAACACATGCAAATTGTTAGACCCTTTTAACACATAAAACATGCATTACATATGAAACATACGAGGCAATGCAAGAAAATCAATAAATCCACCTTAGAACCCAAATGATGATACTTACTATTTTTCTGCCGTACTTGTCGGACACATTTCCCCACACGGGTGAACTAAACCCCATTCCGATGAAGACAACCTGACAATTAATATAGATAAAGCTGAATGCAAAAAATTGCATAGATTTAGCTATTTTAAAAGAAAGCTCTCAGATTGTCTTTACTGATGTTATGAGTGCCACTTGATATCCAGGGAGACTCCACTCACAGTGCAGCTGGGGGCCCAGGATGCTGAGGATCATCATCTCCATGGCATCGCCGATCTGAGTCAGAGCAACACATGTGAGGTGTGGATTAAAATCACATAAATATCCCAAACATACCCCCCCCCCCCCCCATGCATTTATCTTGTTTTCTCACCCATGACAGTCCAGTGAGGAGTGAGATTTTCCATTGAAAAATTCCGAATCCAACGGACTCTAGTGCATCATCTATTGTAAAGGTTTCTGCAAATGCAATGCAGCATCAGTGTCATTTGAGTGAGTGTACCAATTTTAATCTAAGGGCAGTGATATACTTGCTGTTTAACCTCGTGTTGGCAGAGGCAGCGTCTTCGATCACATAGATGCTGCTACATGGCACTGTACTGCATGTAGTACTGGAGTGTTCCACCAGGGGGCACATTAGAAAACTCAGACCAGAAAGAGAGCCGGGTTTGTGGGTACAACTAAAACAAACATGGCGTCAATAAAAGAGTTCACTAACTGGTTAATGTTTAGGTCATGACAGAAAAAAAGTCAGCAGCGGTTTTATAAATGGTGTGAAAGACTTTTAAACCAGAGACGGAGTCACCATGTCAGTGTGTCGCGCTCATTTTGTCACCCCACCTACTGGTTACTCGTAAATTGCAGCGTTTGTTCGCGTCGCTTTAATTTCGGGGGATGGGCACAAATGATGCTTCAAATCAACGCAAGTAATGTGTGGCAGCCCTTATAAACATGCGTTTGTGTCATTAAACAGCAAGAATATCACGACTCTAAGACCAACATACATTAAGAAAACTTGAAAATAATGACTGATCTAATGCAACACTGCAAAAAATGTGTAATTAAATTATGAGTGTTAGGGATGCCTCACAGCTACTTGGGATGGAAAACAATAATTGACACATAGAAAATAGCAATATTTCATGTCATATTAGATCAATATTTAAAAGCAATGTGTTGATTTATTTTTCCAGAATATACAAGCAAAAGGATAAAAACAATTGAATTTATCGCCCCATTTGTTACGGGGACTCATGAGCCGACTGGAAGGTGAGAAGACTTCAGCTCCCAATTTCTTCTATGTGCTATTCAACTGCCTGCCACTCAGTGGCAGCAGATTTTTCACCTTCAGTCTGACGGAACAAGAACTTGTTAGAACACTGGATGTATTTTTGGAAGCAACTGCCTGTTTTCCAATATAAATTCAGTCTTGAAATTTGAAATAAGTATTCTTGCTTTTAGAACCACAATATATCTTATCGGCTCTGCATTGTGTTATTTATGTTGTAACATCACATTCTTGCCAGGATGGGTGGGCAATATGGCCAAATTATCATGAATTTGTTGCAGTGAAATCACAATTTTATTACCATTATTTGCTGCATTTAAACTTAAGTTTTTAGACTACCATGTTAATGAAAGACACACCTTTCCCTGTTAAAACATGGCCCTAAAAAAACTAATTGAAACTAACAATAGCCACCCAATGCTGACATCTGCTATTAATGATAACTAGGGATGCACGATATATTGACATCAATATCGGTATTGGCGATGTTAGTCATTTTTTAACAGATAAGTATCTGTCCCATAAATAAAACTGGGTCGATTATAACAACCGGTATTTTTTTTTCATCTCGTTTCCATTTATCTGTTTCAGAAGGTAACAGGGGTGGTGTTTATTTGCTTAGTCATGTGACAGTGATTGTAAACATCTCAGAAGAGTAAATGTGTGTGTACATTCAGCTTTAATACTTTTCATTCTATACAAAATCTGCTGATTTTAGATGCATTCATGTCCGTATATCAGTATCGGAAAATATCAGTTATCGGGCATAACAGTGACATTAATATCGGATATCGGTATCGGCCCAAAAAGTTCAAATCGTAGTGATAACATATTATAATGATAACATATTGCCACAACTGTCAGTTAACCTAATCTCTGTATAAATCAACATGTTAGGCCAAAGCTGAAACAAATACTTTGTTTATTTTTATAAATACAAAGTGATTAGGATCAGAGTGTGTCACGTCTAAAAGGGTCCGGGCAGAAACAGTTCTCTTTTCTCAATCTTTCTATTAGATAGAAAGTAAAAATTCAATGACGTCTTTGCTTTAGCAGATCATCAACACAAATATTTCCATTTTGTTTAGCCATATTCTCCACCCCTGTGCTCATGTACAGTAAAACATGTGATGAAGCCATTAGCATGTTAAATATGGGGGTACAGCATGAGACCCCTTTAAATAGCTGCCATCTATGATCATTTATGGTTAACAGATGGACAAAAATATGAACTTCAAGTATTTGTTACATTTTGTTAGTTAAATTTATATCTAGTACTAACTTGTGTAGTAACCCAGAACTTGGCTGTATTCAGACCCAAATAAGATGCTGTTTTAGTGATTAGATAATGTAAAGGATGTGAATCACAAGCAAAACATAAGGTGTAGTTCATATTTTCTAGGATAAACACTGCTGATTTAATGATGTAATCTTTAAACACTAAAAGAGGTCACGAGCTACAACTGTAGCACTCATACTTGTGATATTTAAATGCAGAAATTTAACTAAGAGCTGAGATTTTGTATCATCATCATTTAAAATAAACTCCAAATCAAAATGAGTGTGAATGCCAAGTAAAAGAGCAGCACAAACCTTGAGTTGTGTTATTAGTCCCAGAGTTGTTGGCAGCTCCTGAGTCAGCCTGTGCTGAGGCTATAGTGCAAATCTCTGCGTCTGTGGCCTGGTCCTCATCAGTTTGACCCACAACATCTGCCTCATCCCTGCATGTAGAGCACAGAGGACACAAATACAAGCCATTGATTTCACCATGAATAAAACGTGCTGAAATTAGGTCACAGGTAGCATCAGCTGTCACGCAGATTCATTCTCGTCAACAAATATCACCTTTCAACATCACGTGTTAGAAGAAAAGACAGTAACAACTTGATTGTTCGTGATTTTCTTGAATTTTTTTTTACCCCAGATCAGGATTTGTCCAGCGTCTGTAAGAGACCTTGGCAGATTCAGACCAGTTGTCCATTTCAGAGTCCAACAGCAGACAGCAGGGAATTGGACTAAAAGAACAACGCCGACAACAAACCGGTCAGTTGCCGTCAAACCAGCTGGAGCGGTCGCTTCAGGTTTCTGTGAAACAACCAATCAGAGAAGGATACCTGCATGCACTGAAAGGGGCGTGGTCACACCAGGAAGCAACTGTTCAAGCAGAGAGTCATAAAAACTAAAAATAAAACATCACGTCACTAAAATTAAAACCTAATAAACACGAAATATGTTTTAAAATTGAATGCATTATTCTGCAACAGTAGGTTGCACATTATGAGGAAGGAGCTCATTCATTAGGGTTACTCGAACAATAAAGTAGCCAAATACTTTCTTGTTTAAATGGTAAGGGTATGCTCCTCACAATAAAAGGAAAGTCATGTAAGAACTTTAAAAAATTCAGGCTATGTTGGTGTCTTTCAAGTCGATTTATGCAGAAATACTGATTTTACTTTCTTCAGTCACTTCTGCCCCTCACAGGCACCCATAGAAATTATGTTTCCAGCAGCGACTGGCTATAAGATTAAAAGCCTAAAGTTGAAAGGAAAAAAATCCAGGAATAAAGGGTTTTGTTTGCTTCATTTAGATACAGGAAAAAACATCTAAATTATGACAACACAAATAGAATGATCGGTTGTTTTCGAGCGAATTGTTTTTTTTAATGTTATCAGGTTTTTACAGGAATGCAATTTGAGTCCATCCCTTAAACATTTTGCTTTCTCAAAATAATGATCAGCCTTAGAAAAACAAAACAATATCCTAAATACTAGAGACTGACTTATTTACAACCTTTTTTTTAAATCATCAGTTTACAGCTGACTGCTGCTTCTTCTGACCACCTACTTACATACTTTCTTATTCATATATTCACTCTTTTTACATTGATGATTCCTGTAGCTAGCTACACTGAAAACAAACTAACAAAAATGTACAAAATCACAACACTTATCCACTGGGATGGGGTTTGTGTTGTCTGACACCTGTACACACTGCACAAACAACATTCCTGACAATAACATCCACACACTGTGGTCTTTTCCACCTGTCCAGGAATTTTGGGGTAGAGTATGTGAAGGTCTGTCAACGTGCCTGAAATTTCATATCCCAACTTCCCCCTCTTTTTGTTTGCTGGGACACCTGGACCATGTCCCAATTGAAACGCCTTTGGTTCACATGGTTCTGACTGCCATATGCATCGCTAAGAAAACTATCCTCATAAATTGGAAAAATAGAGAAACTCTGCATTAACCAGTATAGAAATCTTTTGTTAGATCATATTACACTTGATACAGCCTCTGCTTCTACTTCAGATCAGTCTCTCTGGGATCCTTTGTGCAGCAGTACCGGACCAGAGTGAATAAGTTGTGTATGGGGAGCGTGAGTGGGTGTCTAGCACTCATTTTGTAAGTCTTGGGTTGTATGTGTATGTGTGAGCATGAGGGAAGGTGTGTGTATGACTGTATATGTCAGGTGGGGTCTTGGAATCCTCTCTCCTGGGACTCCTCCCCCTGCCACATTTGGTGTGGAGTGTGGTGCCACGGTCTGCCTAAGTGATTGCGGCGGCGAGGCTAGTTGCCACTGGGTCCCGGGTCGCTGGGTTCCGGGCTTGGCCAGCTTGGGGATGGGAGGCTGCGGGCGGGCCTGTGGGCTTGTGACTGATATCTCCCAGGGCTCTGCTCGCTGCTGGTTGTGGGGCCCCTGTGTGTGTGTGTGTGTGTGTGCGCGTGCGTATGTGTGTGCGTGTGTGTGTGTGTGTGTGTGTGTGTGTGTGTTTGTGTGTGTGTGTGTGTGTGTGTGTGTGTGTGTTTGCATCTGCTTGGGATGGGATTGAGGGTGGGAGGAGGGAGATACAAAAAGGATCTTGTATGTGAATCTGTGTGGGAGGGGTGGGAAACCGACTACTGTCTGGTTGTTTTTAATATTGTAAAGAGCTTTGAGCTGCACTTGTATGAAAAGCGCTTCATAAATAAATTTGATTGATTGATTGATTTAGACCAGAGGAAAGAGCCGCAGCGAACTCCGCTCCAGTTGCCATGTTCGACAAACTCAGCGTTATGGTGTGTGGCGTACTCAGCGCTGATTGGCTTGGTTAGAATTCTCACGGGGCGGGGTGATTTGAACAGGAGAGTTCCCAGACCCTTTCTTTGTGCAGAATTAAACAGAGTCTGGCAGGCCAGGCTAAGGCTAAGGCTGCTGCCATATTGGATGCCATCTTTCCTTCTACGGAACCCCATGAGGACAAAACGCATTTAATGATCTGTAACAGATGGTTACAAATTTTTCACCAATTATAAACATTTTGTTTTATACATTTACCTCTTCACTCATTGCAAGAAAGGGAATCTGATGTGCTTGTCATTTAGCTGGAAGTTGCACTCCTAAGGATTTTTGACCCTAATGGCCATCCGTTGGTAAGGTCTCACTCAAACACAAAAATAATGCTTGCTTGCAATGATTTATGTACTGCCCCCTATTGCCAGGGAAAATGCAAACTGTCCCTTTATAAATGTCTAACCCAAGTCAAATAAACCTAAACATTAAAGCAGGTTACCCTAAAAGTGGATTTTCATTGACTTTATGTAATACAAGTACATGCAAAATTTATATGTATTTAAAAGTGTTAAAGCCTACTCTTTGGCCGAGCCTTTTTTTCAGTGTATGCACGTGTATCTGTGCACACTCTCTTCAGATACTGACTCAGATATTCTGATGCCTACCCTTTATGCTATTTTTTATGGTTTTATTTGCTCTGATATGCGCTGTTATAAGTTTTCTGTCCTTTTACTGTTTTTCTCTTTGTCTCAGCCAGGTCATGTTAATATTACATGTTCTCAAACATTTTACCTGGTAAAAAAAGGTTGAAAAAAACATGACAAAGAAACAACATAAATATTAAAACAAGTTTCATGATCAAAGGTTTATTTGGTGTGAATTACAACGTAACCCACACTTACTTTTACCTACTCGGCTTTTTGTCACAGGCTGTAGTCGTCAGCAGGCTGTGCTCTTATCCTCCTGATGTTGTCGAATCCAGAACTGTTTCAGTGTGTGACGCAGGACTGTCCAGACACAACCAAAAGATAATAAATAAATGAAATGTTGTATATCTATAAATGAAATGTTGTATATCTATAAATGAAATGTTGTATATCTATAAATAAAATGTTGTATATCTATGAATGAAATGTTGTATATCTTTAAATTGCACACTTTCATTTTTGCAGGTGTTTCTTTTGGGGAGTTTCAGCTTTTTGCTGGAGAGCATCAGCACCATGACAGGTTAGAGTGCACATTTACTTTTCTAAATACACAAAAAAGGAAATATTTTATTTTCCAAATCAAATATAAATGGTGTGAAACACTGGAAAAAAATTTAATGGTTATTTCTGATTATAATCAGTCACTCAGAGTTTAACATGTAGGCAGAACATAAAATAGTCTCTTACACCTATCTCCTGCATTAGCTTCTGGTAGAAAATAGAAGGTGAAACTTTAGGATTTGAAAATCCTGACAGATCTACATCACACTGTCACTGAACATTCATGGACTCACCCAACTAGACTCGTGACGGGGAAGGCTGTTGTTGGTTTAGCGTCCACGAAACAGCAGAGGATGTCTTGACTAGCAGAAGCCGTTAGCATTAGCAACTCCACCATACAGCAGAACTCCTTCAGGCTTGTGTTATTTGTGGAGATAAAACATCAACGTTGCAGAGCAAACAGAGTCAGTGGTAAAGTTGCATTGCTGTTAGTCAATCAGAGGCGAGATATCCAAATATCAGGAAATTCTCTGCCTCTGGAACCGACAGCAGAGTCTTGCTGTTTGTTCACGTAAATAAGAAATCAGTTTATTTGTCTGTAAATATTTATTTTAACAGAAAGAGGCTGATTGGACATGAAACAATTTAGTTTCCCCTGATGTCTTCAACAAGATTACATGTGTTTAAAATAATTCTGTAGGATTATGAAGAGTAAAGTGGAAATTAGGCTATTTTTGAATTTGCACTCGATGCTGCTCAGTCAGCAGAGCCTAAAACTTTAATGTGGGTCATTTATAAAGAAGTATTTATGGTCCCACAGGAAGTTTTTAAACTGTCAATATGTTGCACTTTTATTTTGAAAGTTGGAAATGTATTTAACTGAAGATTGTAAAACTTTAATCATCTTCATCCATCCATATTATTACTTTATTCTTGTGAATGCAGTCTGAGACCATAACTGTTGGGTATTTTTATAATTGTACCTTTTTGAGCCCTAAAAGATGCCCATTACACATCATGAATCTCTGTGTAAGGTTGAGCAAGGATGTTAATTGAAAAAACTCTGTACCTCTGTAACTTGAGAAGGTCCGCCTTCTCCCCCATCCATTTGGTGAATAAAGCCCCTGAAGAACTGGGAGCACAGGGGGAGTGACGTGGGGAAGCCTCGGAGGAGGTTTCTCTGCGTTAACTCTCCATGTTCTGGAGACTCAGGGTAAAATGTCTTCCTTGTTGTCATGTGTGTTATTACAGGTTCCAGTGTTATGGAGATTAAATATTACCTAACATTCTAGTCTCCTGATGGAGACCACGGGTATGCAGAGCTGGTGAGGTAAAGGCTTTGAGGCTGGAGCAGAGTGGGGGCTGGTTGAGCCACACACATGGACATGGGGGCTGGTGGAGTCATGCACATGGACATTACAAATAATCAATTTACTCTCTCTCTCTCTCTATCAAAGGGTGTGTCGTCCTTTAAGGTAATATGGGATAAAATCAAATTACCTAACAATAACTATAAAATAATTTTGCAGTTTAGTTTCCCTTTTTGACTGTCAGATCTATTTATCACTTCCTTGTCTGTTTAGTTTTCGATCCTTCTGCTTGTGTGATTGTCTGTCTGCAGGGATAAAAAATATCTCATGAACTACTTTGCAGATTGTAAGAAATCTCTAATCACATGATCTAAAAACACAGCCCCTTTCAGTGTGACTGCTGCAGCTAACTGACATCAACGGTCACAAATGGCTTGTCAGTGCTACGGTTAGTGAGCTCAAATTTAATCTGATATTAGCTTAAATTCATTCACAATCAC